TGCCCTTCTGAAATGGAAGGGAGATTCATTGTGAATCCACAGGTCGTTCCTCAATGCTTTGCGCCGCGACTCCGACCAGGCTGCAGCCACGTCTCAGCATCGCCACACAGACCTGAACCAGGCACTGAGCCTGGCTGGAGGCGGAGGCACGCAAGGTGCAGACAAGTCAACTTGTGAAGCCAGGTTGAAGGTCATAAGCTCGGTTGCGAAGCTGTTGAACCATAGGCCCATATGCATCCCTCGCATGTCTGCCTGGATCACCCGCAGCCTTCCCTTGACAAGCTCTTAGTTTCGGATGCCTAGTTAAAGGCTCATCCTCCCAGCTGTTCCAGCTGAAGTGCGAGCTCGCTGTTCGTGCTGTTCGATTCGGGGTCGTCTGCATGCAGTAACTTTTCTCTGGTGAGTGCAAGGGTGCTGGTGGAGCGCTTCTGTGGCCTTCCCAGCTCCCGAAGAGCCGTCGTTTTGCAGAAGCGGTGACGGGTCTAGGGCTTCTAGGATTTGTGAGGCGCCCGTATAAAGCCTCCCAACACTGCCACGACCATTCGGGCTTTCCTGCAGTTGACGCCCTGGAAGGTGCAGAGGCAGAGCAGGGCGACTCCGAGTTATATCATGGCATGGTTAGGGCCACTTGCCGCGGATGCCTGGACGACCGCGAACTTCTCTGCAACTTGCTCTTCCAGCGAGAGGTTTCGGCAAGGATCGGCCCGTTGAGGTTTTTAGGCTTTTGAAAGAATGCTCGACGCTTCGAAGGCTTGATGTCAGCAATGCCGCGCGACAAGGTACGAGGTTGATGCCGTGAAAAGAGGTTTCTTGCATGACTGCCGAAGTTCTTCTACTCAAAGCCTGAACTGTGTCGAGGATGCTGGCTGATTTGGCTGCTACGAAATAGCTCCCTAAGCATTGACAGGCATTGCACTGATGTTTCCAACACCCTTCCCAAGCCTTGCTGAGAGGACGCCGCTGGCACGAATTGCCCTTCTGAAATGGAAGGGAGATTCATTGTGAATCCACAGGTCGTTCCTCAATGCTTTGCGCCGCGACTCCGACCAGGCTGCAGCCACGTCTCAGCATCGCAACGCAGACCTGAACCAGGCACTGAGCCTGTGCTGCCTGGCTGGAGGCGGAGACGTGCAAGGTGCAGACAAGTCAACTTGTGAAGCCAGGTTGAAGGTCAGAAGCTCGGTTGCGAAGCTGTTGAACCATAGGCCCACATGCCCAAGAAAGGTAACCCTTACGGGCAAGCCCGACTTGCCCTTTCCTTCCTTCAACTGTTCTTCAGCGCAGACTTGGCAGCCTGAGGCTCGGAATAATTCAGCGCTCAAAAGGCCTTGAGGTCTTGATTCGTGTTCGGATGCGGTCCTGTGTGCGGCCCCATCGCTTGCAGCTCCCTTGTGGCTTTCGGCCACTTGTTCCTCGCTCAGATGCTTCGTGATGAGGGTGTTACGAAGCGCTTCTACAGCCATGCCCTGTCCCAACAATTCCTGATGCCGGTGATGCACTGAGTGCAGGCAGTGGTTTGCAGTCCGTGTCTAAACTCCAGCCTTGGATTTCTTCTGCAACTCGCAAGAAATTGTGAAAATTCGAAAAGCCGTACTCAAGCCGGGGTGTAGAAAAGGTGGTAGATCGTTGCTTTCCAGGGCGGTGCTGACAGCGTCCGCAGGCTTCTGATCCGGGGCTTCCGGCCCGGCGCAAGTTTGCGAAAAGTTTCGTCGAGTTGAGGACGGCATCGTGCCCGCAGCAGCAACTCTGGCATGGCTTCTTGTGCCACTGCCTGCATGGAACATTGGTCTGCGATCTCGCTCTGACCACTTATGGCCAGCCCTGCACGAGCCGAGCCCCAAAACCTTTTAACACCTACAGCGTTGGACCTGAACAGGACATGAACTTCCAGCCGGTCTGAGGCATTCAAGTTCTTGACTTGCTAGGCTGTTCGCCAGAGTTGAGACAGAGCGTATCGTGAGATGACCCCCTAAATGTCTGCCCCTGAGCAGAAGCTTTAAGCAATTCGCCCACATGAGGAGCATGATACACAGGAGGCAGATTCTCACGAAGGCACGTAGCGCTCGCCCAGTCTGAAGCTGAAGACAGGAAAACGTGGAAGACTGCGCTCCTGTTTCCACACGCCCGTCTTTGGTATGCGAGTTTGGGAGCTTCTGGCGTCAGCATGTAGGGGACAATTTTTCAGTCAGCATGACTTTTTTTTCGGAAAATGGAGCCTCAGATGTTTTCATCGATTCACTCCTCCGAGGTTTTACAGCGAGGGGTGGCGATTTCCAAAGCGTTGCAACCTCATGGTTTGGGGCTCAAAGCCTTAAAGGCTTAGGGTTTACGTCGTGATTGGACTTAAGCGGAGGATTTCTGGACCGGGACTAGACCATTTAAAGGTCGGGAGCTTAATATCCCTAAACCCAATCCTTAAAATCCTAAACCTTAAAAGGTTCAAAGACCCAGAACCTCAAAACACTAAAGCCCGTAGACCCTAAACTCGACTGAAGCGCTGTGTCGGACGTGCCTGAGGAGCACAGCTGAGGTTGCTTCATGCCCGCGGAGTGAGGCCAACGATGCCAATGATGCCTTCCCTTCAGACACGGGGGTGTAGCTGCATAAGCTCAGTCTCATGGCGGTCGTGGCAGCATGGTAGAATTGAGGACGGATGAAGTGTTCATTCTAAAGCCAAGAAAGCACACGCAACATTTTAGAGGACATCGCGTCTCGGCTGGAAGGGCGCCAGTCACGAGGCATGGGACCCATTTCAGCAAAAAACTGTTCCTCCGCTTGCCCGATTGCGATAATGCAGACCAGGCAGACTGAGGCTCCTCACCGCGCGAAGGCAGAGCGATGCAACGTGGGCTGGTATGGCTACAGCGGCTTCATTTGTGAGGATCGTAGAAAGCCTTACCAAAGCCGAGCATCTCCGCCGTGGCCGAAGTGTAGCGAGCGAGAAACGAATTGCCAAAAGCCTGGGACCTGGGGCTCGCATGATGGATTCTGAGTCAGAACCTCGCCGCACACGAGGACTCCAGCTGGGCTCAAGCTGGTGAACTAAACTCGCACGAGGAGCCCGAAACGTGAGCTGCACAATTAGCTGCACTACTAGCTGCACAACGGTGGACACGCCGCTCTTGACGTTTCCACTCCTGCGGTATGGCCCTATTGAGAGGCGGCGCATTTTGCCAGCGAGGCTGTCCATGCGCCTGGGGGGCCTCGAGGCCTTCAGGCCAGCGAAGGCGCTTCTCTCAGAGGACCAGGCGACAGTGCGATGGGGAGAGCGCGTCGCCTCACCTTTATCGGGATTCTCTGCTAGGCTGCCCTTGGTAGGGATCGTTCCGATTGGTTGGTGAGTGATACGTATGTGCCGAGCCAGCATCGTCATCGCGTGAAGAAAAAGAAAGTTGTCTGGAATCTCTATATATCAATATATCTATATAAATATAAATATATAAATATAAATATACATAAATCTATAAATATAAATATATAAATATAAAAAAGGAAATAAAAACAATATATACCTACGTTGATAGATGAATATTCTTGCGAATAATACTGGTGCCAGACCTTTGGGGGGTGGGGGTGGGGGCATGGGACTGAGCAACACTGTCTCATGTCCACTTTTCAAGGTATCCCACTTTGTGGTCCCTTTCTGTGGGGGGGGGGGGGCTTCGGGTTCTAGGGTTTAGGGCTTTCCAGTTTTTTCAAGATCTTGCGGGTTTGCTTGAGGCTTTTTAAGGGTGTTAAAGGTTTCGTTTAGTTGGAGGTTTTAGGGGTTTTCGGTTTTATGGTTTTCGGGTTTAGGGTTTAGGTTTTGTATGAATATTTTATTGGGCGGGGGATAGGGGGGATTGAAATATATTAGATGTGATAATTTGGAATGAGATGAAAGTAAGATTTTCTGTCAACTTCCATATGGAAGATGAAATGATTCAAAAAACATTCATAATTCTAATTGATTATGTTCATTATCTTACTTATTGGGATTATACGCTCGATATCATTCATTCGGATAATTTCCACTATCTCAAGGGCATTGACACAAAACACAAGGTTTCCATTTTTTTGAGAATTCATTTAGATTGTTTCTCGGGCAATTGGCAGATATTCATCGATGAAATTATTATGATTAATTCTCTCTCCATTATTTGATGATATCCTTTCGTGTCCCAATAAACGTGTCTTGGAGCCGTCCAGAACCACTTGCCCACTTGCTGCTCCCTCACACGTTCCGAACGCTGGGACCTGGCCATGGCAGCCAGCAATAGGAGAAATGGGCGCCGAAGATTTGGCACACAATTGAAAGCACACCCGACTCTACAGCCTCTCCAGTTTAGGCAAGGCAGACTTGCAAAAAGACGAGTTTCATACAACAAGGAACGTTCAGAGCATGGCTCCTCTTATGAATCCCTGAAAGTGGATTGAGCTCTGGTCTCGTGCATTGCATATACCGTCCATGATAACCCAAATTGGTGAAGGGGTCCCGTGACAAAATTGCTGGGTAGCTTGGGCGAGTCGGCCTGAGCTGCGATGTGGTGCAGCCATCAAGCTGGGCTCCGGGAGCTTCCAGATCCCACTTTGCTGCCCTCAAGTTCTTGTTGCTCGGATGGCGCCCCCTTGTATTTGAGCCCCAGACCATAGAAATAGCCCTTTCAAAGCCAGGGGATTGGGGCTCGAGCGGCGTTTAGGGCACTTGAGGGCCCCTCCTGCCTTTCAGCACGGTCTTTCCCTCTGTCGCTCCTCCGAGGAAAGTAGTTTTCGCCAATGAAGGCTAGCTGTCAGGTTGCAAGGCTGATTGTTGCCTGCGATTGGCTTGCTTTGTTGAGGTCCAATACCAACGCAAGGCAGCGCAAGAGAACTCGAGCTTGTCTAGTTCACAGCCAGCCCCATGCAGCCTTGACATTTGTTTTGATGCAGCTGCGGTCAGAAGATGTCCCGAATGCGTTTTAGTTTTAGAGTGTCGTAGCTGTGCCCTTGTCTCTGCGCAATTTGAGCAACTGGCTGCTGCGATGGCGTGGGCTGATTGGCCTCGGCACATGCCTGCAGATGCACTTTCCTCAGAAGCTTGTGCGCAGCAACTGGTTGGGTCACATGATTCATGGGATGTGTTTCGTGATTCAGGTGTTGGCACCGGGCGCCAAGTGCTCAGCGATGATGTTGACAAGTTCACGCTTTCATTTCAACCCGATTGTCCAGCCGAGGCCTTGCACTTTTACGATGCTGTGACTGCTTTTCGTGTCGGGGCCGGTGCCTTTGTGCTTGTGTGTGGGGAACCTACTGGTAGATTCAGTCGACTTTCAGTTCGGTGTACCAGACCCAGGCACGCGGTTCATGCGAGCACTGCGAGCAAGCATGTTCTACCAGCTGTTTGCTGCATGCCCGAGGCAGCGGACCGCCAACTACGCAACACGCTGAAGCAGCAGCTATCAGGTTCGCTTCCGATTGTGTCCCAGAGTCGTTGTCCAGGAGTTAGCATTCAGCAGCCACAGTCTAGTACAGTAAGGGTCACGTGCTCTGCTTCCATCTCGGGTTATCTGCAAGGAATTCGTCGTTGGTACTGATGCTTAGTAGTCAGTGGTTGGGCTTCTGCTGGTGGAGAGCGGAAAATAGACACGTGAACCTGGAAATCAACGATGACATCACTTGTGCGGAAGGCGCAAGATATGTGCGAGCAGCTCCATGTTTGACGAGTTGCCGCATCGAACCCAAAAAAGCAAAGCCCGACACTGCGAGGCATCAAGATCGCCTTGCGGCGCAAGCGGTTGCAGCCAGCCCGCTTCTTATTCGAATTTTGGGCTGCCTGATCTGGCATGATCTGCTAATTCGTCCCTGGTGTTCTTGAAAGTCTGCGTCACATTGCAGGAGGTCACAGCTGCCTTGGCGCAGTCCCTGGGGAGCCTGGAATGCTTGAAGGAATTGAAAGCCCCTTCCTTAACTGCATATGTCAGTTCTGTGAGTTGCTGTAATGCAGTTACGTTGCAGTGGAGATGCGAAATACCACGGACGTCTAACGTAGTGACGTAGTGGTAGTGTCCTGAACCCACGCAACACGCAGGCAGACATTAGCTTCAGCTCCATCGGCGAAGATGGAGCGCGGCAGCTGGCCCAGGCATTCCACAGGGACCAGTCTTCACTTACTATGTGGAGGTTCGCACTTATTCTTTTGACTTTAAAGCATCCGCCTCATTTTGTCAATCGCGTCGCGCTGCGCATCCGCGAAATCCACCGGCCCAAACTGCCAAGCATTCAGCACGAAGTGGCTGTGCGCCCTTGATCCTTCTCATTTTTTTTTGGGGCCAGTTTCTTCTCAGCAAGCGGAGCTCGTTTCTTTGTGGGTTTAGGGCGGTCTCATGTGGCAGAAATCGGAGCATTGATTCTTTGTCTGCATCTTAGCCTTCGAAGGCTGTCGGTTCTCTTCAACAGCTGCGCAACCTGGAGCTCCTTTTGGGAGGTGCCACTTCGAGAGATCTTAAGCCCCCCTGAAGCCAGTGCCGAAACAGTTGCGAAAGCCACAGGTGATGCGTGTGCGAGTGAAGCACATGAGGAGACATGAGTTCTGCAGCGGCCAAGCACGGCTGGTTCAAGAGGTCAGTCGAGTCCACAAGACCGGCCCAGGTGCTGGACTTGGGTACGCGGGATGCGAGAGGCTTTCCGAGGACCTGGTACTCTTTGCAGCTCCTTTGCCATAACTTCCGGCACACCTTCGCTGCACAGGAGATTGGCACGCTGCGGAGCCTCGAGAGACTGCCCTCCGCCTGCACTTTTCGGATGGCTCACGCAAAGCCTTTAGAGAATTTGGAGTCGGCTCGTTGTTGTACTTCCCCCATCTTTCTTTGCCTCTCTCTGTTTCTGCCTTGGTTAGGAAGGGAATGGGTTGCCTGGACATAAGGAAGCTGGACTTGAGCTTGAACGACATTGGCGACACAGGGCCAAGCTGCCATGTTGCACCTCATGCAAAAAGCACCGCTTTGTTCTGCCGCTGTCGAACCACCGGACAAAAGAGGGCTATTGTTGCTCTTGTGGCCAGGCTGCGGGAAGTATCGAAGTGCGCCCGTTCACTGCGCCAGCTCCGAGAATTGGTTGGAACCCCAAGAGAAGCGACGCACTGGTTGCAGCGAAAGCCTACATGAACCCGGCGAGGTGCTAGACCTGAATCGCAACCGCGTGTCAGATCCAGGCCATGGAAGCAGACCACTTACCGTACTTTGCAATGCGCCTTGAGACGTCTGGTGCCTTGCCCCCAGGAATCGGATGCTTGGCGCAAGTGGCGCGCCTGCCACGTGCAGACGATTTCCTTGTCATGGGGCAGCAGGTGCATCACGCAAGTGCCCCTGCAGGTGTTGGACTTGCCTTTTCTGACAGACTTGGAAGTTATGCTCTTTGACAACAGAGTGGGCGAGGAGCCTGGGCTAGTCGAGAGGCTCGAATGAAGCTGACATACGGGCATGTTGAACATTTTGAATATGGAGGCGTAAGTTCTTAACATGGCCATGGGCACGTCAGCTTCCGCATCCTCCACCCATGTCGCAGAATTGATCATATTGATCGTGGCCCTCCGTTCACAGGACGGCGCGCGGCAGTTGGCAGCAGCTATGCGGGGCTTGAAGTCGGTCCCACAGCTGGCATCCGCGTGATGTCCATACTTCGGCCCAGGCGTGCATTGACACTCAGCAACGTTGAAGTATTGTGAGGCCTTTCTCGCCTCAATGACACAACACATCTACACTTTTGCCCGAGGTTGTCTCGCCTGGTTCTGGGGCTCAACAGAAATGCGGCCAATGCCTCGGGCAGTCCGGACGGACGTGCGCTGAGCGCAGCATGTGCATCTGGAACGAATCTTCAGGTGTCCGAAGCTGGAGTACAGGCCTCGCTAGCGCTAAAGAGCCTTGAGGCTCTGAGGCTCTCTGATGCAGACGTCATGGCCAGTGTCGGATGTTGCAGGACATAGCCCATGCAGTGGCTTCGCAGAAGCTTCAGGACCTGGAGTCGCGCACCCAGCGGCTGCCTGAAGCCTCAATCAATACAATATACTCCTTGCAAAGCCGCAGGAACTTGATTTTGGAGGAAGATGGTGGAGTGTAACAGGGCAGTTGTGGGGCAATCTGAGAGATGCCGGGGAGTTCTCTCGGAGTGTGCTCAGTGTGGCTGCGTGTGGTGAGGCTGGACCTCAGTGTGAGCAGCGTGGGCTGGGCAGGTGCACGGAGGGAGCAGCGTGCTGCGCCTCGGCTCAAAAAATTCCGAGTTTCGCGAGGTGCTCATGACCTCGGCATGGCCATCTCCGCCCTCGAGGCACGACAGGGCACGAGCTTGAAAACAGAAAGGGGAAGTTGCCATGTCCTTGGCACCACTGCAGGGGCTTCAAAGCTTGACCCTCGATTTGAACGTGAACCACGTAGGCTGCTTTGAGCCTTGAGTGATTGTTCTGCCTGCACGGGGTTTTTCGGTTGTGTATATCCTTCTGGTCGAAGCCTGGTTCCCCAATGTTCTCTGTGAATCCTCCTGGCGCTCTGCAGGCTCTGCGGGCGCCCGCCTTTTGGCCCAGGCCCTTCCTTCATTCAAGGGGAACCTCCAGCCTAGTCACCTCCAGAATGGCGTTGTGGAACCGTGGTGACTGTCTTCAACGGTTGCATGTCCCGGAGGCAATCTCAGCCCAACAGTCTTTGGTCCCTTGCCCCAGTTTGTCACGGAGCCACATGGACCTGCGGACCCTTTGTTGCGGGGTGCAGGGGGCTCGCTATGCTGCGCTGCTTAAGGTCAGCCTGCGCTTCCTGGCCTCTGGAAACCGTATGCGCGAGGTTGGCGCACGCGAACTATCGCAGGCCGCCGTGCAGGAAAGCTGAATGCCCACACAATGCCATATGCAAAGGGTGGGATCATGGGTTGCATCATGTTGCATCATTTTGCATCATTGTGGTATTTGCCGAATGAAGGCAGGCTGTGCAGAGTGTGCAGACTGCAAGCCGAAGGCACTGATGTCACTGCGACGTCTGGTGAACTTGGAGATGGATGTCAGTGGCAATGGTATAGGTGAGAAGCTTTGAAGATCCGACGCTCCCCACATTCTCTCTCTCTCTTTCTTTCTCTGTGCGCGTGCGACTGCTGGGTCTCTTGGTACAATTGCAGAGCTTGGATGCACAGGCGACACCGGTGCATGCGAGCTTGCACGTGCCATGGGCTCACTGGGAAAGCTTTGCAGGCCTGAAGCACCTTAACTTGAGTGCAAGTGCACAGGACATCGGGTGAGATTCTTTGGTAGATCCCCGCACGCGGCCCCACACTTCTCTTCACAGGCTCGTGGCAGACCTGCGGGGTAACCTCGTCGCGGACCACGGAGAGCGGGAGCTTGCAAGGGCCGTTGGTGCCGGGGCCTTAGCCCACCTGTACCCTTCGTAGCTCGAATAATGCGAGCTGTAGCTCTGTCAGTGGGATGGGGGATTCCTGTTCACCCGTGTCATCATGAACCTGTTAACCGCACGAATGAGGGAGATGAAAAGGGCCCCTTTAAAGGACTTATTATTTGGCCCTTTTCACCCTCATTCTCCCATCCTGGCTGGTACCTTCACGACTCAACAGATTAACTCCTAGAGACAGAGGTTGTTTCGTTCATGTGCTCACTGCGTTCATTCATTCGCAGGCTCATTCATTCTCTTATTCACACACTCTATGCCCCCGGCATCATGATTCACGATGCTGTCGTAAGGATTTGCCAAAGCTTGAGCGCCTGGAGCTGCGCCTGGCTGGAAATGGCCGAACTGGGGCGGGGCCCTGGCACTACGAGCTGAAGAACGCCGTGCCCAAGCGTGAATTCATTGTCCGAGCTTGGCTAGCCTCGTCCACTATTCTTCGCGATATTCGCTACCGTCCGACATGAGGTGCAGAAGTTGCAAACTGGCGGCTGCATTTGCGACTTCTCATACTGAGCATATGGCATCTGTGAGGATGTCCGGTCTGCCTCTCGGGCTGTGTTCGGATTGGCCTTGACATCATCTGTAGGAAGATGTGCTTCATTCTGTGGCGCGGTATGAAGCGGCAGCTTCGAATTGCATGACTGCGACAAGACAGGACCCTGGGTTCTATGTTTGGTTTCAAACGCTTCTAGAGCTCAGGTCATGCCCGATACCTCCATCCTCTGGCCCCTGGCGAATGTCAACGGTGGCCCTTGTACAAAGTGTTTGCTTTGCCGTGGACTTGAGCGATGCCAAAAGCAGCTCCTTGTCAGATGCTGGTGGTAAGCGCTGTTTCTCTTGGAATCGCTAATCGCTCACCTCCGACCCTTTGAAGGCTTGTACAGACCCAGAGATCCTTGTGCTTCACGGATCCGGTTTAAATTCGTGCTCTGTCACATGAGGATGCTTGCGCGTGCAGCGCTTCTGCATGACTCGTGCACATCGTATGTTGGGTTTGCAGGATGGTGCATCCGAGGGGGGCTATTTCTGCTTCCAGGCTAGGTCTGAGGAACGGGATTCAGGATGCTGAGATCTAACCAGTGCAGATGCCTTCAGCTCCTTCGCTGCGGGATTCGAATTCAGGGGGACGGTGCTCAGCCATGAAAGTACACTGTGGCGACCCGATCCTGCCTGTAGATCCTGGTCCAGAAGTCCAGAGGCCTTTTCTGCAGTGATTCTTGACTCTTGCCCTTTGTGGAGATGAAAAGGTGGGGGGCTCAACGGCTCTGCTCCATCTTTGCGACAAAGGGGCCTTGACACACCTTCCTGAGTCCGGAATGGCTCGCCGAATCGGCTCCAGGTACCTCTTAGGCGCATGTAGGAGAACCAAGCAGCGGGCCGCGAGGGTGACTCGCCCCCGGTGTGGGCCTCTTGGCCATATCAAGTGTTCTCTGGAAAAGTGGGGTTCTGTGGGTTGCAGAGAGGCTGGTGCACCATGATCCAACAGGTCGGCCCACAAGCATGGCGATGAACCCGGCCAGCGTGTCACAGCTGCTTGAGGACATGGAGAATTGGGACAAGGCGCAACTCTCTTCGGCTCCAGCCTTGCCTTTTGCCAGTCGGAAATTCTCCGACATCTCCAGGACAAGCGGTTCATGGCTGCCTCAGATTTGACGCAGGAGGTGACAATGTCCAACCAGGCTTGTGGTAACTGCAGCTTGATGTCGCTCCGCGCGAGATGTTGGACGGTGTATACATGGGGGTCGCTTTGGGCCATTGTAGGCTTTTGTGGTTCCACATGGACTGTTCCAACTCCTGTCCTAAATCAAGCAAGTGCCCCACTGAAGCTGCTCAACGCTGGCGAAATTGGGGACAAGCGATGACAACCATCCCCAAGCAACGCAGCAGTTACGAACAGGGCTTAGGGCGCTCGCGGCAAGAAGCAATGGCGGAGCGGCCCGAGGCCCCCCGAAAATTCGAGATTGGGCCGCCGCAGATCGGACACTCAGACGCTGTATGTTGAAACCAGTCGAGCTCAGTCACTCTGTCCCTTAAGTCAGACCCAGTCGCTCAGGCACTCAGCCATTCAGAGCAGACCCAGTCACTCAGACACCTAGACTTGCATTGTCGGAGGCTGAAGGCAGTCACTCAGTCACTCAAAGTCTTAGCCTTCACAGGCCAGACCCTGTCACTCAGTCACTTAGACCCTTGTGAGTGTCTAAGTGTCTGAGTGGCTAAGTGGCTGGCTGGCTGAGTGGCTGAGTGACTGAGCGACTGGTGTCAAGTGATGGAAACCGCTATGCATGCTCTCGCACGAAAGTTCCGAACCGAGTCTGTTCGATTTGCCCCCCTGGCAGGTGCTAGATGTGCACCTCCAGAAAAGAGTATGTCAAGCTTTTGTGAAGCAGCTGGAGGCGCAATACGTCGCAGCTAGGACCGATGCACTTTGTGTCCTTTCTCTTTTTACGCTTGTCAGGACCAGAGCATCGACGTGCAGGGGAATGCCGTGACTGGGCAGAATATGGAAGACAAGATGCCGGGCCTTAGGATTGTGGGATGTCTCCTGCGAAGCGCAAGGTGAAGTGCCTGGCCAAAATAGTGTGCAAGTTTCAAGAGCAGCAGATCGGAGAGGCGCAAGCGACGCACTGCACCGCGCTTTGCAGATTCCTGCCTTTACTCTTTCTGTGGGGGCAGGTGCTGGCCAAACTCAGCCAGCAAGTTCTGGATGGCAAAGCCGAGGTGAGAAACTCTGGTACCGAAGCCCTTTGTGTGCAGAGTCTGAGCCTGGCTGAGCCTGCAAGGTTCGGGACATCTATGCAACATGCTTGAAGGGCCTGTTGTCGGAGCTGCTCCTGGGCTGCACTGCTGCATGTTTTCTGTGATCGGCTTGTGGGCGGGGGGCTGCCTGGGAATCTGCATCGGCATGACCCGCCATGACCCTGGCCTGAGGCCGGCCTCTTGTAGCGCTCTCGCCTGCCAAAATGCTTGATTCCTGGCCTGGCGCAGTGTTTCCAAGCGGCTTCAGTCACTTTCAGTAGCTTTGAGACGAAAGTCAAGGTCTTGCCAAAGATGTTGCATGGCATCACGTCGATTCCTTCGCTAGAGGCAGCTGGAAAGAGAGCGTTTTTAGTTCACTTTGAGGGGAGCCGGATACCGTGAGTTGATTCTCGTGTTGCGCAACATGATATTTTGCACAGGTCAAGGAAGAATGTACAGACGTCTTCCACGACTTCTTGAAGAGATTCGGTGCCAACCTGAGCCTTTCAGCAGCGAGCAACTGCCCAACTCGTTGAATTTGGTGGAAGAGGAACTCCATACAAGACGGTCCACACTGTGCAGACGAAACGCAAGCAACCTTTTGACTTTAAGCAAGTCCGCGACAACCAAGGTGACAATCGTATAATGCAGTGGTCCGACCAGGCCTCCCGGGCAAGTGACACGTCTGCTGCACTTGAGACGCTTCCTCTCACGGCCGAAGCTGATGCAGGATAACATGGCTACTTCGCTGCTGAACTTGCTAAAGCCCAAGCAGCACAAGACCTCCTTGCGAAAAAAGGTGGGCAGCCTGGATCCGTGTTCTCAGTGTGCTTTCAAGTTTCGTTGTGTGGTGACATGTCGCTGCGAGTGGTGTGGGGGGGGGGGGGGGGGCACTGTTAGTTGAATCAGAGAAGCAAGGCTTGTCCTGTTTTCATCACGCACGTGCCATTATCTAGGGAAGGCGAACCCCAGAATTTCACAGACGGGCAGGTCGCTGTTGATGCTATGGAACACAAGCCGACAAAACAGCTTGGCAAGCAAAGCAGCGAGTCAGAAGCCGTGGATTACTGTTGCTGGGGTTCCGAAGAAACGGTTCGCCGTACATTATTTCTTCGGGAGGCGGTCTTGCTAACTTTTCTTGTCGGATCGTGCGGCCATGCGGTCGGGTTTTGAGAGCAGTGGCTCGTGGCTCCATTGACACGCAGCGCCAAAATTCTTATACTACTCACTTACGGCCCTAAACCCTTAAGCCCTAAACGCCACTTTCCTCTTGGTTTCACAACTTTGGACATGATGATCATTGATGAACGAAAGGGAGAATCAGAAGTGATGAAGTGACAGAATATCGCCGTGCCCCCGTGCATTTGGCGGTCATACAAAACGTCTTGTGCGTGCACGGGGCACATTGAAGGCAAATGTTGTCTGCGCGGCTGAATGTTCAGAATCATCAACATGCACGCGAGTTGTGATGGCCATGACCTGAGTACTGTCGGTCTGACACGAACAGTCCACAGTCGGGAACGTCCCTCGCTTCAAACAGTTTCCGCCTTTGAGCGTTAGCAGGACCGTGTCATTAGGAACCATTGAGGCAGGGGTAAAAGTTTGTGATCTTACAGTTTGATGTGGCAGGTCATAGCCTGCATCGGAGCTCTCTCCGCAGTGCTAGCAGATCGGCAGCTAGATACCTTGATGAGGACACGGAATGGGCCCTCTTGTGAAAGATCAGACGGATATAAGTTTCAATGCCTTGAATTGAGGACATTGCTTGCCGATGTCCGACAAGCGGGCACAAAAGCAGAAAAGCAGAAGTGCTTCGGCATGTGTTGGCCATGTTGTGAGGACTTTCATGCCGCCGGGTGAATGTCTCTGGTGTTGTGATCAGGTACATCCAGTGCATCAGCACCGTGAGTAGGAATGTCGGCCTGCCACTTACACATGGGAGTTTACGAACATATGGGGGCCCTTATAATTGTAAACGCTTGGGCGCGCCGCCTCGGCAGCCGGGCAGGGCAGCGGGGTTAAAGGGGGGGGGGGGGGGGGGGGGGGGGGGGGGGGTGGAGGGTGGAGGGGGGATCCGACTGTAGCAGCCACCGACAGCCGGGACCCTCCACGGCTTCGGTTTGCAGCTCCTCCAAGCGATTCGGGGGGGTCCCACAGGGCGGGGGGGGGGGGGTCACAAAATTTTGCATGGGTTGGGTTAGGCAAGAACCGGGGTCTGCTTGTTCCAGACGCTTGTCGGCAGGAAGCCGAGGCGAATAAAAACCCCCAAATAGTAGGCTCCCCTTAGATGAGTGACCCCAATAAGGTACCCCTAATTTCGGAAACTTCCACGTGCTTGAGCACAAGTTGAGCGTGCATCCAAGAGCTGCCCGCACGCTGCCCTGAGACAAGGTTTCCGAATCGGCCAGCACTTGAAAGAAATTGCCCCACTGTTCTTCCAGATAGTGAACCAGGCCCCTTCGGAAACCGACGCCTCTTTGTCCTTCACTCACTTGTCTCTTGGATGCGCAGGCGACTCAAGAAGATGTCTCCATGGATGGCGATAATGAGAAAGACCATGAGGTGGGGCCCCTGGCATCTGAAGGTTCTCAAGGTGTTGCCTCTAGCCTGATACCTGCTCCTTCAGGTTGTAGAGAATTGCTTGAACGCCTTTGAGTGCTTCGTGCTGCGCTGCTCCAAGGAGGAACGGCTTGCCAAAAGAGTTGCCGTTTGTTGTGCTTGAAGCATTATCATCATTATTATGATTACTATTACTATCATTACTATTTTTATTATTACCTCATTAATATGGGTTAAATATGGTTAGCTATTACTATTAAGAATTATTATCCCTATTCTTGCAGCGAAGTCTTGACCTCTCTGTTGTTGGACAGATGATGCCCCACCTGGACGAGCTCTGCGGGGTGATTCTCAGCTTGGTAGCATACGATCCCAACTTCTACGATGCCGGTGATGCCCAGGACTGCTCTAAACCCTAAACCTAAGCCCTAAACCCTGAACCCTAAACCCTAAACCCTGGTCTGGCATCCAGGATGCCACCATGGACGACGGCTTCGAGGAATTCGATGAAGATGGGCTGGTGGACTCCGACGACGACGACAACTCCTGGAAGGTTCGGAGAGCAGCGCTGAAGGCCAGGGTTTAGGGTTTAAGGGTTAGGGGTTAGGGTTTAGGGCTAGGGTTTAGGATTTGGGGGAAGCTCTCAGAGAGGCTTTCAGAGCGGTGGCTCCGTTTGACTTGGGGTCTTTCTCAGGGGTCCCCCTAATTTCGCAAACCCCATTTCAGCTTCTTGCTGTCTTTTGAGCACTCTTTCTCTTCGACAGGTCTTGGAGGCCATGGTAAAGGGCCTCCCGGACAGGTGGGCCAGTGGGAGTCAGAACTCTTACTGTTGGCTAGTAGGGAAGGAGGGAATCAGGTACCCCATATCCCCCTGCATATACCCTTTGAGGGATTGTATAGAGTTCCTCACCCCCTCATTCCCTACGAACCAACAGTAAGAGCTGGATCTTGCCAAGTTCGTGAAGCTGGCTTTGCCATGATGTTTCTGCATGATGGGTCAGGTTAGATGAAATTTACTCCAAGTTTGCTCAGCCGCTGATAGCACGCTTCAATGAGCGCGAGAATCTCGGAGAGCGCAGTAGTTGGACATCTGCAACACCAGGAAGTTATTGTAGCTGCTTTGATTTCTTTCAGGTGAGGAGAGCGTCAAGTTGGACGTGTTCACCACGTTTGGTGAGATGGCACAGGCAGCCGTGATAAAGGCAAGGTGTAAAGCATGTGTTTGAGACCCTTGCCTCTTGAGTTCGGACAACTATGGACAACTCTGTCATTCCTGCGAGACGCAGCCTTTCTTTGCTGCCTCGAGCGTGGCTTCGACCCCTTCAGCTTCATCCACCTTCATACTGGAGGTACCTGAGAATGCTGAGAGCCTTTGTCTCCACAAGGCTCTAGGAATCTGCCCTGCTCCTGTCGACTCTATTGCAGGTGGAGCGAGCCTTACCTCCCAAGGACACCCCACACTTTTTTTGTGTTTCATTTTCGCTTCTTGTGCTCACAGCTTGCTCTGTTGATGGTGATCTTCGATGGCCCCAGGAGCGGCCGACCTCGCAGCACCTCATCGCCGTGGTTCCGGCATGCATCTCGCAGCTGAACAAGCAGATGCGCTCCAAGGACCTCGCGGGAGCTTGGTAAGGAATGTAGGGATGTCGCAAAATGCAGCATCGCAGCATCAGCAGATTCCTGCAGGCAGCAAAAACACGACAGGGTGCGTTGATCCTGCTGCGAACACTGCTTGGCACTCATTTTTATCGCGAATGTATAGCGCAAGCCGCAAACTGATTCTCTCGGCAACTTCTGCGTACCAAGGTCCGAGTGCATTCCGCAGCACGTCGAGCCCAACTTGCCACAGGATCCGCTCGTGAGCTTCCTGCTTGCGCGTTGCCAGCGCTGGTTTTTGGCAGGTCAAGGACGAGCTCGTACGAGCCATGAAGGAGTCAAACTCATCCATGCGGCTGGACAGTCTGGTCTTGACTAGGCCTGCGACTTGGGATCCGCACAGAGCCGGATGTGGAGCTCACAGCCTGCTTTCAGGCACTTGGCCGAGTACTTCTTGACGGCCGCGACTTTTCAGCAGCTTGCTCCGGAGCTCTGTCCCAGACTGAGATGGGAGAAGGGACGTGGGTCAGGAAACTAAAGCATTCACAGCATTCAAGAGGCCCTTTGTTTTTGACCTGCTGCTCGGACACGTACTACAAGTCGATTGCGCAGGCAGCCGGCTCATGCGGTTCGATGAGTTCTTATTTTCATGGCGCCCGTTGGTACATCCCCTGTAGCTGCACGATGCAAACATGGGAGCCCCGGGAAGGATGTCGGGGATACAGGCTTTGCAAGCAACGCCGCCGTGTGACAGACCACGCAGCGAGAAATGTTGGACACTTTGCAGAGCAGCAGTTGGACCACCTGCGGCCCCAATGGCCACGCTGCTCTTTCGGCTGCGTGGCTCGAACCGTGGGTGAGAGTTAGGCTCTCACCACTTTGCAGGGTAGCAGGCTGTGGCCGCGGCGAAATACAGGGAAGCCCCATGATCGGGTCGAGCAAAGAAAATGATACCAGACCGTCCGAAAGTGTATCGAACAACTTCCCGCCACTGCATTCCTTGTCTCCATCTACTAGGCTGTGAGGAAAGCAGATGGGCTGGCAGAGTGCTTGTTGCGCAGGCTCTGAGGGCCATCGGGGCGTACGTCTACACCCTGAGGCCTCTTGTCTTCTTGAGGGGACTTGGCCGGCTGTTTAGCAGCAACCCCTCAGCAGTAGTTGCCAGACGCTGTAGGTACATTTCACTGCGTTTGGTTTCTGAACTTCAGGCCGTCTCCAGAGGCAGTCAGCTCTGAGTTGAAGGTTATGCTGCCCGTTTTCGACGTGCGCTCTGCCTCGACATGCAAGAGAAGCATGGCCTCGCGTGGTGTAGGTTAGGAGCCTAAGCCGATTTAAAGCTTTGTAGTTTGTAGATGTTTGCAGCGCATGGCCCTGCGAAGAGGTACTCAAGAGCAAGCTCCTGGCGACGGACATTGACCAAGAGGCTCTCAGGAGAAGGGCTCTCCTAAGTGGCCGATGAAGAAGCCGACCTTTCTTGGCAGGTCAAGGAAAGTGCGCTGGAGTGCTTGGGCCATTTGGTGGCTTGCACTGGGGACTGGGGCTTCTATGGGGGATGGGTGCCTGTTTGAGCTGTACATGGAGCCACCTGTGTAGGGATGCGTAATCATGCTGGGCAGGACTTGCCGGACTTCCAGGCTCCGATTCAAGACTGCCTGCCGTCCTTTGTGGAGCGCATCAAGAACGAGGCGGGGCGCGCCGGTGGCAGTATATCGTTTGCATGGAGCTTGTCAGCAGGAAGCACCTGCAGGTCACCCGCACAACCGCCATCAAGGCCTTGAGGACGATGTGCATTTCCAAAGTGCCCCTCCTCCTGGCCTTTAAAGCCATGGTGTCTGAATTGTCAGCCTACAGCTTTTGCGCGGCATTTAGGATTGGGTCTACAGATGCCATGATCGGGAGGTACAGATCGCTGCGGTCGGCTCCATTCTCCCGGCCGTCTCTTGGAGGGCAGTGGAATGCTTGTGGCGGAGCCCCCTTTTCCTCAAGCAAGCTGGGGTGAACTGAGGTTGGTGGCACCTTGTCACAATACCTGAGCCAGAATAGCCGTTCCTTCAGGCCACCAGACCGTTCCCCTGTCCATAATATGCTGCCTGTACATCATAGTACATCTGTATCAATATGTCCTTTCTGCAGGCAGCAGTGCTTGGATGCACTTGTGCACCTCATCAAGAAGTGCTCTGCTCCGCATGGTAGATGCCGGGCACATGATCGTAAGACCGGTTGGACGTGCCAGGTATGGCGGCGGCATGCCGAATGAGACCATGATGCAGATTCTTGGCCATTCGGCCATGATAGTTGAGAAAGGTTGCTTGACAGCGAGGCGTATGTCCATGCCAGGTGACATGGTTCCGTTCATTACCGACACCGACCTCTACATAACGGATCTCTGCGTTCAGATCGCCGTGCAGGCTTGCATGGCGGGCTTCATACGTGTAGCGCTTGCACGACGCTGGCGATGGGGTGGTCAGGTCCTTGCCACTTCACCGCGAATGGCACCCCAGGTGATCGAGCGCTGTGTGCCACAGCGGCAGAGTCAGATCTGACTTTGTGTTGCTCTGCTCTGCATGACTGCATGTCTTGGCCCCATGACCGTGACCAGCAGGTGCCGGCGGTGCTGACCGTGTGTCGGTCGCCGCTCCTGCAGGGCAGCGCCTTGGCCGGGACCTCGAGATATATTCCACGAGGACAACTCGCAGAGTAGAGTATGCAGAATGCGCAAGTGGCTGCCAAGGATTCGATCCTGAACTTCTTGTCTCGAGTTGCGCAGCATCGCGACCACTGCCCTTTCGAGAAGCTGCGCCAGGAAAAGCCCCAAGTGGTGTCCAAAGTGTCCAGCTTTTGCGCTCAATCTACCTCGTGCGAGTAGCACCATCGCCTGCCAGGAGCTCAGCAACACTTCGGTCATCGCTACGGCGCAGGCGCAGGCGGGGCAGCCGAGATGTGCAAGCCGAGACAGACAGCAACCTCGAAAGCAAGAGTCCTGATGATCAGCCTTGAAATGACCCGAACCCGTGTGAAACTTAAGACTTAGGACTTAGGAGCCCAAGGCTAATGAGAACATGCCATGTGCAGGCACAGCGGCACGCCGCGCTGGCGCATTGCTACGCTCTGGGGGCTTTGAGGGAATTCGAGTCTCGCGTTTTCCGCCATGATGCGCGTGACAGGTCATCGGCACCCTCGCGAAGGGTTTGGCTGCAGTAACGGCCTCTTCGGCTCCCGACGTGCAGAAGGAGCACCTCGCCCCCCCCCCCCCCCCCCCCCTAGGTAAAACGTCGAATAGCCCCAAAGAGCCCCCGGGGTGTTCGAGGCGAGTTCAGCGACTTTTTTTGGGTGCAATTACCATTTTTGCCAGGCTGCGGTGCAGCACTTCTTGGAGAGTGTGAAGAAGACCTCCGGGAACCCGGCACCTGAGGTGTGCTGAAACGAGATGACATGAGATGACATGAGATGACACAGAAGGGATCTGAAGTATTCCTGGGTGCAACCTCCAGGTAATGCATCAGTGTGAGCTGTCGCTGCTGGCTCTGGGTGAAACTGGCAAGTGCGCCCCCGAGGTTTGACGCATCCAGTGGTAGTAATATGGAGAGTATGGAGAGTATGAAAAGTCGTCAAGAAGCCTCTGGCTCATCGCAGGTACGCTGACCTTTCCGGGGTTCCCGGCTTTTGCGATGTGCTGCTGCATCAGCTGGAAAGCCAGCAGGACGCTAGTTGAATTTCAGTCATCAATGGCATCACATCCTTTCTTTCCCTTGTCCGAGGACGAGATTCGGCTTGCAGCTGCACTGGCGTTGGGTTATGTGGAAGCCTAAGCGAGACTGCGGAAGATGTTAGGAGCCTGAGGAGCCTGGTGGTGCCATGATCTATCCTTCGGGGCATTCCTTTGGTGGCATGCTCAGGCAACCGTGGGTGCCATGGGCACGCTGCTGAAAGTCGTGATTGACAACGTGCAGCAGGCAGGGTGCTTTGGTGAGAAATCTTTGCTGGCATGAAGCAAGACTCGAAGAGCAGCCAGACATTCATTCAAGTTCAACCCCCTTGCCAGGCCGGCGCCGAAGCCCAAAAGAAACAGTGCCGCAATCAACCAGATAAGCGCTGTATACCAGCAACTGCTGAAAGCGCCGATTTGAGAGCCGCCGAAAAGCGGCATCACGGAATTCTTGCGGAGTTCTTGCTAGCACAGGTACTTGCTGTTGACGTCGCTTCGGGAAGTCATTGCGATTGGCGTTGCTGAGAGGCCATTGCAGTGTGACCCCAAGCCCTAAACTACCCCCCAAAACCCCTAACCCCCTAAGCCCTCCACCCGAAACAAGTTTTGTGCCTTCTTGTTGCTGCAGTTGGCTCTACCAGGCATGGATCCCGTGCTCTTGCAGAGCATTTGAAGCCACATGTTCCACGGGTTCTGCCTGGGCTTCAGACCTTCGGTCAGGCTTAGCCAAAGTCAGTGCTCATGCTGGCTCGCGCTAAGGCCCATTCTGCAGCAGTATGCTGACTCCCAGGAGGTACCTTCTATGCTTTGCTAGGTAAAAATGAGAGAGAATGACGTCACATGATGTGGAACTTTTGTATTCACTTGAATGCAGCACTTCGAATGGTTGCCAGGAGAGCATGCGGAATGTCGTGTCTGAGTCGCTGGGACACCTGCTCACTGTTGACCAGGCATCTGATGCCCGAAAGGCTGTGTTTACTTTAATTTCACTGGTCCCAATGTAGCAAACCTTGATGGTCAGAGTCGTGAGATCATCTAAGTCTACTTTGGGTATGCCAGAAAAAGTGCCATGTGAAGCTTTTTTCATGGTGGAAATCGCATCAAAAACTGTTGCAAGGAGGTCGGCCTGAGTCTTCGGATGCGATTTTGGATTCTGATGTATAGCTGCAATCATCTCAACGCGAAAGTTCTAGTCTTCTCCGCTTGGGTTCGTCACGCGGCCATCGCGCACGCGGTCTTCTCATCATCTCTGACTCCGATGTTCTTGGCTGCTTGCTGGGCTGGCCATAGGCATCTCTGCCCCTGGTCTGCCCTTGTTTGCAGCCTCAAGCAGCCGCTTGCAACTGCTGGGGTTTCTGCGGGTGGCGCGAGTGGCTTCAGAGCATTCGGCAGCAAAGGGCCAACCAGACCTTGGCTCGGCGACTTGCGCTCCATGCTGAAGACAAGCTCCCTCCGAGCGGTCCTAATGCACAGGACGACCTAGAATGCGTTCACTGTGCGTGGGAAGATCTTGGCACGATCAGAGCGTTTCCTAGGAAGTGGATCAGCATTTTTTGTCGGGGATGCTGGACAACATGCGTGTGCCTCGGACTGTGCCAGGAGCCGGAAGCTTTGACAAAACGTAACAGGACTTACCGCATCAACGCAGGCGCTCTCCTCTCCCCGGACAAGCCTCGACCCGTTGCGCTGTTGTGGCATTTTGCGGCATCTTTTTCGGCGGTTGCTCAAACATCTATGAAGAAAGCAGCTTGACAGCCCGCAATGCATAGCACGCTATGGCGACGGGCAACGCGGGGCGCAAACGTTTGCGTGCCCGCTGGCAGCAGGGTCCAAGAATAGAAAGCAAGTCCAAAGCAATTTGGGAGAACCTTGCCTTTCATTAGTCTATACACACATCCCCAAGGTTGAGCCTGCGGCTCATGCCGTTTCAATACAAGGGCTTGGAGAACTTCGTAAACAAACGTTCCGAGGAGAAGCACCATGAATTGTCGCTCGTTTTGGCGAAAAAGCAGCTACTTCGACGGGTGCATGTTCGCCTGGACAGCCAACAGGCGCCAAGTCTGACAGGTCTGGGAATTTACTTTCGCGAACAAGATGTTTGAGTGACGCACTGGGGCCTGGGCCCTTTCACAAATGTTGCGCCTTCACACAAGTACCTTCCTTCCTCGGTCGTGACTTGGCAAGCCAGCTTGCATGTGCCCTTTCTCACCGCAAAGCGCCTCTGGAAACAGCTTGCGTGCGTTAGGTCGTCCCCCGGCGTTAGCAAGCTTAATAAGAGTTCCTGCGGCTTGGCAAGGGCTCCAAACGTTTGTAGCGCCATTTCTCCAGACCCAAAACACCCATATAACCCAAATGGAGCGTCCTGTGCGTGGATTGCTTGCCTTGACAGATAGTCGAAGCAGTGCCAGGGTCTGTTGTTGACGACAAACTGGTCCCTGGCTCAAATCCGGAGGTGCCAGAGAAGGGCACCCCCTTCTGCGTGACAAACCCAAGCTGGGTCTGGGCTTTGGGTTGTGTGCTTTGACATCTCCACGGGAAAGGGTTCCTTGTCAGAGGATAGAGAAGGCCTTCCGTAGGAAAACGAACACAGCGAAGTTTTCGTCGCGCTTTTGCCCCATGTCATGTTTTTGTCAGTTTGACTGCCTCCTCGGGTGGATTTTCGACACCACTAATTCCACTCACAGTGGTTTGCAATTCCCATTGCGCGTGCTTGGTTTTCATGCTGGCCAGGATGCCGTGATGCAAGCTTTGACAACATTGCTGTCTAATCGAGACAGGCGGCCCGAAACAGAGAGCGAATCGGCACCATCGCCAGCCTTGCAGCTTCCTTCTGTCTGACATTGCGCCAGGGAGAGTTGGAGGATGAGAGCCGCCGCGGTGGCTGCCGTGCGTTTCGCTGCGGCAAAGCAGTGTCAGGTGCGCTATCTATCAGCCTCTATCAGCCTCCGGTCTGTGGAATTTTGTGGGACGGAAAGAAACAGTCTAATGTGTTGAGACAGGCCTCTGCGGTCTTGCCGCTCAAGGTCGGGTCTGTTGTTGATGTCACTCGCCAACAGGGTCAAACCATGCTTACTGCGACTTGTGCAGGAAGCCTTGCTGACCTGCCTGGGTGATGAGGAGTTGCAGGTCGAGACTTATCGCGCCCAGTGTTGACCTGTTTTTTTGTGTGTACCTCTGGTTACTCTGTGCTGTTGCCAGGTGAGGAAAGCGGCGCTGCATTCGGTGAACGTTGTTTGTGTCTCCCCGACTTGCTCCGAGATCCTGAGGGACCATGAGTGGACCATGCAAATGAATGGGTTAAGCTGCCCAATGCAACAGGGCGTCGCGATGTTTCCGCTCGGGGCTTTCAACTTTCAACTGCCTGCAGGACAGCACAGACCTCATCCTCGAACGAATCAAAGAGGATTCCAAACAGAAGCGCATGCCTTGGCCAGTTCGCTGTTGCATGCACCCAATGCAAACTGGTGCTGCTTTTTCAGCAGCTGCAGCGGCAGCAGCGGTTGGTGCTCGTGCTGCTGGGCCGTTCCTGTTGCTGTTCCACAATGCTGTTAGTTCCTGCTCCTCTTCTTTGTGGTTGATCGTTGGGGTCGCTGTTGTTTGCAGCAGAAGTGCAAGGCCGGAGCTCATCAGAGAGGTGGACCTGGGGCCGTTCAAGCATAAGGTGGGGGGGTCTGTGCAGGCTGGTGTGATCGTTGCAGGGCCTCTGAGAATTCGCCAGGTAGACGATGGGCTGCCTTTGCGGAAGTTTGCGTATACCGCCCCTCTCTGAGTGTGGGCCGTGCAGAATTGCTTGCTTCGGCTGACATGGTTTTTTTTTTGCAGTGCCTGATGCAGAAGCGATTTTGCGTCCCAAGGTGTGCTGTTCACTGCTTGCAGCCTATCCAGAGCAGGTAGCTTCGCCAACGCTTATTGACCTAGTACTACAAGGCACGGAAGCTGCAGAAGGGCCAGTGTCAGAAACAACGCGTGGCGAAGTTCTTGTGGTTCAACGCTTGCGTGGACGCATGCACCAGGGATGGGCGACAACGAAGACATCCAGGTCATATGCTGCCAGCCACGCTGACGCGCTTGGCATGTGAAGCGCTTGCGATGTGACCATGAATCCGTGAACCACACATGCGGGTTTACGGAATTAGGGGTAGGTTATTGGGGTCCTTACTATAAGGGAATCTTACTATTTCGGGATCGATCTTAGGGGTCCCCCATTTTCGTAAGCCCCCACATGAGCAAGTCGAGTTCTTGCACGCCAGGCTGCTGCAGGACCTCTGCTCCTGGAACTTCGCCCTCTTTCGCATCATCGGCCGCGTTGGTGATTTGGTCGAACCGTGCGCCGCCACAGTGTCTACCAAACAGCGTGCTGCAATTTGTCCTTGCACACCTGACCTTTTGGACTGAAGCTTCTGAAGCTTCTGAAGCTTCTGAAGCTTCTGAAGCTTCTGAAGCTTGCACGTGCCGGACTCGGACAGACAAATCCCTGGCAGGTTCGACCGCTGCATCATGCGGTGGATCAAGCAAGTTCAGGCGAAGCAGCAAGTCGGCAGGAGCCCTGCTGTATGCTGCTAAGCACGACATGTTGGAGTCATGCGGGGCTAGACGAGGTCGTGTGCCTCTTTACGATACTAGTAGCATCTAGTAACTAGTAGCCACATCAACCACCGTCCAAGCGAAGTGGAGAGCGAGAGTCGGATGAAAGACCTTGAAAGCAGGCACTGAGTGGCCCAACACCAGCCTTTTTTTATTCCCTACTGGTGCCAAGGCCGTGCCATGGACATGCTGCGGCTCTACGCGAGAACGCTGAAGGTGGTTGAGCCCATCGCTGAGGCCAACCAGCACAAGGCCGGACCTTTGCATCTTTTTTCACAGGTTACGCGGGGTGTAACGGCGTCTAACGGTGTGGATCAGCGCAACATCCCTTTCTGTAGCTCTGCAACGGTGTTAGGGTGCTCAGGCTTTTACGCGGGCAGCGTAGAAAACTCACATCTTGGCGTGGAGGGTCTTCCGGTCTAATGGACACCGCTCGTACATCTACAGTTTACACCTTTTTGAGTGAGACAGTTTGGGCATTTTAGGATGCAGCAAGTAGCATGCGAGTCTGTGACGTGCACTGGTGTACACCATGCTGGACAGCGTAAAGGGCCATCTTGGGATCTTGGGAAGTCCACACTGTGAGCAGGACTGCGGGCGGCTGCACACAGGGCATTTGAGGTGTTGTCGTTGTTGTTCCCACAGGGTTAGATGCTGTGAACCTTAGCCTTGGACTTAAATCTGACGGCCTCTGCACTCTTTACCACCCTACGGTGCTGGGCAAGGTCTTTGTGGACTTCATGGGCCGAATCATGAAGGACATTCATGGACGGTTGTGGCTGCACTCATACCGCTGCACCACAGTCAGCCCTGCAGATGGAGATGTGCCAGCTCTCAGCGCATGCAAGGACCAGGCCTTCGCGCAAGTTTACGAGCAAGCCAGCGCCGGCAAAGAGTTGTGACGCGCTGTCACATACTGCTCCGTGGTAAGCTGCGTGCGTGCCAAAATGACACACGCGAGCTGAGCAAAGTGTGCTGATGGAGGAGAGCTGTGCCAGATAGACTGTGGCATACAATGCGATACATCAGCGTGACATAGCTAGTGACCTGGTCGGCCTTTTGTTTAGAGACTTCTGGGGCATCAGAGCAGCTAGTGTTTTGAATGCGACATGAATTGCGCTGTTGACCTGCAGTCTGTCTGTGGCTTCGCAATGCCAGCAGATGCGAAAGGCATCTGGCCACAGCTGAGTCTGAGCTCTTGAGCACCTACTCAGTAGCTTAGGTAGTGCATTGGCCCTGAGGCCAGTGCAGCGTGACGTCGCGCAATAGCGAAGCAACTGCTGCGCACCTCCAGTTCAGGTACCTGGTAGTTGCCCAACTATTTAGTGCCGCCTGAACAACCAAAAAAAGCCGTGGAAAAGTGGGAGGGCTTTTTGAGGCGTGGTGGCGGGATGATGTCCCGAGGCCTGCTTCCGGAGCCACGCTCCGGCTCCTGGAATAAAACCTTGCGGGTGTCTTTTTCACTGCAGTCTCTGCATCTTTTGGGCTCTTCATGGGCTCAGCCGAATTCCAGGCTCAGGCGCCCTGGGTCCTTGTGTGCTCGTTTGCTCTTTTCGGGGGTCTCCTCAACGGCCACTTTTAGTGCTTCTGGCAGGTGCATGCCATGGTCATGGTGGCATGTGCCAACCGTAGGAGTATGTGCTGACAAGGCGCGGGCCGCTTGCAGACGTTTTGCATCGCGGCTGGCCCGACTCATGCAGGTTCTCGGAGCGCTGGGCCAGATCGGTGAGGATGCCAAGAGCAGTCCGCTGATTGCAATGCCTGCATCTGCACGATTCTGCACGGCAAAGAAAGGTGAAGCATGAGCATGGTGGAAGCTTCCGAACCACTCAAATGAAGACAAAAGGGCAGGAAAGCAGAGAAGCGCAATTTGCACAACCCAGCAGGCGACTGATTTGCAGGTTGAGGGGCTCCAGTTGTAGTTTGCCTCAGACACTGTTACTGCGAAGTTCCGACAATAGTAATCTTTGGGGGTTCCGATGAGAAGGATTAGAGCAGTTTGGGGTGCATTCGGGGTACCTTTATTTAGGGAAACGCGGGCCCTCTCCGGACAAAGCGCGAACTATGTGTTGCCTTGTGCAGACGCAAGTCCTTGCGAATGTGACTGGCGACCGGATTCGTTTTTGCTAGACGATGAGAAGGATGAGACAAGCAGGAAAAATAGAAGCACCCTAAGCCCAACCCGCTAGACTCGACACCTGCTCTTCCGCAAGACTTTCGCGGAGGAGGAGGATGTCAGACTCGGATGAGTTTGAGTACGAGTCCGATGATGATCCCTATGGTGGCGCCGAGGAGGAGGCGGGGGGCCTAAACGGGCCAAAGCCTACAACAAACCAGTATTTTGCAATATTTTAAAATAGAAGTATCATTTTTTTTGCAATATGTCGTGCTTGACTGTTTTTTGAAATATATTAATTGCCCAAAAAACCATCCAATGCCCTAAGCTGGTGTGGCAAACAGGATGGAGACGAAGAGGCCATCCAGATCGAGAACACCTTCTACGAGGCGGCGCCTGGTAGGTAGCCTAAGCGGCCTGAGGCTATATCCTGCCTGGGATTTTTCATTTTTGTGTATATAGAACCCAGGAGGATATTAAAAATGTTGTTTTTATTAAGGTTCTAAGGGGAGTATCGGAAGCTTGTGCTCAGCAAACGTTCTGTTCTCAGGCTGATGACAACAAGCAGAACTACCCGGAACAGGCAACAACTCCAAGTGCTGTTTTTTTTTTTTGCGCTCTGGCTCCTCAGATCTGCCAGAGTCTGGGAGAATGTATGCGAAACGCTGTAAGGCCCTTGAGCAGTTCCAGCGAGTGGTTACTTTGGAGACCGCACGCGGAAGCGAGGCTCTCTTCACTTTGGTAACGTGAAGCGCGGGGATCGCGCAACATGTGCCTCTTTAAGCAGAGAATCGGGGAGCATGGCGGCCAGGTCGTTTGGAGGTTCAAGGCCCTCCAAAACATCGTGATCCTGTGCCCGGATCTCCGCATCTTCCCACTTTTCTTGGGGTTTTGGAGTCGTGGCATGAGACTCCCAGGTGCCAGGATTGGGAGGTTTGAGGACATGGCCACGCGCTACCGGGAGCTCTTGAGCTACATGGACCAGGCCTCTTTTTTTTTTTTTTTCAGTCTGGGGAGTACAGGGAGCGTTGCAGCGTAGCGAATCTGCCGCTACCTTGGTGCCGCACCAAGCTGAAGGTGACCAGGAATGATGCCAGCGAGGCGATCAACACGGAGTGGAGCCCAGCTGCTCTTTTTATGCTTCTACTGGCCTCTCGGTGCCTTGAAGGAAGGCTCACACCTTGCGTATGAGGTGCTGGATTCCGTGTCGTCGGCCAGCGACCTGACGAAGCTGGAGACCATCTACGAGCTCACCCTCGATGCCTTGAAGGCCACGGCGAACCAGCGGCCCGGTGCCCAAGATGCCCCACGGAAGCCCCACAGGAGCCCAAGAGGCGAAGCTGCAACCAAGCAAATGCGCGAGGCTCTGGTTCAGCACCTCCGTGAAGCTTGCGAAGCTGCACCTGGAGATGGGCCCGGGGGGGAGGGGGGGGGGGGCGGAACTGACTTCACAATCTTCACTTTGCAGCGCGTAAAAGAAACAGCCGATGAGAGGCGACGTCCAGAAGCTGCAGCGCCTGGTGAAGGCCCGCGCTCCCCTGACCCCAGCCCCCCCACCACCACCGCGCTTGAAAGGAAGCGAAGGGTGAAGCAGATAAGCTCTGACAAAGAAGGTCAACTCTTGTGTTTGTATATCAATGGCAAGTCGGTTCAAGCTGATTCAAGTGGGTGAGAGTGAAGCAAAGTTTGGCTGCAGGCACTGCACAGGACTTGCCAGAAGCCAGATGGGACGGACGATGTCAGCAAGGCCGGGGTCATTCTGAAGCAAACCGAATCAACATTACGCTTTTTCAGGTGCACTGAAACGAAGTTTGTAAGTCAAAGAGGCATCTTGAAGCTTGGCGGCTTGGCAGGGGTCGCATCTGCTCGAAGTCTATGCGCTCGAGATCCAGGCGCACGAATGGCCATCTGTCTCCTGCTCTGCCGTCAGCCTGCTCAGCGCGATGCTGCCTGGCAGATGTGCACTTTGACCAAGAACTCCATGCGCATGAAGGACTTGGGCATGCGAAGTAGGCGCAGGCTAGGCGCATCAGCTCGCAAACCCGAGACCCGCAGGAGATCTACCCGAAGACCATCAACCTCACATCTGTCTGGTCCACAGATCCGCCCATGTTTGCCCATCAAGTTGCAAGCCAGTGCAAGACCCCACTTAGGCAATCGCGGACCCGCGCAATATTGCGGTGATCCGAGAGAGCGGGGGCAAGATGTTCATGAGCGAGAAGAAGTGGGAGGCTTTGCTGACATTTGGGTTCGCAAGAAATCGTCTCTTCAAACAGCCGTCGCATGGAGTTAGCAATACACACGACTTTAGGCAAGTCATTCTGCTCGGTCGTGGTGACACATGGCCCTAGACCGTTGCCAGAGCTGTTGAACAGGGCATTCGCAAAACATGTCTCGGAGGTTTGTGCAGCATTCAGTCATTCAACGTCTTGAAGTGTTTTGGGGGATGTTCAGATGCTGGCAGGCGGCCTACAATGAGTTCTTTGAAGCTTTCAAGAACTACCAAGAGACTGGCAATGCGAGCCGGGCAAAGACCATGCTCAAATATGTTGCGCCTGCCTCGGGATGCGGGAGAGGCTGTCCTCATGCTCGAGCTGCATCGTGCTTCGGCTTAGGTGTTGGCCAACATGCTTGCGCTTTCCTCGATCAACCCATTTGATTCGCGTGAAGCCAAGGCGCACAATTGTACCTGACATTGTGGAGGGCAGGGGGGAGAGAGAGTAAAGAGATCACGCCTTGCAAGCGCCTCGCATGTTTCTGTTCCAGCAGGAAGCCCTTCGTCTCGCATTCGGACTCCAGTCGTGACGGCAACTGTGAAAATTTTGTTAACCTCACGAATTCATGTAGTGCAATCGATCCGCTTGCTCGCGGACTCTTGTCCTCAAGCTCGGTCACGCAGTATGCAACGCCCATCGCTGGAACACTTCGGAGGGATATGGAGGGCACACAGATCAGAAGGAAAAAAGACTGGAAGGGAGGAAGTTGTCCATGTCTTTCCTGCCTCGCCAGGTGTATCAGGACGATCCTGAAATAAGCGCGATGGCCTCGTTGCGAACGGCATACGAGTGGGAGCCCCGGGCCGATGTGTGTGTGTGGGGCTCTCCTCAAAAAGGGCTCAACATGAGGGGCGGAGAGGAGCTGACACTTGCCTTGACAAGATCCCTGCCCATAAAGGCAGAATGACATTGGCACGATCGACCAGCTCTTGACCAATCCGTCTTACCGGATTCTCTCTGACAGCTTCATTCGCACGTATCTGCAGGACGGCTGTTCAAGGTCTTGCTTGTGGATGCGAGCTTCGACTGTTTCGGGGTGGTTGTTTTGCAGCTCCTTCCGATGTGAGTGTGTGAGGACCTGCTTCGAAACATCCGCTTGCAGGCCTCCTGGACTCAGCTGAAAGGTGTAGTAGAGAAGGGACCCTAGCCCCAAAACCGCAAAGCCCCAGGCCCTGCATGTTCCCAAGCCCCAAACCTGTCAAGATGATCGAGACTCACTTGTGAAACTGCCATTGCTGACCTGTCGGCTACAGAAGCAGGTTCTCCAGAACATCATCAAGCCCTACCGATGTGTTAGCTTGGACTTCCTTGCCAAGGAGATCAACGTTGCCAATGAGGAGGCTCCGGTTCAGAGGTGCACGAGGCTCTTGAAAACATCTCGGGGGCACAAGCTCCGCAGGTGGTGAGCCTCTTGGTTCAGCTGATCCTCGACGAGAAAATTGCAGCTCGCATCGATGGCATTGAGGCAACTTGTAGAACTTACCAGCACAGAGTCGAAACAGGAAGCCTTCTTCTCAAATATCAACCATATTTTAAACCCTAGGTCTTCTCAAGGTTCCTAGGCCCTAGGCTGGGAATGGTTGGACTGACGGCACGCGCAGGGCTTCCTGCAAGTCAGCTCCGGTCGTGGGGAGAAAGCCAAGCAGTTCACTGGCCTGCAGAAGTGGGCCGGGAGCCGAGTTCTCCCACAAAGTATCTCACCAAGTATCCCACAAAATATCCCCCAAAGTATCCCACAAAGTATCTCAGAAAGTATCCCACAATCATTTGAAATCTGTTGGGCGTTTTCTCTGTCAAACAGGTCGACTCCTTCGAGCGGATTCACAGCAGCCTCCATACCAAGCTCAATCAGATGCAGCACGGATGAGGGCACAAAGAGCTCTGCTTTGGGCCTGCCTGGGTTGGTTAAGATATGGCGGGCTGCGCCAACTGTGAAGTGCAACTAAAGTGCCACTGGTGCCGCGCCTAGTGCCCCTCTTGCAGATCAGCTTGGCCTGAAAACCAGAAGAGCCACATCCGCACCGATCGATGCGGCCTCTCACCTCATGCAATATACAGCATGATGTGCACAGTAAGGTCGCCAGGAATGCAAGCAACAAAACCAGATTCTTGTAGCACCTGCAGCTTTGCAGAGAGCCCCAACGTGAGCGTCATCGTGAGCTGTCACTGAATGTAATTCCTGCTGATGCCATGGCTGCAGATTTTCCCTCCTTGCTCGGACCTGCCGGCTTGATTGCCAGCAAGGGGAAAGGGGAATCGTGTTTTTTTGCTCTTTGGACAAGAAGTTCTTGCCACTCGAGGCCATGTGGATGAGTGCATGGAGCAACGGGCCTCCTTGCTGAGCGCCTTACGGGTCCGCCACCTTTGGAGGGAAACAATGCGGAGACCGCTTCTTCCTTTAAAGCGCGTTTCGTGCAGTGTTGAAGCACCTGCCTCCAGCAAGAATGTGACGGTAGGCGAAGCTGGACAGTGTTGGCACGCAACAGCTTCCGCTGTTGGGACCCCAGATTCACTTGATCTCAGATAGGCTGCTCTGTGGCAGCTTCCTGAGGCCAAGCGACGATGGCCCTGTGTTGCTTAGCCTCGCCGAGGCCACGTAAGAAATTGCAGTGCGTGCAGGAAGTATTGTCTGATGGACTGAAGATGGCGCCACACGCCAACTTGCTTTGCAGCGTTCCTGGGGCACCGGGTCACATGAGCCATCGACACTACCCTAAGCCCTAAACCCTAAACCCTAAACCCTAAACCCTAAACCCTAAACCCTAAACCCTAAACCCTATAATTACCCTATACCCTAAACCCTAAACCCTAAACCCTACCAACGTCTCCGTTGGGCATACCAGCTCCAGGACTCGGAGGAAGTCGAGGTCCCCACGGCGTGCCCCCCACAGCATCCCAGAGCTGACCCAGCTCTCTGCTTTTTTAGCCCTGCATTCGGTCGACCTGACTCAACCTGAGTCCAAAAATGCCAGAGGCCTGCATTGCCGGTCATTGATGTGGACGACGAGGAGTCGCTCGTGGCATCTTTCGGAAATCATCGAGGGTACATGTTGACGTGTACTATATTTTGACCTCAGCGTTCCGCATACCAGTCATCCGTTGCCTGGCTTCGCCGTTTTCTGTTGGCAAGCCAGCAGCGCAGGAGTTTCCCCCACCTCCCATCCATCTCGCAGGAGCCCAGCCCTTCGGCTCCAGCGGGAGATGCTTTCTCTGATGTCATGGCGCAGCTGGCCGGGGCCTCTGCCTCGAGAGCACAGTTAACACGCGGCTCCATGAGTCAAATAATGAGAATAAATATCAATAATACTCGTAGTAATATTGCCCGAATAGGACAGCCATCACTTCCGTCCCTTGTGCAGAATGCAAAGCCCGCCTTTTCGACAGCAGGACAGAGGACTGGATGCCAGGCAGCAGATGATCGATGCGCTGAAAGCGCAGCTCAGCAAGTCTGCAACTAAGCATTTGCCTCTGCTCGCCTCCCCCCAGCCGGTGAACATCGGTGAATCGCTCTACTTGAGAAGGTCTTCCGCGCTCCCCAAAGCCAAGCTCGGGCCCAGAACGTGGTCGCAGGCCATGACCCGGCCCTGTTCGGTGTTTATTAACTCCGCTGTTCGTGCTTAGAGAATCCCACAAGGATGCCATTTTAGAGGATCCCGCCGAGGAGTCCGCAGAGACCCCTGCAGAGTCTCCCAGGAGTGCCCACCCCCAGAGAATCTTGCAGGGAACCTGGAGAGAGCCCACCCTCCAGAACATCCCACAGATTATCAAAAAGTTTTGCATGTGGGAGGATGTTGCAAGTGGCTTCTTCTTGTTTGGGGGGGGTGGGGGGGGGGGGAGTGGCGGCACGACCCGGACAAATTCCTTGGCAGCCAGGTGCCGCGGCCTGCCCAAACCTCAGCGGTACCACGTGTTCATGGCGCATGTCCTACTCAGGCTTTATTTCTATTATGATTACTATTCTTATTGGTATTTTTGTTTTTGTTATAATGATTATTTTTACTGAGGCTTTGGCTTCCCCACCCGTCGCTGCTTCCGGCTATGGGGCCGTAGGAGCTGTGGCTGTGGCCGTGACCCAGCCACACCTCCTACAGCGCCCACAGCTCGTGCAGCAGCCACCGCAAATGCCGCAGCAAGTGCCGCAGCAAATGCCGCAGCAGCAAGTGCAAGCGGTGCCACAGCTCCAGTCCTTTCCCAGCCCTGGGATTTCAAATCCTGGGATGCCTACCGGGATGACTATGCCGGTTCCTGTGGCGATGCCCATGGGGATGCCCATCGGCCCAGCACCAAGTTCAGTTCTCAAATTTCTGAGCTTCTCAGCTTCTCAGGCACTTGCTGTATGTTTAGGTGAGCCACCTCTCAAGCGGCCCCGGTCCGCAGGAGAGCTTGCGACTTGCATCGCCTCGTCGGCACAACATCTGAGTCTGCAGGCGCCGTCGGCACCGTCGGCGCCGGTGCAGCCATGCCTTTCCCTCTGCGCGCTCCTGAACAGCAGGTGACCCCGCAGGGCTCTGCAATGCTCTGCAGTTCCGTGATGTTCCGTGAGCCAATTCTGGCATCCCAAGCGGTTTCGTCCCGTTGATCCGAGAGCCTTGTCCCGAGCAGCGGCAGCCTTGGGTCAGGACTTCGCAGTTAAGGATGCCGAGCAGGCTGCCTTGGCCGCGAGGCCAGACCCTCCACAGCCCACATTGGGTATCTCCGTTGCGAATTGGTCCGACTGCTTCAGGGTTTCCTTCTGAGGTTCATGGGTTGGCGATACGTTTTTTCAGGGCAAAGTTGCAGGATGCAAATGTTGTGTGTTTGGATCTTGGATAGGCTTTGGGGGAGGTCCAACGGGTGCGCGGCATCAGATACGGGCCCATTGCCGACCAGAGCCGAGTACCACTACTTGACTGGGGTGTAAGGCACCTCAAATTCCCAAATTCCCCACTGAGTAGCAGTAAGACTGGTGTCCCTTAAGCAGGGCGCCTTTCCAAGTAGTACTATTTAGGAGCCCTCTCTGGGCTTCGTAGGCTTCACCGGGCCCCGGTGTGAAGCATCCTTTGCTGTCAGGAAAGCACAGATGCTGAGAAACCTCGGCGCAAACGTCTCTGAGCAGCCTGCCTGGCAAGTGTTTGATGTCATGTTTGCAAGATGGGTGGGGTGCTGCATGGTGCTGCAAAGCTGTGGCTGTGGCTGCTTAACCCACGCTACGAATGCCAGTGTGTTGAGTCGGGGCTGGGATGCTTTGTCCAACACGGCTGGCGCCCACAGCCGCCCACAAATAAGGACTGAGGCAGAGGCGCAAGGATTCGTTTTGTTTGTTCTCAGAGGCGTAAAGGTTCGTTTTTGGTTGGTTCCTAGGAAGAACAACATGGCAACAAAAGTAGCAACAACAAGAAGAACAACAAGAAGAGGAACAGCAACAACATTTAGAAAAGAAACGACAACAACAAGAAGAGCAAAAACAACAACAACTACTAGCAATACTAACAACGGCAACACTAGTTCTGATTAAACAAACGCAAATGCCGATGCGCATGCACATACAACATGCAAGTGCAAGTGCACCAGTTTCAAATGCAATTCCACATACAAGTGCAAATAAACCACAGCAGCAGCAACCGCAACGACGACGACGACGACGACGACGACGACGACGACGACGACGACGACGACGCCGACGACGACGACGACGACGACGACGACGACGACGACGACGACGACGAGACGACGACGACGACGACGACGACGACGACGACGACGACGACGACGACGACGACGACGACGACGACGACGACGACGACGACGACGACGACCACGACCACGACCACGACCACGACCACGACCACGACCACGACCACGACCACGACCACGACCACGACCACGACCACGACCACGACCACGACCACGACTACGACCAACAACGGTACCAACAACGACAACAACAACGCCAACGTGCGGACGTTGTGTAAGCGTGTTTATGATGTTTTTTGTTGTTTTTTTGGTGTGGCCTGCGTGGGACAAACAGCATGTCACGTCTCAGGAACATCACATTTTCATCGTTTTTATCTGTGGTTTCGATGTGTCTATTCGCTGGCTTGTTTTGGCCTTTGGAAATGCGTTTCGCGTGGGCCGCGTGGTAAACAGGCAACCTTTCGTAGAAAGGAGCGGTCGACATTGTGCTACTGTATTGGAGCGGATAGCATCTGCAGTCGCTACCAGACGTTTGTTTGTCTATGTTTCCTGAAAACTGCGTGTTTTGCTGGGGTGTTTGCTGGACCCGTTTTTGAGACCGGGGTCTACGTGACCTGCTTGTGGTTGAAGAGGCCTACCTGCTTGTTTGGTGACACGGATAAGGGATTTGGCAAGCACTTAGAACAAGTCAGTTCGGACGTGCACTTACAACGTTTCGATTCAGATATGAGTTGTTCAGGATTAATCCAAGGTGTCAAATCTTTTGTCGCCATGCAGTCGAGGATCATGACCCCGCCACACCCTCCCCGCCGCACCCTTCCCGCCATGCTACTGCCAGGTCAGGTTCGCAGGCCAGCTGGGACGCTTCTTCAAGGCTTCCTGCGTTTGTGAGCTGCCCCTGCAGGCCATGCCTCAAGCAGGCTTCACGTGTGATCCTTGGCCTGCCATGTGGAGAGACGCAGAGTATCTGGCTTGACACGAGGGTTGTCTGCCAGAGAGGGCTTGCTTTGCAACTGCTTCGTGCCTCCAGGCCTTCAGTCCCAGAGCCACCGCCAGGCCAAATGGCAAGCTGCTGCGAGATGCTTCATGTGGTGGCAATGTGAATGTTTGTTGCATGCTCGTCCTACATGCCTGGCATGGACACTGCACACAGTGCAGGGACGTCGCCCGAGGAGTTTGAGGCGTATCGCGCGGATCCCAGCTTGGCAGCAACCACGGGCACGGCGACACAGTGCAGCGCGTTGACGTGCACCAGGTCAGCAGTGCTGGCGAGAGTACTACCAGTGGCGCGGGCTCCTGCAATCAAAAACCAATGCGCAGTGCATCTTGGCAAGTTTGAGGTGTAAGATCTGGCAGAAGTACTATGACCAGAGCAAAGGCAAAGCCAAAGCCGGGCCTCAGACCATTCTTAGAAGGAAATTTGAGAACTTTTTCATCCCGCGAAGAAAACCCTCAAGCTTCTTGCTAAACTCCCAGCTTTTTGCATCATTTCTGGAGGGCCGCGGCGCTGGCCACCCCCCTGGCTCCAACCAGGACTGGCTACTAGACACGGTATATATGGCACATGGTAGTATATGGTATATGGTAGTCGACAGTCTATTGCTTATAGTCCCATTGTCCTATCGTCCTACAGTCCTATATAGACTCTAGTCCTATAGTCTATAGTCCTACAGTCTGTAGTCTGCAGTCTACAGTCTTTAGTCCTAGTGTTTCTAGTATACAACTCAATAGTAGTATACGTCAAGTTCTGAAGCCTCCCGGCGAACTCCTGCACCCAAAGCCGCCGATTGCCGGCTTGTGCCAGGTTTCCAATGGAAAGGGCCATGCCGGGCCTCAAGCAGCTCATGGCAAGGGGAGGCCGGAGTGAACTGCATGGAGCCTTTCTCCCCCCCCCCCCCCCAGATTTGTTGGGACTCAGTGGCCATCCCTGGTTGAGGATGGCTGCAGAAAGTGCACAGGCTTTTGGTGATGGACTCGTGTCTGTGACATGCTCCACCAACCCAAGCATACAACAGCAGATGCAAGCATGGCTAAGCAAGATTAGAATTTGAGGTGGCCTGGGTGAGGATGGCAGGGGAATGGTGCAGATATGGTTTTCCTGGACACAAGTAGGTGAGCTTGGCTATAGTTGAACCAATTGAGGTAACTGTCTTGGCATAAATAGTGCTACATAATGACCATCCAATAAGACATGCCTCACCATGTCCAGGATGCATGAAACCTTCTCCTAATGAACATTCACATCATGTTCCCCTCCACGTTTCCATGCACCACCTCAAATGAGAAAGAATCATTGATTCTGAAATCACTTTTTTGTGTCAAATGAAACGGAGGATGAAGAAGATGTGAGGGTGATTGAATCTCTTAAATTGACATCCATTGAGGCACCAACAAGTGACGATCAATATCCTTAGACGCTGGCTACGAACTTCGCTTCTGAACACTTGCGCATGCGCAGCGATGTCCTGCGCAGGTCTTCAGCCTTTGCTCCCCAGGCAGCTGTGCATTTTGGTGCGTCGTTGAGTGGCAGGGGTACGTTATGATTATAAATAGTACGATTATTAATATTATTAGGATTTTTATTGCTATAATCATCATAATGTTAATTATTTTTTTCTTATTGTGATTATTGTTATGATGATGTGTCGACATCTTGTCGGTTGGATGCAGGCTCCTCGACCTTCTGTGGAGGACGACATCCACAGCCAGTTGTTGGGCCTCTGAGTCGCTGCCATCTACCATTTGACGCAACGAAGCCGCTCAAAAAGCCACTCAAAAGCGTCTGCGAGAGGGGTGGGCAGTACCTCGTGTGATCTTGTGTGTGAATTCAACAAGGCTTCTCACTGGGGGACTGGTGCAGCAAGCAGCACTTGAGTCTTAAATTGCCTCTTGTTTAGGGACTTTGGGCCGTATGCAATCATGAGGTAAAAGGTGCATGGACCCTAGGGTTTCTACAAGAGGACCCTTCCCTTTTTGTGAAGAGCCTGGGCCCCTCATAAACCCATGGAAAGTGGTACCCCGAACCCTAATTCCTTTCATTCCTTGTGCTGCTCCTTTCTGCAACGCGGGATCTCGTTCATGATTCAGGGTTCTGAGCTCTGAGCCTCAACCCCAGCCCCGAAACCCTAAAGCCCTAGATGCACCAGCACCGCAAAGCACCCAAAATCCCAAAATCCCAAAAGCCTAACCCTATAAACCTCCCTAAACCCAAACCCCCAAACCCTCAACCTTTTTGCTCCACGTTTCAGGACTGCGGGCTCCGAACCCCCCGGCCCCGAGCCCCTGCTTGCTTTGTGTGGTTTGTGTGGTTTGCATGGCCCTGAGCAGGTAGAAAGCAAAAAAATCATAAACATCATGCACTGAATCATATTTACAATCATATTACGCCACATAGTTCCAACATAGAAAAACGTATGTGTTCTCATATCCATAAAAAAACATAAATCGAGGATTTTCGAAATCAAAAAAAAATCACAAAAGGTCATTAAACAACTATTCCGAGAATCCTGCCTCTGTCCGGACATCCCGTGTCATAATTCTGGTGAACATTGGGTGAGGATTGATTTTTGTGCATGCTGGAGTCATCTCGCGCCCCGAAGAATGCAATCTCTCCAGCCCGCCATGCGTACACATGATGCGCTGTCTTCGGCTCAAGCTGCTGCTTTCACGGAGATGTTTCGTGCCAAGTTCGGGTGCAAAAGTCATACAAGGTGCAGTCACACAGAGAAAAGGGAGATGTCGCGTCCCTTGCTTACACACCGGCTTACATGTATGCATTGATTCATGCGTGCACGCACAGACACTGGGCATAAACTTTCCCTCTGCCCTGCTCCCTTTATACCTGGGTTGTATGGCAGCAGAAGCAGCAGAAAAATTCTGTACAATCCTTTGTCCGAATTAAGAGCACTATTGCGCAATGATTCATGGACTCCTGGATCAGATTCAGGCTTGTGTGCCGCATTCTCAGTTCGTAGCGGAGTGGGGGTGCGTCTCGCACCCTTTGCCTCTTGATATAAATGGGCAGTGTATATGTATGTAGGTATGTAGGTATGTAGGTATGTAGGTATGTAGGTATGTAGGTATGTAGGTATGTAGGTATGTAGGTATGTATGTATGTATGTATGTATGTATGTATGTATGTATGTATGTACATGTTGTTTTACTTGAAAATGTGCTGTATACCATAATTTTATTCAATTATTACAAATTTCCTTTGCCCCAGGTCTGATGACGACGATGAGCAGCCGGATGTCAGCTTTGTACTCTCAGGCCCGCTACACAGATTGCTCGGCTTCTTCGTTGTGATGGTGTCCAGCGTCACGAGTCACGAAGCTCAGACACACTCTAATTTTAACGCTACGCGACCCGCCGGGCCTGTGCAGGCCAGGCGAGGCAACCAGATCCGGAGCTTGTGCGTGTGTAACACGCGGGCTCATGAGAGCATACACCCCAAATGTCGGCGTGGTAATGAGAAAGTGGTAAAACAAGAGAAACAAGCGTGGAGGGGTTGGGGGGGAGGGGGGGATGGGGATGGGGACGGGGGTGGGGGGGGAGGGGGGGATGGGGATGGGGACGGGGGTGGGGGGGGGGGGGGGGGGTGGGAAAGGTGTTGGTATGGGATGAGTTGTGTGGGGTACCTGCTTCATGCTACCCAAAACACCTACGGCCCGAGGCCTGATGTCGCAAATTGTGTCACCCCACCGAATTCCAACACGGGCACGGACTACTCGATTATTGACCTTATTGCACGAAAGGCATGAAGGATGTGACCTGTCAAACATTGGTGGTTTGCGGCCCTGGCTGGTTGCTGAGTCCAAGTACAACGCTGGAGTGTTCAAGCCCTTGCAAAGCTCGCTGGGTTGAAGAGAACGTTTAAAGGCTGTGTGGGCCTCCGAGGTCCTGCCAGCGCTTTTGCTCTGCAGGCGTTCAACATGGTGCCCCTGTCGCGCCCCGAGGGAGCTGGCAGGAGTGCTGCGGTCCTGAGTGCGAGTCTGTTTCGATTCTGCAGCTGGGCAGGCCTCTGAGCTTAGAATCCAAGGAGGCTGGGTGAAGGGCTGCGAAACAATGCGAGACATTGTGAAGCAATGCGAAAGTTGTGTAAAAAGGGAACCTCCAGTGGACCTCCCTCCTATCCGCCTGGGTTCGGAGTTTAGACCTTGTGGTGATGAAAAGAGGACTCCCCTCTTCGGCCACTGCCTCCTCCGCGGGCGCCAAGATTCTTCAAGGTGCACAACGCGATGCCCAAGAAAACAGCTTTATAGTATGCTACAGTATTGTGCCTTCAGTGTGCTTTTGTTTTTGCCTGTGGTATGAAGGCATCCGATGGGGCTGTGGTTGCTGTTCTGGAAACACACGTGGGCCCCTGAGCTAGTGCTGCTTGTGTACATGCCTTGTAATGTTAAGGACATGGGAAGTCTCAGTTCAGTGCTTTGAAAGGTGTCGGGAGAATACGCAGCAGCTTGGGCAGAAGCGCTGCTCTCCGCTCTCGGTGGAAAGCCGCAGGCAGCTTGACTCTTTAAAGCTCTCACCGACACTAGCGCTTGGGTGGGTTCAGTGAGGCCTAAACCCTAAACCCTAAACCCTAAACCCTAAACCCTAAACCCTAAACCCTAAACCCTAAACCCTAAACCCTACACCCTAAACCCTAAACCCTAAACCCTAAACCCTAAACCTGGTGTTGCACCAAGGTCGTGTACTTGGACCGCATCCTGCGAGCGGAGTGGTGTAGCTTCGACCGTTGCAGACCAGAGGACTGCCGTGATTTTCCTGGCGGTTTTTTTGGGGCATGGGCCCTGCGTCTTCGGACTTCGGATTTGAGTGTTCCGGATGTTCCGCCACCTCAGGTACATGTACGTAAGAAGGGCATCACGTCACATGCGGTTCCACCCGATTTGCTGATAAAAAAGGGGGGCGTTAAGGGAGGATCGGCAACTTGAGGAGCATTTTCTCGGGGAAAACCCTGCTTTCGGGGGGGGCCCTGGGGGTGGTAGCTCAGGAGCCATACCTTGCCGGGCTATGGACGAGCGCCTTCAGCAGCTGCCTCGGAAAACTGTCTTGGGCTGTTGGGGATGGGATCCTGTTGTTGCTTGAGTCAGTTGGTAAAAAAAGCCAAAAAAGCCCAAAAACTTGCAAGGTGGAAGTGAGAAAGCCGTTCCTGTTTTGCCGGCACCCAACTTTGTGGAGGCTGGGAAGACAAGATTGTGTGGGGCAGAGAGGATGTAGAGAGACCCGAGAGACGCTGAGGCTGTGTAGGAAAAGGTTGGGGAAGTGGAATGTCTCAATTTTGCTAGAGCACCGATGTCATCGTCATCTGTTGCTTTGCAGCCCACCCTTGCTCAGGGCTTGGCTGCTGCGCTTTTGAGCAATTGCGAAGCCCGATCCTGGCCCTGCCTAGTGGCCCTCGCCCTGCAGGACGCTTTCTGAATGCAAGTCCAAGCGTCACAAGAGCTGGCCCACACTCACCCACACTGGCCCACACTGGCCCACAAGGACGGTGCCCACATGTCAGAAGGCTGCCTGCATGCTTTCGAGGCCGCTCGCAGGGAGTGTTGCAAGTGTGCTGCTGCGAACCCGGAAGCATGGGAGTGCTCGTAAACTGATCAGGCTTTGGTGCCTATGCTCCTGGAGCTCCAGGCAACTGCACGTTTAGGGCACGACTCAATAGCATACTGCAATATCATGTAAAGACTAGTTTAGTGACTTTAGTGTGTATACACAAGCATAAAGCAAATGCATGCACGCGCACACACACACATATATATATATATATATGTATATGTATATGTATATATATATATATGTATATACATCGTCATTCATGATGCCTCATATGTCTTCTGTCATGTATCAGATATCACATATCTTGTATCATATATCATGCGCCAAAAAGTATGTCATGCCTCATGTTTCATGTTTCATATTTCATATTTCATCTTTCATATTTCATATTTCATATGCCATATAGCACATGTCATATAGCACATGTCATATATCATATGTCATATATCGTATATCATATATCATAAGTGACAGAAATCACATGTATCACATATATCATACATCATATGTCATATATCATATATCATATATCATGTATCATATATCAGATATCACATATCATATAAAGAATTAACCTTATGTGTGTTTTTACGCATATTTTGACACATGTCTTGGATTTCATATGTTAAAGTTTGCCATGTTACTTGATATTGCGCGTCATGATTTCATATGATATGTCTGACATCTCTGCTCTTGTGTTGCATACAGCAGCGAAACAGGGCCCTGTCCATGGTTGGCCACCGGACATTCTTCGACTTGTCAGGTCATCAGCTCCTGGCAAAGACCGTATCACTGGCTCTGTTCTGTAGAGCTGCCTTTAGCTTTCAAGTCAGTTTTTTTTTTTTAGCCTCGGTGGAACTTGACAGGAAGTATCGCGAAGCGTTGCAGAAGGTGCCGGGGTTTGTCGGCAATGTTTCGCCCTCCCCGCCCGCCCCGCAGCAGCAACACAAACGAGTTGATTTTGCATCTTCCGAGTCCGGCCACAGGTCGTTCCACCGGCATCGATGTCCATTTACGCGTGATTCCTGAGGATCTCGGGACATTTGTAAATGGAGTCTCGGCAGTTGACGCCTGGATCCAAAACTTGGAGTGCAAGCATGTTGTCTGTTGTGTCATGACGGAGGGATACGGATGCATGCTGTTGACACTATGCCTTTGCGTCCTGCTGCTCGAGTATGCTGAAGTGGAAGGGGGCTTAAAGCACTAATGAGCTCACGGAGTCATACAGACGCATACATGAAATACCTACATCACTTGTGCGATTGCCTAAGGACAGCATAGACGCTCCACAAGCTGGCAGCAGCACAACCCAACAAACATGTGTCAGCCAAGTGCGTGCAAGTAGAAGCGCCAGCCTGCCCAGAAACATGGCTGAGGAAGTGAAGCAATATTTGCCCGAGGCTTGTTCTGTTCAAGCTCTGCATCGAATCCAAGTGGTAGGCAGTGGCAGAGCACACATGTCGAACAGCCTTCTTTGTGCTTATTCGCTGAGGCACCGGTACAACACCTCCGGCAAGAGGCAGCGAGACTTGACGGAGGACAAGCGCAGCCTTTGCTTGATTGCAGCGCCGCCCTGCCGGTGTCATTGACTGCCTCAACTCTGAAGAAGTCTGGACTGTCTAGGCCTTAGATGCTCGGCCCAGAGACAGGAGCAGAAACAGGAGCTCAAGGAGGTCTTTGATCTGTGCGCAGCTCTCGAATTTGTGGTGTTGATGCTCACTCAGAAGAAAAGAACACGCACGGGAGGTATGATACAGATGGCTCAGCTGCCATCGACAACAGCGAACTCAAGGCCCGAGACCATGACCTTCGGCTGCTCTGTTCAGTTATGTGCCAACCGAGACGTTTAAGAAGCGAAACGGCATTTGTAGAAAAGCCCGAGCCCGCTTCATTGCACTCTAAGAATCATTCAACACACCCCAAACTCATACCCCTTAACCGAACCTACAAACGCATGTTACCCTACCCCTTCATCGTCATTTCTTTTATCGGGGATTGCCCAAGGGTTATGCTGACATTTCTTCGACTGTCACACTCTAGGGGGCGCTCTCCGTGTGCCCGTCGGTGCTTTCTTTCTCTTTGTGCAGGGGCTGATGCAAGTCCTGGGCTTCTCCTCCACTACCAGGGAGGACCCGGAGATGCCACAGAGAGAGAGAGTCCGGAGAACTCAGACGCTTTTCTCTTCTGGTGCCCTGGACCTCCCAGGAGCTGGTGGCCATGATGATGTCCGTCGACAAGGCGCGCTCGGCGGCTGCGGTGCCTGCTGCGGTGCCGGCGGAACCCAACAAAAGCGCTTGAGAAGGATGGGTCTGGCGAAATTGAGCTGGACGAGTTCTTGCAGATGATGGCTCCGAAAGTGTTGCACCTCGGATGCCCTGGGTTTCTGTGGGCATGTTAGGCGTGTAGTAGTCGCACCCTGAAGCCGACTTAAGCCCACTTTCGCCGCCAAAAGGGGCCGTGAACCCACGTCGGTCATCAGAAAGGCTGGGCTGCACTTAAAAGTGCGCTTCAAGCGGCGATGCCACGCGCTCCGTTTGTCTGCTAGCAGGCGTTCCCTCTCTTCGTGGCAGAAGGGACGGGGTCCCAGTTAGCTGTGCTTTCAGGCTGCGCTTGGAAGCCACAGACTGTCTGAGGAGTGAGACCATCACCTGGCACAGCCTGCGGCGCCTTGGCCACACTTGGCCTCTCCAAGATTCAGCATCATGAGCATCATTTTTCGAGCATCTTCATGGCGCAAAAGCGAATGACGCTCGCAGGGCGCTGGCGGATGATCTTGGCCTGGCCTTTAGCGACCACGACATCCAGGAGATGCTGGAAGATGACCGGTGCCCACTTCTGCGAAGCATTGCGAAGCACTGCGAAGCATTGCGGAGCATTGCGAAGCATTGCGAAGCTTTGAAGCACATCGTGTGGCAGCGCGTCTGAGGCTGATGACAACGGCGATGGCCATCTGGACGAAGACGAGTTTGTCCTGGCAGTTCGAAGAGCCAAGTTCTTCTGATTGCCTGATCAGTTCTGGTTCAGATGTGCAAAACAAAAAGTGCATGGCCCGAAGCTTGAGGCTTCTGACGAGCCAGTTTCACCCTCAAAAAGGTGCCATCGGACGAGACGAGGGCGGAGCATCAGCAAAATTTCTGAGGAAAGTCTTTTAAACCCTTTGACTGTCACAGGCACAGGGGAAGACTCGCTTCAGCTTCGGGAACCACACCCATCGGTACTAGTCGGCGAAAGCTGAAGCATGACTTTGGCTCGTGAACGCTTCGTGTTTCCGCCTTGGCCGGTGCTGTGTAAGACGCGGATGTGGAAGTTTGACGACGCCTTCACGGGATTGATTGTCACAGTTATCTGGTTGTGCCTGAAGATGCTGCCGTACCAGGCAACTGTTCATGCAGTGCATTGAACGCCCGGAAGGAGCTGCCCAACGAAGACTGTGAGCAAGGGGTTGATGCAGCTGCTCTCGTTGAGAGCCGTTTGGCTGTCAGAAGTGTGCCGCTTCGTTTCGTAGTCACCCTCGGGCCTCATGGCCAAGCATACGCTGGGCGCTCGCAGCCTGGTCTGCCTCGCGGTGCTCTTTTACCAAGTCGGGCTTCTGGCCAAGTGGGACTTCATCGGCCTGACAAGCAGGCTCTCTGTGAGGGCCGATCCCCCTCGGCGGACCCTGCAAGCCACAGGGGGCTCCCAAGCAAAGGTCCTGGAGAAAGAGTTGCAGGAGGAGCTCGAGCAGGAGCCCAAGGATGTGAAAGATGTGAAGGAGGAGAGCATGTCACGGGCAGCCCAGAAAACAGCCGAAACCAAGGAGCGGGTGGCCGAGAAGAAGCGCAGGATGGAAAGCGATGCGAAAGGATCCAAAGGAGGCGAAGAAGAACCCATGTTTGACATGTTTGACGCCATTGACTGGGCAGGATATGCCAAGCAAGCTCGGGAAATGGCTGCAGAAGCTGGGAAGGAAGCTGCCAAACCAGGCGAGGCAAGCGCCGCCGCCCGTGCCCAAGAGTTGGCCTGGGGCTTCGCAGCCTCGGGCCTGGACGCTGCAGCCGAAGCTCCAGTGCTGGTCCCCGTTGCTGGTGCCACGCTCCTCCTGCTGCTGACTTTCTCCCTGACTTTCGGGCGCCCGGCTGAGACACCCCGACCGGTGCAGCGGCCTCAGGCAGCGCCTGTTCTGGTCGCTCAGACAGAAGCACCGGCAGCACCCAAGCGCCCAGTTACAGCTTCTACACCTGTGGCACCTGTGGCACCTGTGGCTCCTGCACCGGCCGCAGCCACTAAGCAGGATTTGCCTTGGGCTCGCAACCTGGCCAAGTCTGCGAGAGATACGTTGAAGACCGTCGCTGACGAGCTGCCTGCGGCCGTGCCGATCGTGGAAGAAGGGCTGCCCAAAGCTGAGTCTGCCTTCAACTGGGTGTCAACTCTTACGCCGGAGAATGCCCCAGAGAAGATCGAGAAGGATGCTCTGCCAGCAGCTGCGCAGCTTGCGGGAGATGTTCTCCGAGCAGGATTACGGGTTGGTGCCACAGGATTGGACTTTGCGTCGCAGAACTTGCCAGCAGCAGAGGAGGCGTTGGGCAAGGCCGTAGAGAAGGGCCTGCCAGTGGCACAGTCCGCCCTGCGAGATGCAGCAAATGGCGTGCGGACTTTGGCCAAGGAGGGCCTTCCCGTCCAGCCGGATGAATCCAATTCCGTCGTGCGTGCGCTGGTGTCGGCTGCGCCAGACGTGCTGTCAAGCACGGCCAAGGCGTTGGACGCCACAGCCGACGCAGCCCCACAGGTGACAGCAGTTGTTGGCCAGGCTGTGACACAAGTGACCCCCATCGCACAGGCGACTCTTGGGGTTGCCTCGGACCTCGTCGAAGGGGCTTCGAACATCCCTGGATCAGCAGTTGAGCAAGCCGCCGGCAAGTTGGCCGACACGGTGAAGGCAACCTTACCAGATGCCGCATCCAACGCGAAGCAGTTGGTCGAGGCGGCTTCCACTGCCATGACGAAGAAGTGATTCGGACCAGTAGCTTCGTTTCGCCGTGGCGGCAGTTTGCGACAGGTTACTTTGATTCTGTCATCAGACTGTTCCCTCGAGCACCACCACTCATCAACACAGCTCTGTCACGACACATGAATAGCAAGAAGGCCAGCTACACTACAGCTGAGGACATTCTTGATGACATTCGCTGCCTCCATTTTCCACATGGCAGTGAATTCTGACCTCTAATTTTTAAGCCTGCGAGTCAAAACAGCTGTTGCCCCCAGCTGTGCTTTTCCCCGCCTGCTCTCATGATGATGCTCGGAGTTGATTGCTTTGTATATTGAGGCCGAGCCGCAGAGAAGCACTTATGCTGGCAGCGCCTCGTCTAGCATGTGCTGTTCACACTTCATCCAACTCAGTCGACTGAACTGGGGCCCCAGTCACTTCACAGGCTGTAGGATAGCTGGGAAGCATGACATGAGCTCGCGAAATGCTCCTATGGCTGGCGATTCTGCCTTTGTGCCTTCTGGGCAAAAAGCTGCCGTTCACCCTGACAGCTGGGAATCCTGACGGAAGCAAGGGCGAGAAGGACCAGCCTGCGTCTGCGTCCAAACCCCAAATGTTGATGCCCAGCGGGCAGTCCTTGACAGTGGTGAAAATAATATCATATGCCTGTCCCTTGAGAAACGAGCCGTGTGTCAGAGGCATTTGTGAAGACCATCAATGGTAGCAAGTCTGTTGCCGTGGCCTTCACGTCGCCGCGGCCTTGGTCTGAAGACAGCCAGGAGACTTTGAGGAAGACTGAGTGCGGCCGGGGAGTCTACACACATTGTTCTACACCTGCTGTAGAGAGCATCCGTGTCATAGAAGTTGAGCAAACGCCACTTTGGCCGGCCGTCTGCGCCAAGTGAGTCTCTCTAGCCCATTTCCCCGGTTGGGACCAAGGCTTCGTGCTTCGTGCAAGCCCTGCGCCGAACTTCAGCCAGAATTCAAGAAGGTCCTGGATGCACCGTTCGGCTGACATGGTCCAGATTCTGGCGCATGGGAGGCTGCAAAGATTTTGAAGAAGAGAAGCCTTCTGTGCGGCGTCGTGGACGTCGATCTCGCTGCAAACTCGAACCTGAAGGACATCCACAACGTGACCAGTCCCTTCGCCGCAAGTGGCAGGTCGGGGGGACCCCCATCTCACCCCCCATTTTTGCCCTGTCAAGATCTCTTCCCTTTACAACCAAGGCATTCCCAGCATACATCTCTTCCGCAACGGGGCGGCGCTCTCCAAGCTCGAGGGCTTCCAGTCTGCGTCCAGCATTGAGCAGTGGGTGGCTTGAAGCAAAGGGTCCCCGGTGGTACCACGTCGGGCGGTGGGAAAGCACGGTGCAACACGTGTATGTGGGCAGATGCTCACATGATGCATGATATGCACCAGGAAGCATATTCGGCACGTAAGTATACACACAAACGCATAAATGGTGAAGAACAAACGTGTGTATATTTTCATGCATACTTGCATTTATGGCGGTTTGGGTTTAGGTGTTGGGGGCTATGACCGTCAGTACTTCATTTTTGACATGCGAAGGCAAGTGGAAGCTCCATTGGCCCGGAAGCAGTAGCAGATGTGTGTGTGTATTATACATACACATATGTGTAATATATTCATATATATAAATATATATACATATATATATATATATTTTATATTTATATATTTATATACATATATATAGATACACATCTAGCTGCAGAATGCCTGTCCCATCCGCAAACGTCCGCAGCCTTGGCGGTGTCGAGTTATCGGCGAACTACAAGGAACGGTGCATGCCGGGGCCGGGATTCCTTCTAGTTGTCGTCGCGTGGCATGTCACAAAGCTGGCAACTTCGGAGATCGCGCGACGTTGTGTCCGCCCTCTTATGCCAGCCTACGCTTGGTCAGTTTGTGTGCGCGCGCTACAACCGCACTTACACCGCGCGTGGTTTTGCTGAAAGCAGAACAAGAATTAGATTTCCTGCTCGAAGGCATTGCGTCCGGTTGTGTTTTGTTTTTTGTTCGTTGTTCGGGGTTTGGTTTTGGGTTGACATGTGTTTAATGTTGTACATATTCGTACGGAATCAGAAGTTACAGAATTTCTTCAGACGATACATCGACATTCATCGACATATGTGTTATGCGCCTCTCTTTTCATTCCTCTATGGGGGTGGCCTTGAGGCGGTTAGCCGACAAACTAGCTTCACACATAGGCACACACACACACACACGCATATATTCGTATGCGACCCCCCGTCCCGGCGCCTCCGTTTTTTTCTGCGAAAGTTAACTTTTTTTGCATCGCATGAACGAATAGTGCCAGGAGAAGTTTACAACGCCCAGATGGCATCGAATGGATGATGCTGCCATGCACGTAGGCGAAAGAGCGGCAGGGGTGATTTTGCTACGCTGAACTATCTAGCTAAAATACAATCTTGATTCATGACGTTTTCCACCACCTCGAATTAGTCAATTCGCTGAATTTAATGAAACTTTAGTTAAGATAGCTCAAGTTGTTTATTTACTACTCGTACATTCCTTGAAACATGGTACGTAATGGGAATCCCGATCTAAGTGCTTGATTTATGCATTAATTGAATGAGCTCAAACAAGGTCATTGTTTTCGTTAACAAATACAATGCAGCACTTAAATGTACAAAGGTTTGTGTTTCCTACTAATTAAGGTAATTTCAACAGTTTAATTGGTTTTTGCTGACGGGTTAAGTAGACAGTAGGCCTCGAACTAAATGAAACGAATGAACTAAATGAACTACAAAAGGCACTGAACTCAATTAAGATTGTCTGCATTGAAATCAATGAGCCAAATTACTTACATCACGGCCCTTAAAAAATGAATTGGCTTGATTCGTGTAAACAGCAAGTCGCTGTCCGAAAAAAGCCAAGCCACTTCTGACGGCCTATACAGACAAGCCGTCACGACAAGATGGTTTCCATTTGGAGTACCCTTGAAAGTGCCGTACGGAAAACCAATTCTGGAGGCCTGTACACCCAGGTCTTCTTCCAAAGGTTGGTTTTTGAGGACAGTACAGCACTTTGAAAGTGCGCTTGGCTGAAAGTTTCGTACTGTGGGGGCGGTACCATTCACGTATATATATATATATAGAACAAAAGAATACATATGGTGTATGTATATATGTATATAATATGTGTGCATATTATGCATGTAGTATACAAGCCCGATTGGCAGTACATGGCGAGACCCACCGGACACCTCGAAATAGCTGTTGCTCGCATGAGGTGGCTGCGGTCGACGCGCCTTCAGTGGAAGTGTTTGCAGCTTGGCAGCAAAAGCTTGTGTGAACCTGTGATACGTTCCGCATGTCCCCAGAAACCCTCTTGCAAGCATGCTCGCGGCACGCGAAGGTCACAGCAAAGTTTCGCTCAAAGGCATCTTGGGCTTGCTCAGGAGACGCAGGCTCTGTTCGACAAAGCCGTCCAGAGCCGGAAGTCCACGGAAACCATGTTTGCAGCCACCGGCGGGCCTATGCTGCAGGACTTTGGGATGGGGAATGGGGGAAGTCTTTTCCCTCAAAGCCTCTTTTGACTACAATGGCCAGTGTCCCTGAAACCCAGGACCTGTTGGATGCTGTTGCGGTGAAGGGGCACAGGGATGGCTGGGGTGGCAGGACCCTGGTTGCTTAATGACGGTGAGGGCCAGTGAGGCTGTGTGAGACTGTTTAGCACCTTCTGGGGAAGTTCAGGATGAGATATCTCTTCTGGTCGGACGGAGGAAGAGGAAGGACGGATTACGACTGGCAACGCTTGCACATGGTGCATTCTGACGTCTACCTGAATCCTTCGCACAGGCCTTTCGCCGCGGTGTATCGCGGAGTGAATGAGATGGAGCTCCCTTGTGCACAGAGCGTCGCCGTGTGTGGCACTGTCACCGCATGCGTGATTCTTTCAGCCCTAAGCCCTAAGCATCCCCCAGCAAAGTCTGCAAGCAGCTGACAGGAGCACTTCGATGCATCTGGCCAAGTAAGCACGGAGATGATTGAGGAGTTCTTGAAGAAGGAGTATGTGCCTGGGCCTCTGCCATCGGAACGACGTTTCCCCAAAAGATTTGAGTTGTGAAGCCTCTGGCGTGCAGAGGCCGTTGTTTGGCAAGGCTTCGAGCTTGGTGCTGCTGGTATTTCCAGCCGAGTTGCAGAGTTCATGCAGCCTATGGGTAGTTTCCTAAATTAGGGTCCCTTTTTGGGTACCCGTTTTCAGGCGGCACCATCTAAATAGGGATCCCAGAAAGGCACCCGGCCCTGATGCAGGCGACCATGGACGACCTCACAAGCGTCTTTGGCAAAGGTTCCAAGGCCTTTTGCTTTCAGCTTGCTTTCCTCAACTGAGCCGCCATCCCAAGACTGCTTTAGGGTTCAGGGAGGTTCGGAGTCTAGAGTCTTGAAGGTTTAGAATAGATCTTTTGTGAGGGCAACGTCTTCGTGTGTTTCGATCCAGACATCTTCGACGCCCAGGCGAAGAAGTGCGCCTTCAACGGAAGTTTTGCAAACCACCGAACATGCTCGCGGACAACCGCCATGCCCTGGTAGGTATGCACGCATCGTTTACAAAGTTGCCAAGAAGTGGAGATCCTACGGATTTGCCTACCTGGATATTCGCGATCCTGTAGCAAAGCTTCTGCAGATGGATTGCAAGGAAGCCTCGTGTTGCGTGCTGTTCTCCTGGAAGAGAGAGCCCCAGCTTCTTGAGTCCCGGAGGAGTTCCCCTCGGTCACGCTGAAGCTCCTGGTGAAGCCGCCCCAAACCTTCACCAAATCGTTTGCCAAAGAAGAGTTGACGGAGAAGAGTCTTGCACAGTCCCTTTCTGAGATGCCGGTTGCAGTGATGGCTCCCCGAATCCTAATGGCTACATCAAGCATCAAATCACCTGCAGCTGAGGTTTATGAAGGACTCGGTTCAACCGAACCGGCCGGTCTCCTCCTCCGAGCTTTGACCGCGCCCCAAAATCAGCCTCGTGTGAAGGGGGGGTGAGAAGCGAGATGCGAGAGTGCTCAAAGCGCGCACGCCTGTGCTATTCTGTGTTCGTTCACTCCAAGTCCGGTGTCCGGCCACACAGACTTGTCATAAACTTGTTCTGTGCTATCAAGGATGTCTTCAGGCTCCACTGAGCGCGCTCCAAAACCTATGGGCTGGAGACCCCATCGCTTCGCTGTCGGGGAAAAAGAGGGAACCTTATGCAGTGCTTTAGGTTTAGGATTAGTCAGCTAGGTAAGGGCTGTGACAGAACTGACGGCGATCTTCTAGGCACGAACCGTGCCTTTGTTGCAGAGACAGATTCACAATTTCCTTTTTTTGGCGTCAGGTGCGCCCAGGGGTTTTAAGCTTCCCCTCATGTATTGGGGTCCAGTTCTTGGCTACGGTTTGTCCACGTTACGCAACATGCGACAAGATGCATCCAAAGCAGAGATAGCATATTTGCGGCAAGACAACAGCTCGCAGAGCAATGGGATGTTTCAGCTCACGATCCGTGTCAAAAAGATGAAAGCTGTTGAATGTTTCCTGTTCCGGACATTTCGTGCTTCTGTGCTCAAGAGCCTTTTGACACGTGCATACTTTTCCTGTTTCGAGGGGAAGCTCCGCGCTGACTATGCCATGTATTTGGAAGATACGGATTGAAAATTTCAGCAGCGGTTAGCGCCTAACTGAAATTCTGCTGTTCGCGCAGGGTCCGATTGGGCACCGTTCCGCACTTTGCTGTTTACTGCCAGCTCCTTCACTGTGCCATGGAGTTCTCGCTGTCTCGGTGGTACGAGTGGCAATCTATCGATCACAAGGTGAAGGCAGTTGTTGTATTTTCGCTGAACGTGCTCTCAAATGATGTCTTCTGCCGATGTCAGCTAGTGTCGCCATGGCTGTCAGCTGCAACTTGCATGGCCAGTCTTGGGTCGAGTCAAAGTACGTGAAGCGTTTCCCAACCGTTGAAAAGCAAGAGGCAGGTCACGTGCTGGATCAAGTCTTCAGAGTGGTGTGCGATCCCACCTGACCCAAGGCCATCATCTTGTGTGTGGCCGAGACGAAGCAGGTATCTACTTGCTTCCTTGGATTCCAGGCTCAGTCTTGTGCGCATCTGCTGGCCTGCGAACTTAAAAACTGTACTGACCTTGGTTCGGCAACCCCACGCCTCTGATCAGATCTTGCACGCCTTCCAGAAGACGTTCTATGCCCACTTGCAGACAATGTTCTGTGGTGTGTGCTTCTTACAAGCAGCTCGTGCATGGCCGGAAGAGATACTGCGCAAGGCCGGGCCCCTCTCAAGCTTAGATCTGTGCAGTTCTGCGCAAATTGTAACATGTGGCCTGACTTCTGATATCTGCCATGGTAAATGAGATGCCATATAGCACGGTTGGTATTCTAGTTTCGGTGAGTTGGACGTGCGAATGCCAGGTGCTATCATTCAATTTCAATTGCCATTCTGTCAAGCCGGGGCCCACGAGTTTCGCATCACACTAGCGGTGTCAGCGACAAAGGCAATGCAAGGCGTTTTCCAAGCTAACAACGAGTGCAACGTATGAATTTAATAAGCACGTGGGACTCCGTCTCTGTGCCATGTTCCTTCACTATATCCCAAACTCAGTGTGCGCCGGCTCACCCGCTGGGGCAAAGTTCAGAAGGCAAAGCTGACACAAAGATGCACAAGCCCCAGAAGTTAAAACCGGGTTGGAAAATGAAGTGGTGCTTCAGCACTCACAGACGTCCCTTCTCGATCCGAGCGGGGACGATTGGAAGCAGTGGTTGCTTCCCTGCTGGACTGTCCTCTCTCCCCTCCTCTCTCTTTGTTTGTCCATCGCTCTGACTTTCTTTTGTTTGAGCTCTGTGCCCTCCACATCTGTTTGCTTCCCCATTAACGAAGGAGGAGGAGGAGGAGCCGCAAAAGGACGAGGGGAGAAAGACCCCAAAATCGAGAGCTCCAGCGTCTGGTGAGTGCGCTTGCTAGATGAGTCTACCCCATCTATCTGTCTCTTTTTGTCGCGTTTGATGTGTAAACCGATGCCAGATCACTTGCGGATTAGCGCTACAGACTTGCACATGGAGATTTTGAACGTAGTCTGACTGCTGTGACGGCAATGCATTGACGATATTTTTGCAGATCTGGAGCAGAAATCAGGTTTCTGATGGATTCGAGGCGAAAAGCATCGCAGATGCTGGACTCTTAGCCAGGCCTCCCCGTCGATGAAGTTGAGGGGCTCAGCCAAGGTGTTTGACAGAGAGTCGCGCGTCCGCGGAAGTTGAAGTTGGGCGACCTAGCCAGCAACGAACTCAGACAGGTGAGACGTGCACATTTTGGTCAACGTGTTGAGTTACTTGGATCCGTTCGCCAGTCTGCAGAGGCCCAGCAGAAAGATGTTGAAGAAGTCCGGCGCACGCGCTTTCAAGCAGCAGCTGAAGGCATGTATCCGTATGAACACGGCAGATGTTCCACAGTTTCTGCAAGAATGATCAAGAATGGAATATATTGTTTCGCCCGTAGAATGATCCACAGTAGCCACAGTGATGAAGCTGCGGGTGGAGCGATCAAGCGAGCCCGGTGCCAGGCTCTTCGAAAGCGCGGTATTTGGTGTAGCCGGCCTTGAAGATTAGTTACTTCTGGCGTGCTGCGAATGCAGAGTCGATAAACATGACTAAGCCAAACATGTTTCTGAGGCCATGCAATTTGTGATCGTTTGTCTTGAACGTCTGCTTCGGTTTCACCATTCAGTGAAAGGCATCCTGGCTCGCAAGTAAGCTCAGCGACGAGCTGTTTCTCCAGGCTGCCATTGTTGCCTGGGCCCCATCCCTCCGAAAGGCTCAGCATGCATGTAACGAGAAATTCCACGCATCGCAGGCTAGATGTAGGAAAATTCTTCAACAGCCACAGCGGTCCAAAGAGAAGAGCCGAAACTCAAAACTCGCTGGCGGGATAGGCGCGTGAGGAGAGTTCGGAAGCGCTCCGGTCAATTGACAAGACGAGTCAGATGATGTGAAAATAGAACGTGATTCGTTCACTGCATCAGTGCGTTTGCTCATGTGTGGATTTCTGAAAATTTGGACTGCTTTCGCTTTGGGGGGTATACTTACCAGCACGACCAATAAATACGAACAAGACAATCTTCCCTTCCGTGAGCTATCCAACTGTCTTATTAGTGATTGTTAGTGCTTATTGGCGCTATCTCTGCGCGATGGGCACTTTCTTGCGGGACGATCTCACCCTGACCAATTTGTATTGCGACAGGGATGCCTCAAATCTAATGCTCGATGAGGTGCTTATCATGGGCATCATAGGGTTGGCTCTCGACCTTCGAGCCCCCTTCCACATTCTTGCACGTGGTCGTGGTGGCGTGATCCTCACACTTGTCAGACCTCTTGGCGACTTCTTCCGCGTGGGAGGGGGGATTCTCAAGCTGACGTGGATAGTTGTTACACATGCTTCCGGAGCATAAGCGGACAGTATGGAGGCAAACCAGTTGCGATGCTGCTTGTTATCAAGAAGTCTCGAAAAATCAGTGCCGGTGCTGTCTGTGGGGCAAACCCAGGTAAACCTCATGCAACGTGCTGCAACTGTTCGTGATTCCGGCAACATGAGACAAAATTGGGTTTTTGTTGGGTCAATCCGGACCAATGTCGAGTCGGTTCTAGTGTGGGTTGGGGAGTGGCTCGAAGTAGCGAAAAGAGGCAAGCGCTCAAGTTGCAGTCTGAGGTGCGGTTGGGCATGCATTGGAGCCCTGTAAAACATTTCTACCAGGGGTGCAGGGCGGGAAGTGTGTTGCTGTGCGGGTGTGGGGGCGGGAAGGGCGGGAAGGGCGGGGAGGCGGGAAGGGCGGGAAGGGGGGGGGGAGGGCGGGGGAAGGGCGGAAGGCGGGAAGGGTGGGAATGGAAGGGCGCAGGGCGGGAAGGGCGGGGGCGGGGAAGGCGGTAAGGGCGGGAAGGGCGGGAAGGGCGGGAAGGGCGGGAAGGGGGGAAGGGCGGGAAGGGCGGGAAGGGCGGGAAGGGCGGGAAGGGCGGGAAGGGCGGGAAGGGCGGCGGCGTTTGTTGCGGGAAGGGAACCTACCAGGCATGGGGGCCTGTGCAGGGCGGGAAGTGTGTTGCTGTGCGGGTGTGGGGGCGGGAAGGGCGGGAAGGGCAGGAAGGTCAGGAAGGTCGGGAAGGGCGAGGGGGTTTGGGCATGCATTGGAGCCCAGTAATACATTTCTACCAGCCTGTGCAGGGCGGGAAGTGTGTTGCTGTGCGGGTGCGGGGGCGGGAAGGCTCTTTTATCTCCTTTTCCTAATTTGTGCTGTCTTTAAGGTCATTCCTTGTGACCGTATTAATAATATTAACTATAACTATAAGGGCTTCTATTACGGGGTTTTAAGGGTGCACTTAATGGTTGATTTTCTGGATTCCAAAATGGCCCTTTTTTCACTCGCTTTCATATTCCATTATAATATTATGTTTGCGAGCCCCACGGTTACACTTAATTTAATGGGGAAATGGACTCTCTTAAAAGGGCAAATGATGTCTTCCTTTTGGCTTCCCCGTGAAAATTATGATTGTAATGTTAAGAATGAAGATAGAAGACGTACTGAAAGCATGAAAGTAGAATGTAAGCCCCAACTCGAGGATTTCATACGCAACCAAGCGTTTGAACTGCTTGCCTGTCATCAGGGAGAAGACTCGTCTGGCTACAGCTTTCTCGTGCGTCTCCGAGTTCTTACCAACATTGTATAATTGTGCATCTTCCGCACGACAAAGTTGTTTTCTGTTGCGGTGCGAGTGTGATCATGAGGTCAATGGGGGAGCGTGCGGCGCTGCGACGAGTTCGACGGCCGTACAGACCTGCGACGAGTGCGAAAGCGTCTACGACGGGCTGTTTTTGCGTATGGAGCAGGACCGGTTTGTGCGCTGGCGGCCTTTCCAGTCTCGGCATCCCATCTTCGAGTTTGTTGCCAGGCATCAGAGCGCGCAGAGCGCGCCTCCATGTCGATGGAGGATGCAAGGAAGTAGGCTTGCAGAATCGCCGTGTGACGAAGGCTGCGTGCATGAAAAAGTCGCAGACACGGAGAGGCGTTTTGTGATGATGGCGGCGGCGGCGGTGGTGGTGGCGGCTTTAAGCGAAACACGACCAGCATCGGCGTCGAGGCTAACACAGAACATGATGATGAGGGCAAGAAGAAGAAGAAGGTTTTCAAGATGCATTTGAGTAGCACCAGAAACAGGCTCTGAGCTGGCAAGCCACTCGATGACGGTGATTCTTTGCCACACGGTCGATTCACCGAGACTTTTGCGGTGTAGCCACATTTTGCATGCAGGCGTCCGATGCATGTTGCACACAATCCTGCAAAGTTTCCCGCAAGCCATGGCAACGGTGGCCCTGGCAGCATTCGCAGCAACACAATCCACCGACTTCCTCTGCCTTTGTGGTCTTTGCTTGTTGTTCTTGTTTGTGTGGATGTCATCATCCTGGCTGAACACATCTTGCCTGGGCCCAGAGTCGGTGTTGCGTACAGCTTCGCACATGGATGATAAATCTCCTTGCATGGACCTCCATTATCTTCCATTGCGAGCAGGGCATGAGCGTACGAGTCCCAACTATTCCCCCCATTGCCGAAATTTGGGGTACCTTATCGGGATCCCTAATTTTTTTTGGTGCATGAGCTGTACACATTGAAGGCGTAAGGTGCTCTGTCTCTCACCAAGCGCGTGAGCCATGCCTCATGCCGTGGCTCAATGACGCTCTCGGCAAAGTCCGCGAGCCGGGGCCACAGGAACTCTCCGGATGTTCGGGAAAAGGGTCAAAGAGAGACCTTTGTGTTTGGAGTGTGCGAGCCCGAGCGAGAGCAGGCAGAGCAGCACTATCGTGGCCACAGCAAAGGAGGTCTTTTGCACTGCCTTCCGGGTTCCGCCTGTTGGAGCATGATGGTGCTTGGGAGGTCAAGCAGCGCATTGTCGGCTCCGACACGGGTGATGAACAGCTTGAGGCGCAAGCGCAGCAGCCTCAGGTCATAGGAATGTTGGCTCCTTGCTACCGTAGTGCTCAGCATCAGGATGCCTATAGCCTCCCTTTCCCGCCATTTCCCGCCATTTCCCGTCATTTCCCGCCATTCGCTCGTCCCCCAGGTCCTTATAAGTACCTGAAAGTTAAGAGCTGAGGCAGGCAGCTGCCTCCGCAGGGTGCCCTGCTGTCGACCAGCTTTGCCAGGTGCCTTCTCCAGCCGGTCCAGATTTTTTTTGTGGTTGTTTGTGTCGGTGTATCCTTTTTAATACGTTCAAGTGTACAACCTACAGGCCTTGTGACAAAAACCTCAGATTTTTCATTTTTCATGGTCAAAGTGCCCGATGCCATTCAGGTTAGGTCTGAGTTGCGGGGTGGATCTACAAAAGACGAAACAGAAACTTAGTATAATCGTTTGAGCTGAAGGTCATTAGCCATCTTGCGAGATTCTCGAAGATCCACGAAGCAAGAGTCGAGTTGAGCTTGTAACGCGCCAGCAGGCGTGGTGTCGTCAGCTGGGCACCGCGAGTCTCTCAAGTGACATCGGCGTGGCCAAAGACGTGTCGCGTCGGCCGGTTGCGCACCGCGCGCCGCAAAGTAGCTGCCATGCCACTCTACACTCTACCGACTCTATTAGCCCGCTCCGCGTGCCAGATTTTGGCAGTCCCTGCTCCGCTGCCATGCAGCTGCATCCTCAGCTGCTAAGACGAAAAGCCGCTGAAAGCCTCAATGATCCCCCCCCCTAACCCCTACTTATAGGTCGAAGTGCTGCTGCAGAGGCCGAAGTGCTGCTGCAGAGTGCTGCCCAGCAGACCAGCAGTGCCCCCAGGTCTGGTCAGAACATCCACACAACCCCGTTGCTGCAGACAGCTGAGGCAACGCGCAAGCCGACAGCCGGGGCCTGCGCCTCCTGCTGGCCCGCGCAGGGAGTCTCAGGGCACTGCAAGATACTGTACTTGAAGGTTCATGGGCAGTTATAGGTGGGGTTTTAAGTGCCCTAAACAAGGTTATAACCGCGTAGAACAATAGTTATCCCACTTATAACCCCAGTTATAGCTACCCATGAACCTGCAAGTAAATGAGGACATTGCTGTAACAGTACATGTAACAGCACCTGTTTGTGTCCATTGGGCCACACTGCCCTTTTATAGATCCGTAAATTCCGAGCTGGCCAAGGTCCTCCCCGACGACCATGCGGCGCTCGGGCAGGAGTTGGTCACGCTGCTCTCGGGTGGCTCCCTCGGTTGTTTGGGCTTTTGCAATGGCTTTGCAGTTCTTTGCAGTTCTTTGCAGTTGCTTTGTTTTTTTTGCGGTTGCTTTGCGGTTGTTTTGCAGTTAGCTGCATCTGCTTTCAAGGGGAACGGGGCGACCTGGCCAGCGAGCAGCACACGAAGCTTGCAGCGAAGCTGCTCTCGGCCGGGAAGGTCCGGCTGCCCTTGGCACTTCTAGGAGTCTCATGTACTGTAGCCGTCTCAGTAGATCTGTTGCAGTACAAAAGCAGATGCCTCTGTCCAGTCTACCGTCTACCCCTAAGTCGACCCACAAGCTTCTTTCGACTCCGTGCAGGTGGACTGGCGCTCAGAGGCACGGAAGGGAGAAAAGCGGAATATGGTGGAACACAGTGGGGACAGTGGGGGTGTAACACAGTGGAACACAGTGGAACGCAGTGGAAGGCTCGAACATGACAACAGCACTGTTCTCAAAAGATCAAATCAGGCCGACTTCGCACAGCGCTGTGAGCTGAACAAGCTGGCCGAACAACGGATGAAGGCTGCCGTGAGAGTTGTCCTACTGTTGTCCTGATGCGCCTCGTGCTCCAAGCAAGTGGCAGGAACTGCAGCAACTCGGAACCGCGCAGCCCAACGAGCAACTTGAGAGGCCTCCATAGGCCAAACATGGCATGATAAGGTGCCAGTCGTTTTTTTGGGGGGGCCACAGGTCCGCGCGCCGTGTCCGCGTGTCTTCCGAGCTCTTGGGTGCGCCGCTCCACTCGAGCCCGAGAAATTCCTGTGGTGTTCCTGTCATGCTCCTGTATTCCCAAGAGCTCTTTAAGTGACATTTGTCAGGCCTGTGCGATGTGGCGGGCTTAGCCTGACCTGGCGTTTGTCTAGGTGGCCATGAGAAAAAGCCCTGTTCCGAAGTTCCTGACCATCAAGCCTAAACATGCACGCGCGCGCGGTTGACTCGGTTGACAATAGCAGCGTCACTTGTGCTCTTGAATGTCCAGCCCCCCGAAGTCTGAAACCCCACACGTCTCCAGCCTACAAGCCCTCAAGCAAGATGAACAACGGTCAGGGCCGGCCCGTCAGATAGGACAGAACCTCCAAACCCACTCTGACGCAGTCGTCATAGGATGCTGGAACTTGCCTGTCTACGTCATAAGCGATAGAAGTTTAATTCGAGGGGCATAATCTTGACAACTCATGGAATATGGGAGGTGCATGTCGCTCACGCAGCCAAATCTTCGTCTAGATTCTCGACAACATATGCAGTTTCCAAGCGAGTCGGGTTTCGTCTCACGGGGCTTTTCTTTGCAGGATGGCTATCAGTGTGAGTTTATGTCATCCCTGCACGGCGATAGTCCTCTCTGCGGAAAAATTCGATGGTGCCCCAGAAGCAGCTTCGGAAGCGTCTTTTCTCGAACATCCTTGCATGCTACTTCGCCGCTGTGCAGTACTCCTCAAGTGGTGCTGACAACGCCGCCTCGCAGATCCTGAGGTCGCAAGAGCGGTGCGTCAAAGCGCGTTCAAGGATGCTTTCTTTTCGCGTTTGGCTTCCCGAACTGAAGCCCTGTGTGTGTCTCTGTGTGTCTCCGTGTGTGTTGGGTGTGTTATGTGTGTGTGTGTGTGTGTGTGTGTGTTGTGTGTGTGTGTGTGTGTAGGTGGGTGGGTGTGGGTGTGGGACTCATTGTGTTCTCGGCATGCCATGTGACTCACACAAGCAAGTAGAAACGGTGCCTTTTTCGAACCGCCGCAGACACTGAATACAAGTCTCAAAGGTACCCCAACGCAGCTCGCACTGTTTGGCCCGTTGCTCCGAGGCACTCCACCAGTCTTTGCTGGAGGTGCGAACTCGGTTGTTCTTGAAGCATCCTTGCTTACTGGTTCTCACCTGGGACTGAGGGAAGTAGGTGCGATTTCCTCCCAGGGTAAAATATGGGGGGATGTAAGGCACTTAACTCGAGAACCAGCAAGCATGTCTCTGCGTTTCTCTGCGCTTCCGAGACTTCTCTGCCATCGCGCAGGGACAAGCACAAGTCTCGACGAGTGCAGAGGTAGGGTGGCGGCACGTCGTAGCACCCCATAAGCGTCATAGCAGGGCATAGCAGTCAGTTCCAGGAAGGTAGATGATATCTACATATGGAGAACATCTTTTCCCAGAATTCGCAGGGCTTGTGGTAGAACTTCTTCAAGTGACCCAAGCTTCTGGAGGATCGCAGCCAGCAACTCCAGAGCATCTCGGAAGACGTCGAGGCGTGGTTGAGCTCAAGTCCAACTGGGCAGCTCTCCTCAAACCATGATCCCCCTTTTTCCCCGCGCAGTGTGCCAAGAGTCAAAGCTGCGGGTGTATCAACGTTAATTACACAGGTGGCCCCCTCGGCCCGGATCATGTTTTTTGTATCGGGGCCTGGATGAAAATCGTGCTCTTGCCTGAGCGCGGGCGCGGCCGCGATCGCCATCCTCGCAACTGTCGTCAATTGTTGACGTCCTTGTTCCCCATATCTCGGCCTAGGTCCGTTGTAGTTCCGGGCGGGCCCGTGGGCCGGCGGCGGGGCGGTGGGGGCCCGTGAACCTCCAGACAGACTGACTGTGATTCATCGAGATGATCTTCGCAACAAGTCAGAAGCCGAGAAAGTTGATCAGGCACACGAGGTTATATGCGATGGGTCGAGTGGGAATTGTTTACTTGCAACAGACAGGTTTGATCGAACCGTTCCAATCCATGGAACCAGGCGAACTTGAAATATCGGGCTTCGTTTTTGTTGGCTTGGAGGCTTGGTCTTCCTTCAATTTTGCTTGGTCTTACCCATAATCAACGTCTCGCTCAAGACGAGCAGTGAATGTGCCGGAGAACGAGCCCCAGAATGGGAGGAGCTTTTTTGCGTGCTTGGAGCTCACAGCTCACATAGCTCGCAGGCCTACATCACCTCGCTCGGTCAAGGAGAAGGTCCAGTTTTGAGATGGTGCGTGAACAGAGAAAGCCCAGATGCTTTAGATGTCTGCCATTGTCTGCCTGCAAGCTGGTAGGTGTTGGACAGAGACAGCGTGGACTGCAGCAGGAGCTTCGCGACGCACAGGAGGCTCTTGCAAAAGACCTTGGCGCGGTAGATTCCCAGCGAGATGCTGCGGACACGAGCATTGAGTCCTTGGAGACAAAGAAGCTCCAACTTCGCCAGCAGCTGCATACCATCGATGAGAAGCTGCATGCTGCACGTGAAGGGCAGCGGAACTATCTTGCAGAGAAGGATCGCCGTCGCCGGGCGCTTGAAGAGGTGGAGGCCACGTTTCGCAAGAACCTCAGCGAGGTCGAGGAGCTGGGCCTAGCTGCCAGGAAGGAGCGTGCCGCTGCAGAGAAGGCCTTGGCTGATTGCAGCAACTTCCCTGTATTTAGCCCTGGAATTAGTCTAAATGCAATCCCCATCTGCGGAACAAGCACGTTTCAGGCTTCTGCAGTGATGATGTGTCGGATGCATGTTGCGTTCCTGAACCCTGCAAGGTCAAACAAGCCGCTGCTGAGACAGAGGTGCTGGCAGTGCGCGCCCTGTCTGCAGCAGCTGAGGATCTCAGTGCCAAGGCTGCGCAGTTTGACAGCCACTTGCTGAACGTGCTGTTGGAACATGTGGGACATGAAGAGAAGCGAATTCAGCTACTCCATGATGAGTCGGACCTTTGCACAAGCATCATCGCGAAGCACAAGGCTGAGATCGACTTGTTGACTGTCATGGACCGACCACTTAGCAGCGTGCTTGACGCTGCCGAGCACAAGCACTTGTGTGAGACCTCTTCTGCAGCAGAGGCGGCTCTCAAGGCATGTGCCGGCTTCGCACGGGATTTTGGGCCCTTCCTCAGCAAGCACCCGGCCGCGCACGGACGCCTACAAAAGCTGGAGGCAGATCATGCGGAGGTGATTCGCAAATTGGCCGCCTGTCGTCAACTTCTCGGTGTTTCGACCCCCACAATGGATCCCACCTCATCTCTGCCAGCGGCGCAGTCAAGTCATGCGCAAGCAGCCCCTGCAGACCCAGGCAAAGCACAGTATCCGGCAAACGATCTGCCTTCGACCCCAGCCCCAAGTGGCAATGCCCCACAGCAGGAGAGCGCGAAGCCACCCACACAGCCAACTCTTCAAGGTCAGACGCAGGCGATGCAGCCCATGCAGCCAGTGCAACCGCAGCAGAGACCTCAGCAGCTGACTCAGCTGACTGAGGTGGCGAGCCAGATACAGGTACAGCCTCTTCAGCCAAGCCAGCAGCAGCCAGCGCAGCCAGATCCACCGAAAGCAGCCGCAGCCGCAGTGCCAGCGGCTGGAACGCCAGCCGCTGTGCCAGCGGCTGGAATGCCAGCCGCTGTGCCAGCACCTGGTGCCGTGCTTGCGGGGACTGGGACTGCATCTGCAGAGTCAAAGTTGGACGTGCCGACATGACAGTACGGACTGTGCTGGTGACTTCAGATGACTTTGTCATCCTCCTTTGGAAGGCCTGCGACTTTCGTGGAGTCCCTGGAATTGCAGTCTATTGCAGACACGCGAGCGAGAGGCTGCCAGGCCCGGATTGCTTTTGTTGGAGAGCCTCCTGCCATCTCTTGACCACGGCGGACGCAGCGCGCTGAACAACGTGCCACGGTGCAGAGCCTGGGACTTCCGTAGAGAGTTTCGTATGTTTCGTTCTGAAGCTTTCTGCCGAGGCTTCCTGGTTAGCCGGGGAGCACGACGGAATCGGCACGTAGGTAGGCTGACTGTTGACATCCGGCCCAAAGCTGGAAAAGCTGCATGACAGATGGCGTCGTGAAAGTGTGGCCCGTCTGAAAACTTCTGCTGTTCTTGCTTCGAAGATCATGCTCATGCAGCCGTGTGTTCGTCGTCGAGCGGAATCGCGTAGCAACCGACCTTTGAAACCTGTGAATGGGAAGTCGAAGCTTTTCTGTTCATGGGTGCTGGGACCCCCAATGCCCCGAGCTCCAGCCTGCGTGGCCCTTAGATCAGCCGCTGTCGCTGCTTGCCTTTGTGTGGCCTTGCTGTCCTCTTTGGCCTCACTTGAACGAGCACGCTGGGGTAGCCTTTGAACCCTGAACCCTGAACCCTGAACCCTGAACCCTGAACCCTGAACCCTGAACCCTGAACCCTGAACCCTGAACCCTAAACCCTAAAACCCTAAAACCCTTAACCCTAAACCCTAAACCCTAATCCCTAAACCCTAAACCCGAAACCCTAAACCATCTAAACCCTAAACCCTAAACCGAGGTGGCGCTTTGGAGCAGCCAGCCATCGAACCGGAGCCCGAAGGGCGCGATGACTGGCAGCTTGAGTCTCATGGCAGTGCAGAGGCCGCATGAATCAGCCCGACTCATGCTAGAGTTTAGGGTTTAGAGCTTAGGGTTAGGGTTTAGGGTTTAGGAATGTTGGATATGAGTGCATGCTACATCATGGCCGACATTGTTTCTCATCCGGCCAGGAAGATTTGAAGTTTGAGGCCACACGGAGCGACGTTTTTTTTGGAAGACTTTCAGTTTCCGTGGCCCATGCGGCCCATGCGCATGCTGTGCGTCTTCAGCCACGACGTGGGTGCAGGTCAGGCAACATCACACTTCAGGCTCCATTCCAGAAGCGACGAAGTTCCAGGACCCTGCCGCTACATGCGAAGCGCCGCCGCATAGCTTCGTGCTGCCAAGATGCAGATGGCTTGGAGGATTCAATAAACCCAAAGATGGAAAGGATGAGTCTAGTCCAAGTCCAGGTGCAGTCTTTGATGCTGGTGCGGGTATTGACAGTGTTGGGCACAAGACTCCAAGAGGTGCTGTCTGAGCAAGACGGACGCACTTCAGCAAGGCTCGGCAATTGTCCGTTTTCTTCCATCTGTTGAACTGTCTCATCCACCTGCTGGGGGGCCAGCAATTGCCTTAGGTGGTAGCGGGGAGTGGGTGATACCAGGTTCTCAATGGCAACCTTGCGAGAAGGCACTGGGATTGCAGCGCAGCGCTATCGCAACAACCCTACCTGTGGAAAATCCGGCTACTGAGACCTTCCTGAAACTTGGAAAGGTGCCTATCAGCTGATGCGGTTCAGGTCTCCGTGGGCAGGGGCCTCCCAGTTCTGTGTCTATGTTCCCCGCTTTTCGACACCCTGCAATCACATGAGCCATGGTACTTCAAATATCTGGCATCTTGTGACAGTGCAGACCGCCACATGTGAGCCTGTCGGCTCGAAAGCAGCTGACCATGTACTTGCTCCGCTTGGGAGTCACCTGGCTTGTGTCCTTGGCACTCAGTCTCGCCTGCTGCTGCTGGCTGGGTTCATTACACAGGCATGCCTCTGCCCCCCGAAAACAGGCAGAGCCAAACCCATCAAATCAGCCTAAACCCTGAACCCTGAACCCTGAACCCTAAGCCCTAAGCCCTAAACCCTAAACCTACACTTTCGAATCACGGTGTTGGAGCCTTGGGGTGTTGGAGCCTTGGGGTGAAGGTATGGAAACCACAGCCAATTGCAGATTGCGGCCGCCATTCTCTGCAGTGTCCTCACGGCCACGTGGGCAGCGGCGGAAGTTCCCTGCCTTGCCTATAGTCATATAGTAGTACAATGATATAACATGAGTTTTATTTCCGTAAAGTACTAATCATCCATGAATATGAGAGAATAATGATATGATCACAGAATAAGAAGATCATGCAATCAGACGCCTCTCGGCTGGAAGCCGGGGCGCTTTAGCAAAGCTGCAGCTGCAGGAGTTGCGTTTTCGGAGCACGCCGGGCCCAGGCATCTTCCTTCTTCTTGCGTCATCCACCTGCAGAGGGGTATGTGTCCTGGCAGCACATAGTCTGCGGCAGCAAATGGACCATTGCACAATCCGTGCATGTACTGAATCGGCTGCCGTCACGGTCGGCCAGATTTCCGCCTGCAGCCGTGCCACATGTCGTCTTCGCGGCTCAGCCGCCAAAAAGTCGAACGGGCCCCATTTATCGGCATGTATCGGCGCGAAAGCCACAATCAAGCGACAACAAGGCCCGGCTGGCACGCAGTCCACCCTTTTCGGTCATAGTATTGGTAAGTCTGCTACTCGCTGGAAACCCGATGCCCTTCATGGGCTGGTGCTGAGCACAAGTCTTGGTAAGTGTCTCGTCTTTAGGCCCCTGTGGTTGTTGCAGAACATGGTGGAGGTACAGGGCCTTAAATGCCGAGTTAGGGGTCGATAGCTAAGGATATTGCAGCTCAGAATGAACCTCATGAGCCTCCTGCAGAACTCGTTGGAGTGGCTGATCAAGCCTTTGCCTCAATGCCGCACATTTCGCCATGTTCCCAGCGTTGCCTATGTGCCTTCTCGATGCGAATCCTAAATCTGCGAGTGGTGCCCGCGATTGCTTCACCCTAAACCCTAAACCCTATTAGGGTTTAGGGTTTAGGGTTTAGGGTTAAGGTAGGGTTTAGTTTATAACCCTACCCTAAGACCTTAACCTTAAACCCTAAACCCTAAACCCTAAACCCTAAACCCTAAACCCTAAACCCTAAACCCTAAACCCGAAACCCGAAACCCGAAACCCTAAACCCTAAACCCTAAACCCTAAACCCTAAACCCTAAACCCTAAACCCTAAACCCTAAACCCTAAACCCTAAACCGAAACCTCTGGAGGCCTCTGAGGTGAACACTGTGGACTCGGAGAAAGATGTCGAGATGGCGGCTTCGACGAAGGCCAACCATCTGCCACATGGTCAGTTCTCTAAATTAGGAATCCTCTTTCAGAACCCTTTTTTTTTAAAGGGTGCGGCCTTAGAATGGGGACCCAAAAAGGGACCCCAATTTGGGGAACTACCCACATCGCACATCGGAGGGCTTGTTTGCTTGCTGCATCTTGATGTAGTTCTCTCCTCGCAGAGTCCTTGTGAATGCTCTTGTTGTCATTGTTGCTCTTATTCGTACCCTAAACCCGAAACCCTAAGCCCTGAACTCTAAACCCAAAAGCCTAAACCCTCAATCCCAAACCCTAAATGCGTTGTCATGCCTCACTGTGCCAGGGTTCACGCAGCCAGCAAGTTCTCCCCGCAGCCCAGCTTACTTATCAAGTTCTGTAGCTCGTTTGAGGGTTGAGGGTTTAGGGTTTAGGGTTGAGGGCTTAGGTTCCTGATGAATGTGGCTTCGGTCTTCCTGATGCTTCAGGCTTAAGGTAGCGGTTGTTGAGTATCAGAGCAAGCGAACCCGATCAAGGTATGGATCGCTGGCCAAATAGAGGTTCTGCGAGCAGGGGCTGAGATGTCTGCAGCCTGTCCGCACAGAAACTTCCATTGCAGCTGCTCTTGGTGTTTTAGAGTTTTCGGGATTTGGAACCCTGAACACTGTAAACCCTAAACCCTAAACCCTAAACCCTAAACCCTAAACCCTAAACCCTAAACCCTAAACCCTAAACCCTAAACCCTAAACCCTAAACCCTAAACCCTAAACCCTAAACCCTCTCCCTAAACCCATGTGAGAACCTCTCTTGTCACCCTGGCAGGTGATCCTGGGGGTCCTGTACCTGTGTGATCGCACGGAGGTGCTGCCCGAAACAGAGAAAGTTCGCGATCCGCGACAGTTCTGGGGCGTTTGGGGGCTCATTGTGGTGGCAGCCCTCTTTACGATCCGAAAAGGCAAGGATTCCGCTCCCTTGTCAAGGGAGCAGACAGACGAATGGAAAGGCTGGATGCAGATCATGTTTCTCATGTGACTCGTCTGCAACTTGGGCTACCAGCTGCCTCTGTCACATGACATGCGTGTGCGAACCATTTGTGTGTATGTGTGTGTGTGTGTGTGTGTATTTTATTTTGTCTTATATGTGCACACATGCACTTGTTTGTTTCTACACATGCCTCTGTATAGGACTAGGTATATACATATGAATGAACAAAAAGATAAATGCATATAGAAATAGAGGTATGACAAATTTGTACATAGTGCAAATGTCTACACAATTCTCATAATATGCCTACCTGCAACAGAAGGCAATGTGTGCTGCCTCCAGGTATCATTACTTTGAAGAGAAGGAGGTTTACAATGCGATCCGCGTGTATATCGCTGCATATGTTTGGATGACAGGATATGGCAACTTCTTTCTGTACCGCAAGGGAAAGAGCTTCAACATTAGGCGCACGCTTCAGATGCTTTTTCGATTGAACTTTCTCGGCTTCGCTGTGTGCACCGTTTTGCGAAATGAGTACATGTTGTATTATATCTGCGCCATGCACACCATCTTCACGGTCTTCGTGCTGCTTGCCATGTACATTGGGCATACGCTGAACACCTCTGGAGCGGTCCTTTGGCTAAAGATCGTGCTGACGTTTGCGTTGACGCTTTTCCTGTATGACGGACCAGACATGGTGTTCAGAATGATTTTCGGCACCTTGCCTGTGGTAAGACCGTTGTTTGCTTTTCATGATCCTCTACATCCTGAATTCACCGACGAAATGCACGAGTTCCACTTCCGATCGGGCCTCGACCGATTCATTTGGATTGTGGGAATGATCTTCGCATTGCACTATGAACAAGCTGCTGCCTTTTTGCAGAAGCTGGACAAAGAGCCATGGCCAAAGAAAGCCGTGATTCGATCGGCCCTTGTTCTAGTATCAGCCTCCGTTGGGATAGCATGGTGGTACTTTGTGTTTACCTTACCCAAGCTGGATTACAACAAGATACATCCGTACACGTGCAGCCCTTAGTTGCCTCTGAGAATGCGAGTCAGCTGCAGAGCCACATTAGCATCGCCTCTTCCCAGGTCTTTCGTGCCATTGGCGATTTACCTGGTGCTACGGAATTTGACGGTAACCTTGCGCGAGTATCACTTGCATCTCTTTGCATACATGGGGAAGGTAACCTTGGAAACTTACATCTTTCAGTTCCATATCTGGATGCGAACAACCGGTCTTAATGGATCGCCAAAGAAGCTGCTGGTCGTGGTGCCCGGTTTTTTCTGGCCAAATTTTATGATCGTGTCAGGCATCTACCTGTTCATTTCGATCAGGTTCTCGCACCTAACAGGAGTCCTGCGAGATGAGCTCATCCCAGAAAGCCTTCAATCGACGGGCAAAATCTGGGCCTTCTTGGTGATCGTATCACTGCTATGTTGGGTAGTTGCAGGACTTTGCAAAGTCTAGGGCAAAATGCTCTCAAAGTCTACAGACCATGACCCGACGGACATCCTAGGGAGGCTGGCGCCATGCAAGAAGAAAAGGCGGGCATCTTGGCACAAAGGCTCCTCATCAGAAAAAGGGACCTGCCCCAGAGAATGTGGAGCCCTCACATGGGGGTTTACGAAAAGTAGGGGGCCCTCAAATGTACATCCCCCAAATTGTAGGATTCCCTTGTAATAAAGGACGCCAATAAGGTACCCCTCAATTTCTAAAACCACCCGCATAACATCAGGATCATAAGGTGAACCTTTCATCTGAGGAGTCCAGCGTCGACACCCAGGTGACTGCCCACAGCCAAACTTGTGAAGGCCCGTTGTGCACCTGCTTCAAGGTGGTGTGTGTGGGGGTGGGTGGGGGAGATGCTGCTTGTATGGAATATACACCAGGAGACCTCCTCATCAGTGATGAGAGGCAGGGGGCGTGAGGTATTGTGACGTTCGACTTCTTCTAACCGTTAATTATTGATTCTTAAATGGGATTCTACTACATGTGTGGGTAAAAAGGGGTACCCTATGATAGGAAGCCCCCTTAAAAACCGTTCCGGCATGCTGGCAGTATGCTGACGGAGTCTCAGCCGTCGGGCGAGCTGGTCGGGTTCCGAGCTTTGGGCATGGCGGCAGGACTTTCCTGAGACGAAAGCATGGGTTCCCCTACTACCCCCCTCTATACTACGCCCCCCTAGGTTCACCCCATAATTAAGGCTATTTAGGGATAATGAAGCCTAATTAAGGATATTTAAGGGGACCTTGGGGGGGTAGTATAGAGGGGTGTAGTAGGGAAACCCATGACGAAAGCTGACGAAGTCTGAGAAGTCAGGTTAGCGCTGCTTTGGACTCGTGGCAGGCCTGCTCTTCAAACGGTCCACCTCATACTACCTGGTAGTCGCTCCCCCGAGTCTGAGCCAGGTTGTTGATACCGAAGGCCTGGTTGTGGCCGAGGACGACGTCGTACGCTTCCAGCTTGATGCAGAACAATGCAAAATTCTTGATCCAGGATGGGATCCAGGACATACGCAGGCACACATCTCGTTCGGTCTTCTTGCTCTGAGGTCGACGTACTGCAGACTGGTAGAGGCTCCGTAGAGGCACCGGATGCTCATGTCATCTGCACGGGAAGCGCTGCGTTTAGAGGTTCCTCAATTCATTTGCCTGTCTCATGCGGTCAGAGGCCAAAATGGAGCGAATGCTCACGTGGATGTTGGCTCCCGCAGTGCATGGCATTCCTGTCGGCCTGGCTTGTACCCTTGATCCCTGCGTCACGGGTTCAGCAGCCCTTGTCTTGGCGCTGCTGGACAGTTGCACCTTGACACCTTGACAGAAACTGGGAGTACTTCCTGCTGAAGAGAGAGCAGCAGAATTACTGTGTCAGCCTGTGCCTCAACAGAGCACGTACATCCATGACCAGGGTTTAGACAGCAGCGCAGGGGGGAGCGAGATGCAGAAAGCCCCTTGCAAACAGAGGCACGACCGCGATGTAGAGGCAGCTGTGCGCGAGGTGGGGGCGCCGGTGTTTCAGAAACTCTACAACGTCTGCCGGAGACAGTATGTCAAGTTCTGCAACCACACTGGTGCAGGTGGTTGCGGGCTCCGAGAGGCCCCCGGAGCTGCGACAACTGTTGGCCAAGTAGGATCGTTCTCAGTGAGGGCTGTTTAAGGTGTTTGTATCGTCTCCATACAAGCTCTTATGAAAAGGACGACCTAGAAAAATCGCCTCGAAGTAGGAGCCGCAAGATTGCTTCACGCGCGTTCTTTGGTCCTGTCTTACTCAGCTTCCTCTCGGCCAGGTCGGTCTCCACCGTTGTGCTGAACTTCTGCTTGGAGAGAATTCCGGTGCTGGGCTGCCCGACAGCGACGCACCCAGGAACAATGAGGAACATCTCTCAACGAAATTCCAAAAATTTCCGACATGTTTGTGTGTGCAAGGCCTAGATCTTCTCTGTGTAGGCCTGCAACAAAGCTTATCTCTACTGGCTACTCTAGAAGGCCGCAATGAAGCGAGGCGATGGGCTTTACATGGCTTGTTTGGGACAATAGTTTCCTAAAGATGAGAGGCCTCTGGCCCCAGGTTCTTGCTGCCTTAGCGGAACTGGTCAGAGATCGGGATTTTCCATGCCTCAGACGGACAGATCTTCCGAACTTGCTTGGCCCAGGTCCTCCTGCGCACAACTTGGGGAGCAATGCTCAGACGGAGATTCTTATCGTTAACTTCGCCTTGAGAACAGTGGAGCTTCTCAGGCAATCTCCGCAGCATTCTCATCGTGGCTGCCATGTATGGCTGATGGCTTAGATCCACTCAGAAGTGCGGCCTCCGAAGTGGAGTTCTTGTGCTCATGGCTTGCTGAGGACACGACCTTGAGTCAGCACGAGTTCAGCATGAGGTGCCCCACAGAGCTGGGTGGCCTGTCGCAAAGTTCTCCATGAAGTTGCTGCCTTCTTGGAGAGGCTTTGCTCTGCCTGGTTCCTCCTGGCGATGACAAGGCCGAGTCGTGGACCTTCAGTTCTTTGGACGTTCAGTTCTTCGGGGGAAACCTCAAGCTCGAGACGAGGATTCGTGCACTGCTGCCCTCAAGCAGCACAACGTCACATCCCCGGGAGACTCTCTTGTGCTCAGCACAGGAGAGGAACCTGAACAGTTGCGAGATGTTGTGCGCCAACATGCTGAGCTAAGGCATCGGACCTCAATCCAGCTACCTTGGTGTCTGCCACAGCTCAGCAGGCGCGTGGGCCGAGTGTCCGAGTGCTGGTACTTGCAGCTCCGGCCCATGCCAGGTGGCGCGCTTCATGATCCGGGGCGCGTTGAGACGTGCCGCTTTCTCGGAGCTTACGGACCCCTCTAAAGCGTAATTCATGCGCACAATGCGCTTATAATGTACGTGCATTCGTTTCACTCACTGCCGATTTATTGTTACTGGTGTTCCAAGGGTGGTTTCGTGCTCACATGGTTTGGTTTTCTGGGGCTAGTTATAAAGTTCGTTCTTATCCTGTTCATTGATTACCAGGTTGGGTTCTTAGTGGCTTGCAAACAGAGGTTGGGTCTCAGGGTGTGATGGGTGAACAAGGTGAACGTACAAAGCGCCCCTACAAACGACCTATTGTTGGGCCCTTCACTAACTATATTCCCTCGACTCCGCTTGGATCTTGGGACAGATCCCAGGCTACAGGCTTGCAAGCGGCTGTGGACTGCTTCGAGCTGGCATCGCTCCTGTCGGCTTTTTAGACCTGTGTGCAAAAAGCATTGTGCAATAAACGTTGTGCGTGAGCATTGTGCTCTAGGTGAGTTCCTTGGACAGACGACTTTCCCGTTCTCCAGCTTTGTGCATTGCAAGGTATAGCAGCTGTGGAAATGATGCCCTGGACGAGGCAATCTCCCTCATCTCACTGGGCAGAGGGGGTTTACGAAAATCAGGGACCCCTAGTACACACCCCAAATAACAAGATTCCCTTAGAAGGAGGGCCTCAAAAAGGGTACCCCTATATTCGCAAACGCCCATATTGAGCACCTTTCGGCTGAGGACGGATTCGTCCATGTCACCGCCACGCCAGCATCTGCAGCTCGGGACTTCTTTCGCCAGCGTCTCAATAAACAGCATTGCTGTTGTGTCGAATGGGCTTATAAACCTGCACCGAAGCATGGGACGAGAGACTCTTCACCGAACGGAGCAAATGCAGACCCGAGAGTATGAAAGTGAGAAGTGGTGATGATATTCAACCCATATTCAAGGAATGCCCCCCATGTGCCACAATGTGCCTGAGAGGGTTTGTTGAACTGAGGCAAGAAGTCGTTTGCCTCCTGTGCAATCCTTTGGCTTTGGCCTTGGCATGCCATCCAGATACACTGTTCAGCTTGTCATACGGTCACTTTCTAAATTAGGCCCGAGTCTTCACCCAGAAAGGGACCATGACTTTGAGAATTGACCATATTGGTTGTGGGATGTTGTGGGGTTCTGTAGTGGGCTGGCAGGTGCTCGTTGCCTTTTCTCGTCCTGGGCATGGCAGCGCCCAACCTCTTCATGATTGCAAGGTGGGCATGCGTCAGTGCAAGCCCTCTTCCAATGGATTGCTGTCTTTGCCAAAAGGTTCGTGCCCACGCTGATCGGCTGGCTGTCGGCAGCGCTCGGCAGGCGCATGATAATGTCAGGCCTTTGTTGTCCGTCGAATGAGATGATCGCGAGCCTGTTCCACCATTGGCGCACCATCTGCAGCGTATGCTACGTCGACGTCGGCAAAATCGACAAAGCTATCAGATATCAGATATCACAACCTCAGCCCATCCTTTGCCCAGTTATGCCCCGCAGATTCCGCAATTCGTGGTTTTTGAGGAGCCCGACTTGCACCCGATTGCTCAGACCCGAGTTCCCCCTTAACACTGGCCTCATGCCGGCTGCCTGCCATGTGCCCTGCGGTTCTGCTGCGCCCCCGGAGCGCCCTGAGCAACGAGCCGGATCCTGGGAAAGGACTCGGGCGAGCTGTCGCAGGAGCCCCTGAAAGGAGCATTGGTTCCAGGCGCCTCAGGGAAAAAACGGAAGCTGGGAGGTGTCTTGAAGTAGGGCTTGTGTTCTTGGACACCCCACACATACACTCACCAATATGAGAAAGGAACCTGATATGCACTCAGAACAGTAAAATAAACCCTGTTTCATATGTTCCGGAGGTCACGGGGTCTCCGCATGGTAACCCCCCCGCGTTTTGTGCTTGCAGTTTTGGTTCGTTTGTAGCTGTGGAAGCCTGGGGGGCTGTTGTTCTAAAGGTCCCTTACAAGGATGGACCATGGCATAATTAGGAGACCCTTTGAAAGGGCCAGCCTAACAAAAACAGAGCACTCACCTCACGGTTGTTTCGAGGACCCATATTTTGAAGTCAGGTCGTCTCTGCAAAGCCCCCCCGAGCGTCGAAGTCCGTGAGCGGACACAGACTCCAATGCCGGACCTCAGCTCTTGCTAGTAGGTTCTGTAAAGGTGCGTTTCCTTCAAGATTTGGTTTTGCCTTCAATCACTAAAAGCTGCCAAGAGACAACGAAAACACAGGCCTGAAAGCAACCTCTCTACGCACCTTGTCTTGGAGGCTCCGCTTATATGGCTGCTGTGACGACGACTGCACGGTGATTTCGACGACTGCGACGGCGACGACCGTTATGGCGACGACTACGACTGCTACTACTGTTGCTACTACGACTACATAAGCTAATATGGAACTACTACACTGTACTACGCAGCATTGCTGGGGCCAAATTCCATTCCATGATTGTAGCTCTGGGTGTCGTATGAGGGCGGGAGACGCTGTCAAAAATCCGCTTGGGAACAAGGACTCCGTGTTTAGGCCCCAAGTTCAAGAGACCCTTCAAAAAGTCAAGGCTTTAGGGGGTGGACCACTGGCCAGGCAGACGAGTAAGACTATAGCAAGACTAGGTTCCCAGTAGGTCAGGAAAATCAAGGGTGCCCTTCCCTATTTTAGTTGCTGCAGCAGTGCTTAACTGGCTTAACTTTGTGGCTTGCTCGTGTCCTATCTCAGCCTCTCACGCCTGGCTCTCCTTTCGCTGGAGGGGACTCCCTCTGGAGGGGCCCTAAACCCTAAACCCTAAACCCTAAACCCTAAACCCTAAACCCTAAACCCTAAACCCTAAACCCTAAACCCTAAACCCTAAACCCTAAACCCTAAACCCTAAACCCTAAACCCTAAACCCTAAACCCTAAACCCTGAACCCTGAACCCTGAACCCTAAACCCTAAACCCTAAACCCTAATCCGTGCAGGCCAAAGGATGCCAAGGTGAAGCGGCGGGTGCTCGTCATCGGTGGCTCGCTCGCACTCTCTTTCGTGTTGCTCTGGGTCCAAAGACATTATTATTGTTATTATTATTTTCACTGTTATTATTATTATTATTTCTATTCATCTTCTTTTTCTTATTTATTATTATTATTATTCTTCTTCTTCTTATTCTTATTCTTATTCCCATTATTCTGCCAGCTTCCCACGGCTCAGGGAAGTCCCACCTCCCTCCCCCCCCCCCTCCTCAATGACAGCAACAGCTAGATTCTCACTCAGACTGCCTCGGCTGTATAGTTAATATAGGTAGGCTGCACCGTAACCTGATTGGCACCAGAGCGCTACCCTTGGAATCAGTACAGGCATCGCCGGCCCAAGCGGATGTGGCAAGAGCACCGTGGCTCACAAGCTGGCCAAAGACATGGGATCTCCCATAACTCCGATTAGTTTGGATTCGTATCTGATCCCGAAGTGGATGCCGAAGGCCCGGGAGCTGCAAGAGCTGACTTCAATCACGCGGGTGCCGCTTTTTGCTGTGCCTCAAACAGTTGACATCGCTCGCAGGGTGCAGCGCACCATGAAAGCAACACCAAGAAACAGTGCCCTTCCCTGCAGGAGCCAGATGGCAAGAACTGGGAAACACCGCAGGGTGTGGACTTCGACAGTCTCACCGAGGACGTGAAGACCCTGGTGGACATACTTGCTCAAGCCGACGCGGCCACCAGCTTGCAAAGTGGGTGTAGGGTTTTAGAGTTTAGGGTTTAGGGTTTAGGGTTTAGGGTTTAGGGTTTAGGGTTTAGGGTTTAGGGTTTAGGTGAAGCAAGCTGGTTCAAATCGCTCCTGAGTTCAGTTTCCTGCTGTAGTGAAGCATGCACTCAAGGTTCCAGATCAGCTCCTGCTGGGTCCAGGTCCAGCTCGAACAAATGTCATCTGTAAGGGGCAGGTGGGCTGCAGCATCGCGAGAACCGACTTAGCGCTGTCTCATGCTTAAAGAGATCCTGTCCCCCACGTCACGCTGGCAGGGTGGTTCTCAGTTGACCTCCAAGCAGGTTGTCTTCTTACTGGTGACTCGGTTGCTGATTTAGAGTGCCCCTGGCAACGAAGTTGCAGCCAAGCAGATCTGGATTCAGAGCCGTGCAAGGAGGGTTTTCTTCTGTTCTACCAGCAAAGTCTGGCCAACCTCTTCCAGATCAAGATTTGGATAGATGCAGGCCTACAGAAGCTTCTGCGCACGTATGAGCTGAATACATGCGTTCTTTTATGTTCTTTGCTATTCTCACTTTCCTTGCAAAGTCTATGGAGCAACTTGAAGATCCGAGGACTTGCATGCAAAGGCGCTTCAAGCGTGCCAAGAAGAAGACGAGCAACACCCCTGCAAAAGAAGCCTGGTTTCGCGACCAAGTCTGGCACCACTACGAGCAGTACAAAGATTGCCAGCTGAAGAATGCGTCCGATGCGTTGAGAGTGGATGGAGATTTGCCCAAAGACGAAGTCTTCTCTCGATGCAAGGGTTTCTGTACAGAAGTCTCGCAACAAGTGAACCTGAAGCCTGCGCAGAGAGTCACGCTGCTGCCCAGGCCGCAGCAGCCGCCACAGCTGCCACAGCGGCCAAAGCCGCCACAGCGGCCACAGCGGCCACAGCAGCCACAGCCGCAGTCGAACCTCAAGAAGCCCGTGCCAAAGGCGAAGCCGCGCCCACAGGCATCCCCGGCACTCAGGCCGCAGCAGGCGCAGCAGGCGCAGCTGGCGCAGCAGGCACAGCAAAGTCAGCAGGCAGCGGAGAACTTGGCCTGGAGGCCGCTTCCTAAGAAGAGACCACAACCACGAGAGGATCTCCCCCGGAAGCCCTTGCCAAAGAAGCGCCCTCGCCAGAGGGTTGAGCAAGGCGAGAGAAGCAGCTAGCTGCCAACTGGACCTGTCGGCATCTGCAGGGGAAGAGTTCCCCCAAGCACCGGGCTGTCCTAAAATGAGCGGCGATAACAATGAGAATAATAAGAATAATGAGAATAATAAGAATACTAAGAATAGTAAGAATAGTAAGAATCCAGCAAGAATAAGAAGAAAAATAAGAATACTAAGAATAATAAGAATAATAAGAACAATAAGAATAATAAGAATAATCAGAATAAAAAGGAAAATCAGAGTAATAAGAATAAGAATAAGAATAATCAGAATAATCAGAATAAGAAGAATGACAAGAATAATAATAAGAAGAATAAGAATAACAATTGTTACGCTATTAAGAAGAAGAATAATACTACTAGCAATCAGAATAGTAATAGTAATAATAATACTACTAATAATACTAATAATGATACTAATGATAATAATCATAGTAATAGTGGAAGAGCCAGCTGCCCTAGAACGCATTTCCCCAAAATGGCACGCCGCCACACTGCGGCGGGCGAAAAAGGTTGCGCTGCGGATCAGAGCTCTCCGAATCTCACGCACGCGCTCCCAGGGTGCGGCAGCAGTTCATGGGTTTGGGGCAGCGGCTGTGCATGGTGCAGGTTGCCTCGGGCGTACGTTAGGTCCGCTCCCGCGGTGATCCTCTTCCTGACCGGCCCTTGCTGGGCGCCCAGGTGCCCGCAAGGGTTTCGTGGTCCCTAGAGCAGAAACACGAGGCGTGGCAATGTACCTCCGTCCCAATGTGCAGTGGCGAAAGCGAGCAAGGCAGCGGATTCCTTCCTTTCCTTTTCACTGTTGCCGCACGTGCTCGTAAGCTGCTTGACACTGGTGAGATGCAAAGGACATCAGGAATCCTGAGCTTCCTTGGCTACAGCGACGTTGGACGATGGGCCTTCTTCTTACGCAGGGAAGGGGGGGAATGGAGGGGTTTCAGCTCGTTGAGCAGCTCTGAGGAGCGTGCGCGCGAGAAGTTTGAGGAGGCGTGGCCGCAAACCGCCTGCGCCTCTGCAGAGATCAGTGGTGTGTTTTGCATTGCTCACCCTGCGCAACGCTGGAGGTCACAACCCTGGTCTCGATCCCAGCAGCACAAATCATCAGTCAGACGGTGCAACTGGTCTGAATTTGCGCGGAAGGTCTTCCTGCTGCATGCTCTTCTTCCTGCGATCTCCACCATGTCTTCCTTGTCGGTGGTGTGGATCCCAGCGTAGCGAAAGACGATCTTTGGGGAAGGAATGCGTGGGAAGGAAGAAGAGGGGAAGCGAGGGAGAGGCAGCATAGGCTACCATGTATACGAGTGCAAGCTAACGCTTCAGGTGCTCAGTGCACTCAGCCCGGCTGCTGAGCTGCATGGCGTTATCCTCAGCCCTCACAGCCGAAAAAGCATCAAGTACTACAAGTATGACAGGGTGACAGGCGTGGTTTTGTGATTGTCTCAGGATGGCAGGGTTGGGATCTTCTGAACCGAGTCGCTTGCGCTTCGCCGAAGCCCTGGCGCTAAGCGGTGTAGCCTGACTCCATAGTTCAAGATGTGCACGGCAAGCTTTTCTTCAGGCTTGGACTGTACAGCCTCTTCTCAGCCGTGATCTGAGCTGCTCTTCATGTGCGTGCGAGCGAGCAGTCCTCGCCCTTCTGCTCGCAGGTCATCCTTCACCAGTTGCAGAGGGAGTATCCAGAGGCACGATCCTGATCTGATGCCAATCCTAAAGGAACATGTTACTTGATAAACTATTAATAAGAATACCACACTTGCATAACAAGATACATGTAATGATACAACAAGTTTGAGGATTAGATATGTATATACACATATACATATCTGCATATCTGTATACTCTGGTAACCTAATCATGTCATAACACCATAGTATAGCTGTATCATTTCAGAATACTAAACTGATACAAGAACAGAGAGATATGTATAACATACTGACAATACAATATAGTTTACTTCTTCTATAAAAATAATCATATAAACAGCATGAAGATCCCAATTCATGACGATGTGAACATACTGAGCTACTCGCAGCCTCATCATATCCCTGAGGACGAGCTGTCGGCAGCCAGTGTCACCGTGCGGGCGATCGTGCGTGGAGTGCTGGTCATCCGCGTGGCATCTCGAGCTGTGTGTTTTCTTGCAGCGTGGCTCTATCTGCTCCTGATTATCGACTTCGCCGTGGATCAGCTGTGGTTGTGGAGGGAAGGGCTGCAGGGAGTGCAGCAAGGCACACCTCTGGGAATCCTGGGTCCCATCGCATGGCTGCTGGATGCAGAGCGCTCGCATCTGTTCGCCAACGAAAAGTCCATCATCTTCTGCATGAACCTGATCAGTGTTATTTCGCAGCAACGGTTGGTGGAAGTCCTCTCTCGCCGTGAAGTGCTGCTGCGGCTGATTGGTGCTGAACGAGTGATGGCATCCACAATCTGCCTCTTGTTGAAGGGCGTGGCAGTGGCATGCACTCCCTCAAAGAGTGCCAATCCTATTGCTGAATTTCTGGTGCGCGTGGCCCCTCCGCCAGCATGCTGCGTTGCGATCGTTGCGTTGCGAGATCATGCTCTGCCGCTCGGCATTGCAGTCGTCGTAGCACCTCGCATCGCGGCCATGCTCGGCAGTTCCAGCTGCATGTTGGTTGGATTGCTTTGCGGCGCCTACGCTGCCCACGCTGTCCTGTCCGTGTGGTATTCCTACCGTGGTGACTTAGACTCTGCTGCCCTTCGTCTGGCAATGCTTGTGCCAGGAGGTGTCTCGAGTCAGGCCAAGGGTCTTCTCCGCGGAGTCTTGGCGGGAGCGCACCGCCGTGCTGTACAGATGATGGCCATGGGCATCCTGCAGCGAGCCTTCCGCTGGCTCACGCAGCGATAGAGCGATGCACAGGGACTCCAGTTGCGCAGGTTAGTGTGAAGTGATTGCCCCGTTTGCCCTGTAGCGAGTCTAACACAAACGAACGTGCAATCGTTGCGTCTTCGTATGCGATGTGCTGGACCGCTGTGCTGCCATTCCAAGAATTTTCAACGCGGTTTCACCGTGCCGGTGCACAAGAATTACACTGTGATACTCTTGAGAACATTAGACAAGATTCATGTGTCAGTGGCACAAGTGTACATAGATTTCACGGCCCTTGGGCTGTGCTCCAGATGCTGCAGCTTGGCAGCTGCTTCTTCCTTGTGGCTGTCGAGTGGACTTCTCGACAGTTCCAAGTGAGGCCAGGACCCGAAGGACAGGATGCACCTCCAACCCTAATCCGTAAACCCTAAACTCTAAACCCTAAGCCCCAAACCCTAAACCCTAAACCTTACTCCATGAGTCCGTGTTCTCACTTCCATCGGGATGACTTGTCTGCCACGCGGTGTCGCTGCCATTTGTTCGGCCCTTCCAAGGCTCAGCACTCAATCATCCCCAATGGAGAGCGAATGGAGGCTCTTAACGTGTGATTTGATGATGACATGAGGCACGCTGTCCACGGGTCTGTGCTTTGTAAGTGATGGAGATCTTCGAGATCAGGTGGCCATCGGTAGTTTGGTGTCTCCCATCTTTTGCATAAGTACTCGTTCACGCGTGGGCAGCGGGCAGTGGGCAGCGTAGCCTCATACGTTGCAAGAAATTCAACAGCGCAGTTTTGGCCACTGTGGCCTGGCAGCAGTCGCCCCCCCCGGCATTTATTGCCCATGTGAGCAGATGCTGCACAGCCGTCGCAGTGCATTCTTAGACGTGTGAACACAAATGGCTCGAGGCTTCTTCGGCAGTAGGTCTCGCGCGTGCGTCCAGGCATGGAATGGCTGATCCAACCCCTCTTTCTCTCTTTCTTTCGGCTCAGCGTAGGGGTGGGTGCTAAGCCACGTGACATTCCAGGCCTGGCCGGGACCTGGTTAGCGTGTGACGCCTGAACCTGTATCACAGCACAGTATCCAAAGGGCCACCCTAACAGGACTGATGGCGAGGAATGGGGAGGGGAGGGACCATTGCGGTTCAGGGTTTATAAGGGGGAAAAGGGTTTAGGGTTTTTAGGGTTCCTGCAACCCACTTAGAGCCTCCCTGAGACGCCCGCAAAGCCCCGAACCATCTCTTCGAAAGACTGCCTACAGTGATTCAGAGTGACCCAACCTCCGACTGCAGGGTGAGCCATCGCTCGGCTAGACTGCCCTGGTACGGCTGCCACAGGCTTGGAGGATGCAGCTTCTTCGACACGTCTGTCTAGGAACTTTCTGTAAGGACCATGTCGCTCCAGACAGCCTTCACCAGTGCGAGGAACCCAGCGCACTTCGCAGGTCTTTTTGCTCACCTCGGCGTTTGTTTGGTGTCTTCTTTCAGCATGTTTCAGCCCTCACCAGTGCCGCAAGGTGTCGCACCATGACCGGGTGGCTTCCTTGAAAGCTCCAGGCCGCAGCGCAATGGGCTTAGAGGATCGGATTGCCATGAGCCCCTCATGTCTAAAGCACTACAGTATGAAGCAACAAGGGCACGGCCGGCTGGCAGGAGCCACCCCCGAGTAGCAGCAAAGCCGTGGCCAACGCCCTTGCAGATGTAGATCAAAGCCTGTCAATATGGACAGTAGTTAGCCGAAAGAGAGAGCCAGCAGTCGCTCCGCATTGGTCTCCTTCAAAACAAAGCGAGCTTGGTGGCCTTCGGCAGTTTAAGTGAGCCTTCGAGAGAGATCTCCATGCCTTTTGGGCGCCTCGCGGCACAATCCAGCTGTGTGCCACTGCAACTTCATGGGAGCAGCCAAGTTCAGCACGTCGCCCTAACGGTAAATACTCTGCCCCCTGGAAAAGGAGGATGAACATCGACTCAGCTTCAATCTAGGCGATCTCCACAACAGGCTGCATTTTGTTCTGTCTTGGGTTCGTACGTTCCCTGCTTCCACCACTGCACCCGACTTGTGGGGGAGCCTGAACGCAGGGGTGGGGCCCTATGCAGCACATTGCAACCTGATCAGATTCGATCAGAGAAGTCCGCCGGCCCTAGATCTTGAACCTTGCGGTAACCCCAACGGTCGAGAGCTTCGATAGTCATTGTCCAAGATGCCCCATCCCCCCCTACATAAACCCCTAAACCCTAAACCTCTTGCCATATAAGCCCTAAAACCCTAAACCTCTTGCTACATAAGCCCTAAACCCTAAACCTCCTGCTTCAAGGCCAGCGCAAGCCAGAAGCCGCTGGCCAGCCTGGGGGGCTCCTCGAGCAACCTGCAGGCGCCCTTGGCTCTGTTTGATCTGCATCGCGCAGGAGCTGCGAGGCTTGTACCATGGTTGTAACTCTGCTAAGGACGATTCTAGAACCCTAAACCCTAAACCCTAAACCCTAAACCCTAAACCCTACACCGCCCTGGCGAGAATGGCGCTTGATCTTGCGAAGGCTCTGGCAGCTGTTGCCACTGGGGCGGCTGCGTTTGCCGGAGCCCGGCAGAGGACAATATTCGTTTACTACTGTACTAATACTATTGTGACACTAGTACTGTACTGTGTCTTTCTACTTTTGTATCATTGTATTACAGCTTTGGCCAGGTGTGGCCATGTTGCTGGACTCGAAGCATGGCTTCCGAGTTTGCACTGCAGGAAAGTCCCCTCCTTGCGTCGCTCGACCGTCGGGAGAAGGGCCTTCTTTGATGCCTGCGGCTCAGGTAAAGCAACAAAAGCTGTGCACAACTTCGGTTGCTGGCAGATCTGGCAGTTTGCTTGCGGTCTGCCCAGTTCGCTTCGCAGCCTTCCAAGAAGACCGTGATCATAACCGGCGCTTCCTCAGGCTCTGCGTTCCGGGTGAGCGCGCGCTGCGCCCCAAACCTTCCCCCACGAGTCGTTGCCCCCATAGTCCCAAGAAAGCGTTGGGCAGGGCTGGGCCTTGCCACAGCCAAAGAGCTTGCCATGTCGGGTGAGTGGCCAGCTCCCCAGTTCGGAAGGGTGGATGAAGTATGCTTTCGCGTTTTGTCTCGCAGTATCTGGTAGAAGTCGGAGCGCATTTCGGTTTGGAGAGGCGGGTCATCATGGCTTGCCGCGACTACGTCAAGGCAAGGCCTTATGCTCGCATTTACAATTTAGTATATATATATATATAGAGATGCGGAATATCTTTTGAAGCAAACTAAAGGTATGAAAGGCAGAATGTTTAACATACATAAAAAAACTAAATTAAGTAAATACATCAACGTTTATCTTTTATATCAAAAACTTTTGATTTTATAGTTATCGATATTTGTTTTATTGTGATGTAGTTATAGCCCGGTGCAGGCCGAGATGGTCGCTAAAGAGAACGACTTCCCGGAGGATCTCTCTTGGCGCTGCCTCTATGGCTTTGGGGGTTTACGAAAATATGGGGAGAACCCCGAATATAGACCCCCAAAATAGTAGGATCCCCTTATACTAAGGACCCCAATAAGGTACCCCCTAAATTCGGAAACTCTAACTTGTGTCGAGATGTCTGAAAGCGTCAGGACAGTTATCTTGTACTGCACCTTGATCTTGCAGCGAACAACAGCGCTTGCCCGGCCTGCTTGTGATGACCTGTGCACCACACACACAGACACACGCACCCGCGCGCACGCGTGTGTCCACGATCCCAAGCCAAATTGGAATTCCGACGCAATTGCAGGTCCGCAGCTTTGTCAGCACATTCCGGACCTTGAACATCCCGTAAAGCCCTTACAAGCCTTGTGCATGGGACCGTCTGCGTACCATGTCCTCACCTGTGCTGCGCAGTGCCCACTTGTCAGGCTTGATGCGCTGGTCTGCAATGCTGCAGTGTACTTCCCAAATGCCCACAAAGAGGCAGGACATGTTGTGACGTGCAGGAAAAAGAGCGGCGCGTGTTGAAGCTCTTTCCAATGTCAGGGAGCCTTCCTTCCAGGGCTTTTCCCAGGCGGCTCCTATTCACAACAAGACTTGAAGCTGCGTCTCGTTGACTTCGTTCAGGGGGTGGCCCAAGATGGTCAGCAGACGGGCACGAACTGAGCTTTGCAGCAAACTACCTTGGCAGATGGCTTAGACTTAGCTTGCAATTCTACGTTCTGCGCAGGGGGCCCACACGCTGTGCCACGTAAAGTGGCCGCCGTGCCACGTATCTTTTTTTTTTTTTCTGATGGCCCTGCGAGAGGCCACTTCCTCCTGTGCAATCTCTTGGTTGAAGGCCCTGCTGCCAAGCTCTTGGGCCATGGAGCTAAACAATCCATCTGCAAGTTCCCGCAACTTTTCGCCCGCAGACCTGAAGAAGAGCTCCATGAAGCCGGCGCGATGCATCATCTTGGGAACTGTGACTGCAAGCATCAACGACAAGGAGGCTTCTTGTCCGTTGTTCCCACTCTGGATGTTGACAGTCGCCATTCATAACCTCTACTGCCATTCGCTTGCCATGTGCACTACGAAGATCCACCAAACACAGGTCGGTGGCATGATTCCACCAGTTGCTGATATTGGTGATCTTTCAGGCAGCCGCTGTAGGACGTGGGACCTACCAGCCAGCCCTCACATGACATCCCAGTGAGTTGTCATTCGCGCGAGGCATGGAGGCTGGAATGAAGAAGCCGGTGCACCCCACATGTTTCGGGGGCGTGATGGTGATGCTCTTGTCAGTTGTGTTTTACCGAAGCCGAACCTAAAGGAAAGACGGAATGCATCGGGATCCGTCGCCAGTGAGGCCTCTTAAGGGGCATCCCTCTACCAACGCTTGTAGGTGGAAAGGCTTTCGGGTTTAGGGTTTAGGGTTTCAGGGACAGTGTTTAGGGCGTTCTCGTCGGCCCCAGCCACTGATGCGCACGATGCTCACGCTTTCGTGGTTTGTTAAAAGGCCCCTCTCAAGAAAGGTCGGCTGGTCGTAAGACATAACAAGACTAGGACCCCATTCGCGAAAGCATCCTGCAGCAAACCAAGAAGAAAAAAACCCATGGGTGGCTTTTGCTTCGTATTCTTTTGCTACTTGTGTTATATACGATAATACAATATATATATATATATATATATATATACACATATGTATGTACGTACGTACGTACGTACGTATGTATGTATGTATATATCTGTATACACATATTATTTGAAAAATGTATAAAAAACATACACACTCAAAGGAGCTCCTTCAGTCTTGCTGTCAGAATGGGGGGGCTGCATCGGCTCTGGGCTCGGGGCTCGGGGCGTCAGGGGGCATTGCCCCCCTAAACCCTAAACCCTAAACCCTAAACGCTAAACCCTAAACCCTAAACCCTAAACCTTCCTGTCTCTGCCAGGTCTCCATGATTGACAACGGCCGATTCAACGGAGCCAAGGCGTACAAGGACAGCAAGGCACCAGAGAAGAAGAGCCCAGTAAGGGCTTCCTTTCAAGGGCTTCTCCCTAAGGGCTTCCCCTTAGGGGCTTCACCTTCACAGACTTCTCTTTAAGGGCTTCCCCCTTAAGGGCCTCCCCTTAAGGGGCTTCCGCAATCCTCTCCAGGTCTGCGACGTTATGCTGATGAGGGAGCTTCACAAGAGATTTCACAACAACACGGGCATATGCTTCTCCTCGCTCTACCCAGGCAGGGCCAACGCTTTTGGCAGTTTGGGAGCACGCAGATCGAACCCTGCAGGCTGTATTGCTGAGACCAACCTTTTCCGAGAGCACTATCCGGTGTTCAGGCACCGGTACATGTGTTTCGATGTTAAGAGAAGAGATGTTCAGAATCCGAGCGCACAGCGGACTCATTCCCGAAGGTTTTTGTTTCCCATCCTGCAGAAGGGGGTTACCAACGCGTGCCCCAAGCTTGTACCAATCAAAACGAGTTTGCTGGACTTTGCTGCCCTCTTGAGGTATGTGAGTGAAACAGAGGCAGGAAAAAGGTTGGCCAAGTGCGTGGCTGACCCTGCCTACGCTCAGTCAGGCCTGTATCCTTGCAAGTTATTTGTGCTGATGCCAATCATGGCAGTGTTAGACGTGTTGTCATTTTACGTTATGCTGGTGCGTCAACACACTGCCTGCTGGCTGCTGACTAGCATGCTTTGGCGTAGAGTCGTTCGAGCGTGGACTGTTTTGTGAGAGTCGTCCAGAGTCGTCCAGGTGTGTACTTCAGCTGGGGTGGTGAGTCCACAACTCAGCTGGACACAACGCTGTCTGTGTACACGAGTTTGACTTGCTTGGTCCAGTGAACCTTGAGATGTGGGTATTTCCCAAAATAGGGGTTCCCCTTTTAGACCCCATATAGAGTAGTAGCCCCTTCAAAAAAAGGATCCCCCCCAAGAAACAAGGGTACCCCCCCCCCCTTTTTCGGAAACCCCCCAGATTGTTTCAGGTCTGGAACTGGTGGTGCAGGAGGAACTGACGCAGTGGAGAACGTGGACGCCAGCAACGACAAGTTTTTGCAGTGACCCCTTCGATCCCGAGGTATAGGGTTTGGGATTTAGGGTTTAGGGTTTAGTAAACGCAAGAGGATGCATGTTGTGGCAGGCGAACTCCATGTCCAGCAAGGGTTTACCCTAAACCCTAAACCCAAAACACTCAACCCTAAGCCCAAAACCCTAAACCCTGAACCCTAAACCCTAAACCCTAAACCCTAAACCCCCAAAAGGGGGTGCCCGAAGGTACGGCAGCTTCCGGACGCTGAAGGAGGACGAAATTGGTGGGCAAGCTGCGGATGACGAGAGGTGTAGAAGGCTCTTAGGGTTTAGGGTTTGGGGTTTAGGGCTTAGTGTTTCGGGTTTAGGGTACTACGAGAGACTTTGCGGGTCGTGTGGGTGTTTACGAAATACGAAATCAGGGGCCATGTTCCGATATGGGGCACCCCTTTAAATGGTAGATTTCTTATCATAGGAACTCCGAAGGTACCCCTACGAAACCGAAGAGAGTCATAGGTACAGCCCCTTTTTATAGGAAGCCCAAAAGGCACCCCTGTTTGTCGAACCCCCCTCCCCACATGTTTCCCCAGAGTAGTTTCTCTCAGTTGGGCGGAATGCTAAGCGTTGGACCAGGCTGTGGAGCCTCAGTGAGAAACTCGTCGGTCAGACGTTCTCGTAAGCCTGGGCCCTACTCTCGCGGCATCCTGCGGCCTGAAAACGACTCGTATCAAAAAGCAGCATGCGCCCAGGAATCGAGGTGTTGCAGATTTTTCATAGAGCCTTGAGTTCGCAAAGACATGTGGCCCGAGATGATGCAAGGCCTGGCATTCGCACTCCCCATCGGCCCTGGGAGTCATGGGACTCATGGGACGACGCATGGGACGGCTCATGGGGCCCTTGGGCCGTCGAGGTCCCCGCGGGAGCATCCGGCACTGGCACCTTCCACCTCCACTCATTCTGCCTTCGCTGCGCTTGCCGTAAGCGCCTGCGTGGCCAGAGCCCGCGTGGCCAGAGCGGTGCGAGAGCGCTCAGAGGCCAGGATGGCCAAGCCACGGAGCCCACGGAGACGCGCCGCCGGCGCCGCCAGCGTTGCCAGCCGTGGCTCCACCCGCAGCTCCGCTAACTCCGCCCGAAGCTCCGCCCGTGGCAAGCATGGGAAGACCTCGCGGGCGGGATCCAGACGGGGACTGCACTCGGCAGGTTCGGTGCTCGGCACTGGCACTCTCCCGGTAAGTGATGGCTTCGAGTTGTACTATGAGGAGCACGGCAACCCTGATGGGATACCGGTCGTTTTTTTGCATGGGGGTCCAGGCGCAGGCTCGTCACGCCGCATGGCACAGCTCTTCGACTCTGAGAAGTATCGCGTGCTCCTCTTCGACCAGCGCGGTTGCGGCAAGAGCTCGCGCAAGGATTCGAGCAATGCAGAGGAACCTATATCCCCCTTGCGAATTATGTTTTTTTTTTTTTTTTTTTTTTTTTTTTTTTTTTTTTTTTTTTTTTTTTTTTAATTTTTGCTGATATCAAACCCAAGAGGATATTAAACACAGTATGTTTATGAAGGTTCTAAGGGGAGTAGAGGAACAGCTGGAGGGCAACACGACTTGGCACTTGGTCGAGGATCTCGAGGCCCTCAGGGCGCATTTGAAGATTGACCGCTGGGTGGTCTGCGGCGGCTCTTGGGGAACCTGCCTTGCGCTTGCCTACGCCTCCAAGCATCCGCAACGCGTTCTGGGCATGGTGCTTCGCGCTGCCTCTCAACTGGTTGAATTGGGTGTGGGAAGGAGATGGAATAGAGAGTGGGTGGGTAGGCACTTATAAAGTCTGGGTGGACTATAAGAATGGCAGTTAAGAATCCGAATAAGAATATTTGTGTACATAGTTACACATACGGGATAGTAGACTTAGGGTATTGGATGTCAGACATGCTGTATCACATGGTATTTGATCACGTCAGCTCAGGTCATGTTGCGTTGTCATACATTGCAAAGTATTGTGTTATAGTATGTCATGACCAAGCTTTTTGTTACAAGCTGTGAGCTTCAGGGTTAGTCAATCTTCTGGGGCTTGCTGCTACGGCAGCTGTGTGAAGAGCATGTTTGATGCGTTTAGCTGTGTGGCTTTGTGCATCCTACTACGTGTCAAGAAAAGTCGAGGTGTGTTCGTCAAGCGCCGGTCATGCCACATTGCAATCCGAGGTTTTTCTTTTCCGAAGTGAAGAGCTTGAGTATTTCTGTGGTCCACAAGGGGGTGCCCGATCCTTAGCAAGGGGAGCTTGGGACAGCTTTGCGGGGTGGCTGCCGTGGGCGAAAACGCGCTCTGCGCGAGCCATTGCCGCAGCCTTCCGCAGAGCTGCCCTTGGCGGCGACAAGTGCTTGGGCTGCAATCAGAAGCATTCCCTGAAATTCACGAGTTTAGCCAAGCTTGACGCTCTCAAGGTCCCTATAAACTTCTGAAGTTCTAAGTCTGCAGCAATGTTGTGCCCAGTTTGTTGGGGAGACCCTCTTCGAGAGACAACTCTGAGGGCATTTTGTGGGTTTAGGGTTTAGGACCTTAGGATTTAGGGTTTAGATTGCCGTGGGGGTTGCCAGGCGAGGCCCTCCTTAGCTTCTTACGCGGCCGAGCTTTCGTTTTCAAGGTCTTCGCTTTTCTTCTCGGATCGATCCTGAGATACCCTAAGCTCGGTAGGCCCTGGGGACATTCTATATTTACTCTTCTTGGGTTGAAGAGGATCATCTTCAGCAATGTTGTTTCAGAGTGTTTCAAGGGCCATCATAGTAAAACCTTGCGGAGCTGGAAGGCTGAAGTTGGCCGCACTTCGACTGCTAGATCCCGAAGGGGGTTTAGGGTTTAGGGTTTAGGGTTAGGGTTTAGGGTTTAGGGTTTAGGATTTAGGGGTTAGGGTCTGGGAACCATGGCTCCATTTTCCTTCATCTTCGGCTCAACAAGCCGCATCAGACCCATTCAGAGCACTTTCGGCTTTCGCGAAAGTATGTTCAAGTAATGGTAACTAACTAATGTTTCTTGGTAGCGCCGTATCTCGTTGAAGAATAATTGCCTGTCAGATCACCAGCTTCCTCATCTCTGAGGTGGTGGATTCCTGTGCGATAACTTAACACCTTCCCTCCCTGAAAGATCCCTCATCTTCTTCCTTCTTCAGCTCTTTAAAAGAGGACAACCTCCGTTTCGACTGTTTAGGGGGGAAAACAGGGTACGCACAGTATTCATTTTGTGCAGCACCGGTTGGAGGTCCATCTCGCCGACGGACGCACTCTCAAAGTGGCGGGCCTGGGAGAACCATCTCTTCTCACAACGGTCGACGGGCTTGAAGCTGCAGCCATCGAACCTGCCATCGGACTTACCTGAAGTGACAGCTCCATCAGAACCGTGGCCAGAAGCAGGAAAGTTCAATGTACAGGCCTTGCTTACGCTGCACTACGTTGCCGAGCGAGGCTTCTTTCCGGAAGGATGTGAGTTGCTCGACTCAACTGCATCCTTCGATTTTCCGCTGAAGCTTGTTCATGGTCGGAATGACTGCATATGTCCTGCAGTCAATGCGACGGATCTTGCACAGGCAGTTGGTCCTAATGCTGAGCTGTTGCTCACCGAGGGCGGCCATTCACAGTGGGATGCAGAGAACATAGATGCATTCGTTCGTGCCACTGATCAGGTGGCCACAGAATGTTTGGTCTCAACGTGAGCTCTGCTCCTTCTGATCTTTTGGAATGAGTTGCCATTCATCATCCGATATCACCGATATCGAAGGGTTGGAAGGATGCGAATGCAGGTACGGGAACCTCAGGAATCATGTGGCGCCAGTTGCCAGTGATTGCCTGGGAGCTGATTCTGCACAGCTGACCTGTCAGGATTGTAGATCAGGCGTGCTGAGGCTGCAAAGTTGGTCAGCCAGTCTCACTCTGCAGACGGTTGCGATTCGCTGTGGTGCGATGAGCCTGTTGCACCGATGCTGCACGGGGCATGGGCACGCGTGTTTCGAAACCTCTTGCACACTCTAGCCTGCAGCTGAGGCTCTCGTCGCGCAGTGAGTGCCCTCGTGTCGTTTCATGAAGGCCGCGGTTGACAGCCGCCCATTAAGATTTTGATTTGCTTACTGTGCCATAAGGTGAAGCTTTCCCACGAGTCGCTAAGACGGAAGCTGTTGTGAATAGCGAGTGTAGTCTGAAATACAAGTAGCCCCGGTTACACGAGGCACATCCTTCTCGAAGCCTGATGGCTCTCTACGCACCTTTTTGAAAGATGCCCTGCTTTTCCGCTTGAAGACGGGATTCGGAGTGAAGCGTTTTCCTTTGTTTTCCCATCGTCGCGGAGCAGTCGCACATGAGAGCTGGCGGTTGCGCAAAGCTCAACGCTCCATGCCGCCGGCTTTGTAGACCAGTGTTGACAGTCAGAAGCAGAGATGCAAAGAAACCATGGCAGTCGCGCGGACGTGCAGGGGCCGGTTTTCATCGCGTCTCATGTGAGAGATGGCCCCCAGAACTGCATGACTGCGTGCAGACCCTGAGTCGTTCAAGGCAGCATGCAATCCGAACGAAGCACCAGCGCAGCCCCATATCCACACCCGTAGAGACACTGAAGGACGTATGTGCCCACAATGATGTAATGCACAGACATATGCTGGACATGGCTCCATGGCTCAGCCCCTTAACGAAGATAGCGAGCAAAGAAAACCCTGACCAGTATAAGAAGGCATGTGATTGGCCCGCATATTGCGTCCTCGCACTTGGTTTCTCTGATGCCAGTGCTACCTTTGAAGTCGAAGGCGCGCGACAAGAGGCGACTTGGCCATGTTTTTAGCAAGATTCAAGACTAGCAAGACTCCTACCCCGACCCATTCGACCGAACTGCACCGATCCGGACTGCAGGAGTCGGGGCACTGATGTGGCAAAAGAAGGCCTGCACTGTTAGGGTTTTAGGGGTTTAGGGTTTAGCGCTTGGGGTTTCGGGTTTAGGGTTTAGGGCTTAGGGCTTATCGCTTAGGGGGCTGAGGAGCCTTGTGTTCACCAGTGTCCTACGCTGTGCCTGGCGCAGGCCGAGAGCCCACGAGGTGCTTTGACATGGCTTTTGACCCTCTCCACACCCCAAAAAGCGGGGGGTTGACTATGCTGTTACAGCTTTTTGATATCATCTATTTATATATATATATATGCTTGTATATATACATATACATATTCTCATACTATGATATGTTCATATGATCTTATTCCTATACATAACACATCTCTCACTCTCTCTCTCTCTCTCTCCAAATATAGAAGAAATATGCAGTTATGGCATGCCAGGAAGCGCCGACGCGATGCAGCCGAGCCCTCGGACTTCCGGGCGCTCTCTTGTGCTCCTGCCATGAGTAGCTCGGCGAGGCTGAGCAAGAGGAGACCGAAGTATTCCTGAACGCCTGCCTCCCAGAATAGAAGACAAGAAGATAACAAGATGAACAGAGGATAAGATAGTAAGATAGTAAGATATGAGTACAATACTGGAATAGCAGAATTGTATAATGGCAGAACAACACAAGTAGCAGATAACATCATACTGTCAGCAAGAAAGCCTCATTGGAGCTTCTTTCCTCCTTTGGGTCCTCAGCCGCCTTAGCCTGCTCCCTCAGGCCCCGCCGTTGACGCCGCTGCTCTCGCAGTGCGATGCTCTGAGGCAGGTGCCCCGCCTTGAGACTCTTTTTCAAAAACTCCGATTTGGGATGTTCCCCCCTTATACTCACAGTCCCTGAATAGGGGTTCTCGTGCCCCCTACCATAAATCATATTAAGGACTGCTAGTCTCAGGGGGGAACATCCCAATATCCCAACCTCAGCGCAGACCGGAGGCCGGCCAAGCGGCGCCGCATCCGGTCACAGCTCCGATTGCCGGAGGCCTGGGAAAGCCACAAGAGGAAGCCCGGAGCTGAGAGGCCCACAACAGAGATTGCGCTGCTTGAAGATTCGAGTTTAGGGTTTAGGGTCTAGGGTTTAGGGTTTCGGGTTTAGGGTTTAGGGTTTAGGGTAAGAACCCTAAACCCTAAACCGGTAAGGCGGGTGAGGGGGGGGGTTTCTGGCAAAGAGAGAGTTCAGGATCTTCCGAGTGCGAGCTGCGCCGGAAGTGTGCGGAGACCTGAGACTTTCTGTCAAAGCTGAGCCCAAAGGAGCTCCCAATGGAGGCTTCAGCGGGCCTGTGCATGGTGTTTCGAGCTTTATTCTTCTTTCTCTCATGTTTCTATCATTTGCTATCTGCTTTCTTTGGGACTCGGGTGCCCAGAATAGACGTCGTCCTTTTTCAGTGACTCCGTTGAACTCCGTTGTTCTCCAGCACCGCTCTGTTCATTTTACGCAGCAGCATGATCGGCCCTTGTCGTGGCCCTTCCCTTCCGACAGAGCAATCTTTCCAGCAAGTGAGTTTCTCCTTGCTGCTGCTGTAGCTGCTACATCTAGACGGATGGTCGTCGTGAACGTTATGCACTTGGCGGCTTTTTGGGATCGGAAGGATGCAGAGAGTAGTTCACGTGTGCACGTAGAGTCGAGCTGGAGCCAAGCTCGTCGATGCTGCGGAAGATAGAGCCTTTCAAGCGTCTTGGCCGAGAAGACAGGATCACTGTAAGAGGGACTTCTCAGACATTCCCAGACTCAGAATATGCTGCGCAGCACATGCTGCTCGCATGCGAGTCGGCACTACAGGCAGGCGGAGATCGACCGTGAGCTTTGTGCCAAAGAGTTCCGCCAATGGGCGAAGAGCATGGCGCCTGGATTGCAGCATCATCATGCTAGGGGTATGGGGCATATTTTGTGAGCCGCGCAAGAGAACCGGTTTTGACGAAACCCCCAATTCCCTGAAACCTTCGCCCCCCTCCCTTGCGGGTTTAGAATGTGGCTTCGTTCAACTTGTGAGGCCTTGCATGGGGTTTCGGACCTTTGGGATTGAAGATGGCTTTAACGTGTAGGCCACGGCTCCCAGGCTTTCTGCCTCCAGGGTCTGCCGATAGCACGGAGTGGGAGGGGGGGGATGCAGTGATATGCAGTGATTGGAGGGTGTCTCCACTGTGAGTTGGCCTTGAAAGTCTCGGGAGTCGCTCGAAAACTCGGAGCTCGCCAAGAAATATCTCCACGGTCGCGTAGTCGCGTAGCGTCGCCTCAGGGGCCACGGGCGGCCGGTGCCTCGGTATGCCTCAGCCCTTGCCAGTCTTCAAGTTTTACAGGCCAGAGCTTGTGGCCAACTGATGGGTTCACGGCCTTGTGGGCCTTGATGCGCATCCAGGTCCGCCCAACTGTTGATGAGAGCAGCTTCTACCGAACCCCAGTGCCCGGTGAGCCCGTGACAATCACTGGCTTGCGGCGCCGCGCGGAGCTGAACGGGGCGCGCGCCCGAGGATGTTCACGGTTGGGGGGGGCCTGGGCAAGGTGTGCGGAATGCCTTCCCCCGAGTCAGGTTCACGCAGAGATCTTGAGCAACCAGCAGGACAACGGCTCCAATCTTGGCGATGGGATCCTGGAACCCGAAGCCCTTAAAGCCCGAAACCCTCTTTCAAAAGCGCTGGCTTTGGTGCCTTGGCGCCTTGAAGGATGAATTCGGACGCTTGCATGTTCGGCTTCACACGGCCGACAAGCGGATTATGAAGATCCAGCCCTGCAGGCTCGTGTGGTGTGTGGCAGTTGGATGTATCAAGATCTTCGGATCCTGAAGTGCCAGGCTCATGCCCGAGCAGCCGCTACGGCGGCTTGACCTCTTTGCAATATGCCCTTGCACTGGGATCTTTGACAGACAGAGCTTGCCCTTGGCATGCGCCAACGCGCTGCGTGACGTGTGCAATGTACGATATGTGCATTCGCAAGGCAAGAAGCAGTTGGCATTCCTGCAATGGCCTGCGGCTCAGCCTTCGAGATTCGAGACGTGCGGCACTGATATTCGAGGTCGCCTCTCCCTGCAAACCGAACGTGTAGCCTGCAGTCCCAGGAGAAAAGTAGACGGGCACAGACTCCGGCGACATGCCTCTCCGGCGTCGCCACTAAAAGCGCCTTAGCACGCAGCATGTGACCGAGCATCATCACGGAGAGACAACGGAGAGACTGCTCGTGGCTGCTCATGGAATCTATGCTGAGGTTTGCCCACGCTCTGATGACAGCTTTGGCCGGAGCTGCCTGAATTTGTCCTTTAGTGCCTGAGGGAAGCATGCAAAGCATGGCCCTGCTTTTGGCATTCATGATGTCTTAAAGACAAGTTAAGAAAGACACAAGCTGACAGCTCATGGCCGTCATGGCGACACTGGGAAGTGGGAAGCCTGCACAGCTTAGCTGCTCGCAAGGTCGGGACATGCTTTTCTCGGCTTCAGCTCCTCCTCAGGCACAAACGCAGTACTGCACTTCGTGGTGAATGTTTGAATGTCTGATGTGGGCAAATGCACTGTTCCCTTGCTCAGACATGCGTGCGATTCATGGTTTAAGCCGAACCGTGACAATACACGAACTCGGGCAGGCTGCCTCGCTTACCGGCATGACGGCAGGAGGTGACGCTCTCAGCTTTGCGGACAGCCAGTGATCTTCTTGTCGGCGTTAACTGATGTGCTGTCTAGGCGGAATCTTCACTTCCTCATCAAGTTCTGGTGGCTTCGCCGGCTCAGCTGGTGCATCTGCACCTGCACTCGCAGCATCCAGCGGCAGCATCTTCGCAACAAGCAGCGGAAGCAGCGGAAGCAGCGGCGGTGGGATCTTTTCTGCCATTCCTAGTGGCAGCAGTGGCGGCGTGGCCGGTGCCACGGCCAGTGCCATGGCACCCGCTGGGAACCTTGGTAGCCCTGCGGTACCCTTTTTTTCTTGCTATGGTTCAAGGTTGCCTTGTAAGGTAACTGGCCAAAAAAAAGGTACCCGTAGAATAACAGGGTTTCTGGGCTACCAAGGAACTTTGGAGCTTCCAGTGGAAGCAGCGCCTTCGGTCCGCCCTCGGGTGGCATCTTCGGTCAGGCTGTTGATGCTGCCTTGTGGGGTTGTTGCCCTCACTAAGGGTGCCCCTTCTCTCGCAGTGCCGATAAGAATCAGGATTAGGCGTACACTATTCTTGGGGGGTGTATCAGGGGGATCCCTATCTTGGGAAACACCCCCCTTTCGGTGCCAGTGTACCCTCTACCCTAAACCCTAAACCCTAAACCCTAAACCCTAAACCCTAACCCTCAACCCTCAACCCTGAACCCTGAACCCTGAACCCTAAACCCTAAACCCTAAACCCTAAACCCTAAACCTTGTCATGGCTCTTCGTGTCAGCCTGTCTCACAGGGAGGCGGACCTGCGGGCGCGGCATTTGGAGCTCCTGCAGCGGGTGCCCAAAGTGGGCCGGTTTCCTAAGAGCTGCTTCATCATACAAAGGGTCCATGTGCACTAGTATATGAGTATTCGCTAGTACGAATATATATATATATATATATATATATATATATATATATATATTTATTTATTTATTTATTTATTTATTTATTTATTTATTTATTTATTTATAATATATAATATATAATATATAATATATAATATATAATATATAATATATAATGTATAATATAGAATATATAATATATAATATATAATATATAATATATAAAAAATAGTATATAATGTATAATATATAATATAGAATATATAATATCATATATCATATATAATTTATCGTATATAAGAAATATATAATATATAATACATAATATATATTATATAATATGTAATATATCACATATAAAAACATATATAGAATATATAATATAAATAATATAAATAAACCCTAAACCCTAAACCCTAAACCCTAAACCCTAAACCCTAAACCCTAAACCCTAAACCCTAAACCCTAAACCCTAAACCCTAAACCCTAAACCCTAAACCCGACCACGCGGGACCCCAAACCCTATTAGGGTTTGGGGTCCCGCGTGGTCGGGTTTAGGGTTTAGGGTTTAGGGTTTAGGGTTTAGGGTTTAGGGTTTAGGGTTTAGGGTTTAGGGTTTAGGGTTTAGGGTTTAGGGTTTAGGGTTTAGGGTTTAGGGTTTAGGGAAACTCTAAACCTAAGCCCCCGACCACGCCGGACCCCATAGCCATATATTATATATAATATATAATATATAATATATAATATATAATATATAATATATAATATATAATATATAATACATAATATATAATATATAATACATAATATAAAATATATATATATATTGTATATATATATATGTATATGTATACGTATACGTATATGTATATGTATATGTATATGTATATGTACATGTATATGTTATATATATATATATGTCATATACATCAACCGCATAACTGACTCCCATCTGTCCCTTATCTCGCTCTCTCTCTCTCTCTCCCACACTCGATGTCTCCGACCCTCCCTCTAAACTTGATCTGCCTGTGTGCGGCCTATTCTTCCAGCTTGCCTGCCGGTGTGCTCTCCCCTCCCTGTCTGTCTGGGTCTCTCTGTTTTTGTGACAACGTCTGTCTGTCCATTTTGCCTGTCGGTGTTTTGCCTGCCCAACATGCCGAGGCCTAGCATGTTTGCTCAAGCGTTCCAGCAGTCGAGACCAGGCGAGTGGGGTTGAGCTTGACTGAGGACCTCCACAATTAAACCATTAAGCCATGGCTCATGCATCAGAGACAGCACCTTCGGCCGAGTCTTGCTTTGTCGAGGGTTGAGCTTGACTGAGCACTTCCGCAACGTTAAGGCATTCATAAACGTAGAAGGCTGAACCCCAACCAGCCAGTTTGGTTCTGACAGCTGGGATGACTCGACAATTGGGGGTTGGGCACTTCAAGGATACTCAAGGGATTTTGGGATGCTCTGGCAAAGGGCACCTCGAAGTGCACTCACTGTGGGGCAAGTTGAAGGATTTACCTAATTTGGGGTACATTATAGGGGATCCTACGATTATTGGGGTCTACATAAGGGTCCCTGATTCTCGTGAACTCCCGTTTAGGTACTCTGGGAAGGGATGGGCAGGGATACGTCGATGCTCTGTGGGTGGGCGCTCAGCCGGAATATTTCGCGGGATTCTTTGAGGGTTGCACTCAGGGCGAGGAGTAGGAGACCCGGGGGCGAGAGAATGGCAGAGGTTAAAGTTTAACAGTGTCTAACCACCGAACAACCTTACATCGGAGGGTGGGGGAACATGGCCCCCATCACGGGTCATTACAAAGCAGCCAAGTTAGACCTTGGACAAGTCTCACTCTGATGGTAGGCCCTGGTGGCGCACGGCGCCGACGGCGCTGAGGCAGCGGAGAGCAGCTGCACTGCGAGCAGCGTGAAAGCAATCGCATGCCTTCAGCACAATGCGCCGTGGATGGCTGTGTCTTCGTAGCATCTCAGATGCGCAGCCATGGCATATACTCAGAATTTGATGACAATGGCTGCGCAGCCACTATTTCGCGGCGCCGACATAGCACGTGGGAGCAGCATAGCAATGTGGAGCAAAAGTCCATGTGGATCTTGTAAGCTAGGCTCTGCCTGGGCGCCTGGCACGCTGAGGAACCCTCGAAACATCCTAGCATCCCGTTATTGCTCCCCTAACATCCTATAGCATCCCAGTAGTCAATCGTCCCGACTTACAACAGAACGCCTCCTCTGGCAGCGACACTTGCGGAAAGATGTCGGCCAGATTCCACTTGGGCTGAAGAGCAGAGCAGCCCTCTGCTTCTCTCGAGAAGCGCATGCGGTGATCTTAGCGAAAGGGTCGGCTTGTGTCACACGAAGGTGTTGCGAATGGGCAATTATATATGGATATGGCATATCTATATGTATGTATATATATATACATATAGACATATAATATGCAGACTCCTGGACGGATCTGATCTGGGCTGGAGGTACAGTGATGACGAAGACGCCTTCGGTGTAGGAGGCAGAGTCAACGAAGCAAAGAGCTACTGCTCAGCTAGGCCTCCTTCCTGCACTTGCCCATTGCAGGCGTCCGCAGCCCTTCACCCGACAGGGACGGGCGCAACGAGCGTCTCTCCTGCACGCCAGCCTTGCACTACAGTACCATCGCAGCTAAACGGGCTGCTACATGCTGCGATCGTGTTCTTTGCAGGCGCCGTCGGCCGGATGACAGAGGCCGGTGCCATCAGTGCCACTTCATGATATCCCCTGGCCTGTCCCCCTGCTTAGCAGAATCTCTTCAGGCCGCAAGGGCGATAAAGGCGATAAAGGATCAGGGCGCGACAGGAGGCTGGGAACAGAGTCGTCAAAGGCTCGCAGCACTTGAGGAGATTTGAACCTCTTGGGATGCCAGGCGCACGACTGGTCGGGAGATTCCCAAGCTGTACTCCATTCACAAGGGCACGGTGGCTCGAGCCGCGACCTGAGAGTTTGCGCTGGAAGACGACAGGCCATACAGAGGCATTCGCACAGGATTCACAGATGATGGTACTCCATTTTTGTGGTTCGTGTGCTGAAAGGTGCAGGACTACGGTGCCTTTGTGCGGCTTGGTGACGGCTCGCGGTACAAGGCAAGGCAAAGGTTTTGTGCTCTGAAGGTTGCCCCTGAGTCCATCGGAGCCCTGCTGTCAGCGCATCCCGGCTTGATAAACCCAGGGTGTGAGCAGACAGGCATATGGCTGTGGGTAGTGGCCCAGCCCTCTCTCTTCCATTCCTTCATCCGTGATGTGATGGCCTGGCCGAGACTTGTTGCGCCTCGCTTCGCCTTGTTGCGCCTCGTTGGGCCTCGCGCCACGTCGATGCTCCTGGAGCCCTGAACAAGAATTCTGCGTGTGTGGGCCGCTCCTGCTTGGATGCTTTGGTGGCTCGCCATTGCCGACTTTCATGTCGGAGTTGTAGTAGAGCTCTGGATTTGGCTGTGGAAACTTTGTGGCGTTGCACATGGGTTGCAAAAACGTCCTTGCCAGGACGCTGTTCCCCATAACTGCCTCAACCGCTTCAAAAGAGCTAGAGCGCCAGCGGGTGGCCGGATGACGGAGAGCCTTTTGGAGCAGTGCTCTAAATTGGGGTCCCTTTTTGGGCCCCTGCAGAGAGCGGCACCTCATAAACGGACCGTCCCCGATTTAAATTTAGAGAACTACCTGTTTTCCAGGATGGCCTGCTGCACATCTCGCGGCTCTCCGCTTCCGGCCGAGTCGACGCCGTGGCAGCCGACGCCTCAGCGACTCACAGGTCTTTCCTCAAGCTGGTGCTGGTGGTGGTGGTGGTGGTGGTGGTGGTGGTGGTGGTGGGGTGGCGGTGGGGGTTGGGGGTGGTGGTGCTGGTGGTGGGCCCCATTTAAAAATTCGTATGATATATATATATATATATGTATATATAATTTGTGCATATGTACGTGAGACAAGATTATGCATACGAATCGTCTGTACTTGTCGCTGCTCGGCTAAGGATGTGCTGTCGCAGGACGACGCAGTCTGGGTGAAGGTGGGTACACTTGGGTCCGGGGTGCTTTGCACAGGGTCTTCGGCGAGCAGGTTGTCGAAGTGAAGGAAGAAGAAGGAAAGTTCAGTGGCAGCCCTTACACGCAGGGAAGTCGGAGGCAACAAGTTTTGTTTCTGCAGCCTCCCTTCTCGCGTGTCGCACTCTCAGGTCTGGACATGAGGTTTGTGGGTCAGAAAGATGGTGAAGATCAGGATCCTAACAACGTGCAGGCAGGTGATACACGGAGCGGCCTTGCAATGTACAGCATTGTACAGCCCCTTGCAAAGAGAGGTGGATGCTGGCCGTGGAAAGGGTCAGGGCAAATCTGCTCCGGATCCCATTCGCATAGGTGCAATCCAGGCACTTGGGTGCCTACGCATCTCTTTCGTTACGCCCACTTCTGAAGAGTATGCCGCAGGCGACGACGTGCTCGCGCTGTGGTGCGTGATCCTGAGACGCTCCGATCTCGCCACCGCCGGAGCACGTGTCTTGAAAGATCTCGCAACTCTGTCGAGGCCCGAGGGCATTCCGCCAGAGAGTCTTGACCTCACGCGGCAATGTGCATCAAGCAGCAGAAGCGGCAGTTAGGAATAACATGAGGTGCTGGGCTGGAGGAGGCAAACAGTACGATTTGGTCGAGGACCTCAACTGCCCTACCGCCTACCGCTCTTCACAAGATCATGAAAAACAAATAGAAGCAACTGCTGGATGCTCCGAACTTATGGGAGGATGCCCCCGAGCCTTCTGGCAAGGTTCGACCCTGCTATGCCGAGATGTCTTTTGGAGAGGTAGCCATGGTAGACCCTAAAAATTGAGCCCTAAACCCTAAACCCTAAACCCTAAACCCTAAACCCTAAACCCTAAACCCTAAAACCTAAACCCTAAACCCTAAACCCTAAACCCTGAACCCTGAACCCTGAACCCTGAACCCTGTTGCAGGCGGCCACGCGAGACTTAGAAGATGCAGCCGGTGGACACCTGTGTGAGTGATGTCGTTCAGACCATGACTAGAGCAGAGGCAACTTCACACTTCAGGGTTTAGGGTTGGAGGTTTTTTTGGGTTTGTAGGGGTTGAGGGTTTCTGTGTCTAGGGTTTAAGGTCTCCACTTCTAGCGCCCCGCGTGAAGACTCAGAATGACTGCTCCCTTTTGACCCCCACAGTAGCCGCTAGCAACATGCGCCTGCCGGGCTCTTGCGAAAGAACTGCCCTCTGAACCCTTCCGATTTCATTCCACCAATGGCAGCCATTTTCGAGAAAGGGTTTGGTGGATCCGGGCTGAAAATCCCCTGTGACAGATCTCCCAACTGAAGCCTTTTCTCCTCTTGGTCCGTTCAAGGAAACCACTCCATGCAAAACAAATTTAAACCAGTCTCGATCAGTGGTTCCTCGTGGCTCCTCTTTCTTTTTTTTTGGTCTGCTTCGGGCTGCTTCGCTTATGTTTCCGGTCAGCCGCAGGACATGATGCCGCAGTCGTCAAGAAAGCCTTGAAGGCATATTTCAAGAGGACTGTGACATACTGTGATGCAAGCCAGATGCGAATCAAAACGCAACGCCAGGGAGCGCATTGGCAGAATCAACGCAGCACCAGGAAAGCTGAAGATTCCTCTTCCAGCTCCTCATCAAGTGATAAGAAGAAAAAGAAGAAAAAAGAGAAGAAGAAGAAAAAGAAAGCTTGAGCCTCAAAGTTCACAGACTCTAGTTGGCCAAGCAGGGCTCATGCGTCACGAGGAAAAGAAGAAAAAGAAGAAGGAGAAGAAGGACAAGTCCGCTGCCAAGGAGGAGGACGGGATCTAGAATTGGACGAACAAGCTCCAGTACGGGCATGATGCCATCCTCCAGTCGGAGCAGCACTCAATCATCATCATCCTCATCATCATCATCATCATCATCATCATCATCATCACCATCACCATCACCATCACCATCACCATCAATCGTCACCATCACCATCACCAGACATCTCTTGATGCTGCCAGGCGTGACAATCCACAGCCGCGAGAGAGCTACCAAAGTTGTACGCCTCTGCAGCAGTGGAAAGTTCTGCCGGGCAGTCTGCTGAAAGTTCGAAGGTGCCACTGGAACCATGCTAAAGTTTGCTCAAGCTGTGCTGGAGCCAGACTTAAAAGAACTTCAGAAGCAGAGTGAGGCGCCAGAAACATCCAGAAGCCCCGAAATGGTCAGCTTTGTATGTTCGCACTCCAAAGCGCAAAGTGTCACCGAGTCATGCAGACATGTCGCCTTGTGCTGCAACATTGTGCAACCTTGCTCAGCATCATACAGTAGGCTCGGCTTATGGTGCGCTTTTCGCCGTTTGTTTGGCTCATCTCCCGCGCTAGATGTGGGTTTCTACACACAGCGACAAACCGCTGCACTAGTCCTCTAGGCAGAGCGGTCCGAGTAGAAATGATCATCCCGATTCGTCGTGCCCTGAGTGCATCCACACGTTCGCGCTGCCTTGCATGGTTCCCCTCTGAAGGATGCTACTCCTGTGGCAAGCTCATCGGCAACAGGCCAGTGTGACTGTTTGTAACCCTTCATGTGCGAAACTTCAGTTGTGTCCGACAGCACCAACAGCAGGTGGGAGAAGTATCTCCAGATGCTGCAACGCAAGGCAGAGGAGCAGGAGAAACAGGACAGGGATGACCCCGAAAATCGAATGCGGCCAAAGACTGCCCCGGAGAAAGAGGCCGGGCTCGGCGGAGAAATCTAGGGGAAGTGTTAAAGAATTAGGGTTTAGGGTTTGGGGTTTAGGGAGCATCTCCATGGAATCTGTGTTCCCTGGACCATAGGTCTTAGACGAGCTTGGCTTCACCAGGCGAGCAGTCACAAGTATTGGCAGTGTTCGTGCATCCAGGCAGCCAAGTGCTGCTTGAGGTATTGCTGTCGGCGCATGATGTTGACGCACGTGGATCTCATCGAGAAGGCATGTCGGCCAGAGATCGCTTTCTGGCGTGAGGCGACATCAAATTTCATATATAGTTTCTGAATCTACTGACCTGGCGAAAGGTAATGAACTACAACATCTACGAGAAGCGCGGGCTGGGGACTGAAGCAGGGAAGCCTGTGCCGCCGTGTGCATCCGGTCCGGGCGACGGGCGTGTCCCAGCTCCATGAGGCAGCAGCTCGCGATGGAGGACGAAGAGGACCAGGAGATGGAGGGCTAACGAGCGTGAGGTTGCCCATCATCTCAAAATGGTGCCGTGCACTGAATTGTTCGCCAGCCGTGTTGGGGTAGCTGATGCCTCAGCGTCTTGCGGGGGCTTCGCTGGGCATCAGAAACTTCTTCTTCCTGGCTCAAAGCTCCAGTGACCTTGGTAGAGCCCACGCAGTTTGAATCCAGATCAGCCCAGGCCATCATGTTTCTTCGGGTGCTGGGGAGAGAAGGCATCGTGACAATCATTGCAACGGGAGGCTGTGATGCGCCTTGGGAAGAGGCGGCAGCGAGCACTCGTTTTCCCAGTGCTAAACTTCCAAGAACCCCTAACAGCTCCTGCAACGCTGACACATGGCAAGACCTGATCGCAGCATGGCCGACTCTATAGTTTTTCGTTTTCGACGATTTCGGCTCCAGTGCAGGGTTCCACTGCACAAAGCTTGCAGGGAGTCTCAACAGCGTACGGAGGGCTTCCTCCGGGAAGTTACATGTCGCAAGCGGCATTGAGCATTGCCGACCTTGGCGACATTTGCCTCCATGTCTCCGGCTTCCTCCGAGTATCCCAGATCGCCTGCTCTGAAGAAGCAGGGATCTTCCGTTCCAGAGATGTTGCACGAATGTCTTGGCACAACGCCGCCATGGCCCTTCTTGAGCCTGTTCCAATATGGGGTCCTTCGGGTGCCCGCGCCATCCAGCAACTGCTGGACTCCGGCGTGCATGGCAAAGCCTTCCTGCGGGCGTGGCAGCGCCTAAGATACGCCGTCTTTCCGCCGAAGTCCTGGTGTCCTGCCATCCAAGAGACTGTCTTCAGCACGCTCAAGGCCGGCATGAAAAACGTGGACACAGGAAACGCCCTCTTTTTTTTTGTTGTATTGCTTTCATCTGAGTCTGCCTGTTTGCCTACCAGCAGTAGTCCTCCGCTCCTGTCTCTCCCTCTCTGACTCTCCTGGTCCTGTCACTTTATCGTTGCTTTTTGCTTCGCGCCCTCGCTCTCTCTCTCTCTTTCCCTTATCCTCTCCCGCTCGCTTCGTCTCTGAATCAAGGCCAATCTGTGCCATGTTCAGGTGCTGCCGGATACGCAGCCCGAACAAGCGGAGGGCCAATCAAGCCCACCTGCCCGTCGCGTGCCATTGGAGGCAGGTCCGCGCAAGTTGCTGCATCTTCTGGTTCAGAGGGGGACAGGGGAACTACTGTACCACGGTTGGCCCAACAGGTTCTTGTAGCATGAAGCTGGACTATATTCGGTTCTGCTGGAGTGATCATGCCAGCAGAGAGGCGCAAGGCAAGGAACGACCAGCAGCAAACCCTAAACCCTAAACCCTAAACCCTAAACCCTAAACCCTAAACCCTAAACCCTAAACCCTAAACCCTAAACCCTAAACCCTAAACCCTAAACCCTAAACCCTAAACCCTAAACCCTAAACCCTAAACCCTAAACCCTAACCCTAAACCCTAAACCCTAAACCCTAAACCCTAACCCTAAAACCCTAAACCCTGACCTTGAACCCTGAACCCTAAACCCTACCCTAAACCCTAAACCCTAAACCTAAACCCTAAACCCTAAACCCTAAACCCTAAACCCTAAACCCTAAACCCTACCCTAACCCTAAACCCTAAACCCTAAACCCTAACCCTAAACCCTAAACCCTAAACCCTAAACCCTAAACCCTAAACCCTAAACCCTAAACCCTAAAAACCCTAAACCCTAAACCCTAAACCCTAAACCCTAAACCCTAAACCCTAAACTAAACCCTAAACCCTAAGCCCTAAACCCTAAACCCTAAACAGCATGTGCTAAGAGCAGGCTGCAGTGCCTTTGGCCACGGGCGCTCGGCGTGGGCGGCCCCTAGCAGTTGGCATGGAGCTGAAGGCTGATGAAAACGACGACTTGAGGTCCGAGGATGTGAACTCTGGCTTCTGCATTGGGGTGCCTTGCAAGGGTGTTATACATGCTTTTTTTTGTGGTTGCTGCACTCAGACGCACATAAACACACCACGGTTTACGCAATTTTGTGGGGTGTTTAAACGGGACGGTTTAAGGCACGATTTAGTGACATGCGTGCGAGGTGGTCACATCAGTTGCTATCTACTCGTACCGCAACTGGCATGTTGCTACATACATGTTGTTGACCAGGTGGAGATGTGTTCATGCCAACGGGATGGCCGCACTGTGTCTGTGAAGTTTGCTCCCTTTGAGGGGCTTTGCTACATGCAGTACGGGGGCGAGAGATGTGTGATGTGTGCCAGAGTGCTGCCGCCTCTCGAGGGCACAGTCACAAAGCTTCGAGCATGGGTACAAGTCATGGAAGATGGGGGCCTCTTCTTTCTGCGACAAGACACAGACTCGGAAAGAATCGAGGAATCGGGCCTGATCCCCAAAGAGTTTTTGCCGGCCTGGACCGTCGAGTTCTTCGCCTGCATGTACTTTCTGAGGGGGAGCCTGCTGAAGCCGCTGGTCTCGACCGTGGTCCATTCCGAGAAGATGCTTCCGCCTGACATGCCCGAGCTAGAAGGCTCTCGCAAAGAGGTTGAGACAACCTGGCATCTGCAAGGATGACGAAGAATTGCTTGAAGTGACAATTCATACGTGATTTCGCTTGGAGATGGGCTCTTGCTAGCTCCGTTCCCCAAGCAGAGAGCGCGGCTCTCCCAGAGGGGTGACACCATGTGACGCATATGCATGTTTCAGAGAGCTCCCGACGTGGATGTGAACAATAGCTACGTGAAATTGCACTAGATATTGCAGTCTGCTTGTGGAATGCAAGAAGCATTTCTGCTATGGATTGTCACTACTTGTGCAGACTCTCGCTTTTTTGTGGCAACAGATGCGTTGCCACTCCGAGGATGTGAGGTCGCATTGGCAGTCGCGTACATGTCTGCGCGATTTGTCCAGTTTTGTGTTGCTCCTTGGTTGAGGAAGCGGGAGGACACTGTTCTGCGTGTACATTTCGCTGCGTTTGATTTCGTTGTGTTCTGGTCAATTGTGCTTTGGTCAATTTACGAATGGAAGGACACCATGTACAAAGCTGCCTTTACTTTAACATATGATGGCAGAGCCCATTCCGCATCGTGCTGGTGGCGCTCGGCATGCAGAGCTGACAAGTTTTCCCGTGCGCTCGGCCATTGTGGAGTCACAGCCACGGATTGTAAAAATGTACAGGACACCTGTTCCAGCGGGAATCAGATTCAATTAGTATCTTCCTCAGGGATGCGCAGTGCTATACTGATCAAAGTTCGAAGCGCTTCGACGGCTGCTCCCCTGACATCTCCGCGATCATCTTGCTGGCAATTAGCTTCAGCAGGCACATGCACTTGCTGCATGGTCCAAAAAAAGAAAGGAGGCCCAAGTCGGGCTCGGCCTTCTACCCTGAGCCTCTGGGGTGTAGGTCAGTGTAGGTCTTGCGCAACCGCTGGTTCTTGGCAGGGCTCGGAGATGCGCCAGGGCGATGGCTGCGGGGAGCTTGGCCATGTCCGGAGTTTGGCTGCCAACACACACTTGTGATTGGGAACATGGCAAAGTGAACTCCTGTAGATGTTCCCCATTGTTCCCCCTGATTGCTAGCAGTCCTTAATGGGGAACATCCCAAAGTGAACCTGTAGATTGTGATTCGTGAGTCGGCTGTTAGCTACTCCTTGAGGTCGGTGTAGTGGTGGCAGTGGTTTCCAGCAGGAACATGCAGCAAGCGATGCGTCGCCTGGCAGCACACGCGTGGCACACGAACCCTCATCGACTTCTGCTGCAGCTGCTGTTTTCCGTCGTTCGCCCAGACTTCAGGCAGACAAGCCACCGCAAGCTCCCCGGGCAAAGGAGGCAGGGACGTCATGGGCCACTGCGAACCGAATGCTGTGCGAAAGGTTAAGACAGCCTTTGTCGGCGCCTTCAGTCGTGAGCCTACACTGCGACATCCAAACTTTCTTCACAATTGGGGGTAACAACCGAGATCAGGTGGGGACAGTTATCGTAATAATGCTTTTCAAGGGCCTTGAAGGCCTCAAAGTGTTTAGACTGAGGTCCAGAGAGGCAGCCTTTGAATGCCACGACGCTGATGGAAGTCTTCCGGGAGAGCTCCTCGTAAACGTTGTGTTGCAGCCCTTTCTGTCCTTGCTCTCCGCACCACGGCCCTTGGTAAGAAAATTCGGCTGCCGGTCTGTCCTTGACGTTCTCCTGGCGAGGACGATGAAGGGGAGATTTTTCCCCAGGAGGAGTCGAGTTTGTGGGAGTGCTGCATCTCCTGGCGTTCTTCCATCGTTTTTCAGCAGGACCTGCCACGCGCACTGCCTCTGGAGTACCAAGTTCATGCTGGAGCTTCGCGGCAGCACTGGCTTCGTGGCTGGCTTGCCTTCAGAGCCCGCTGCGATGTCAGGCAGGAGCACCCTGCACCGGAGAGCTTCACTGTTCCGCGGCAGGGGCTGTGGCAGGCCTGGCATCCCAAAATGCAGGTCAGGTCAGATCAGGTCAGGTTGCTTCAGGGCGAACTGGCATGTGCTGGTGTCATATCTCGGCGCCCATCTTGAGGCCAGGAAGTTCTGTGGCAACCTCAGATCATCTTGGCTCCGTGACGCCAGTGATGCCATTCCGAATTCCTGGAATTCTTCCAGAAGCTCAGCAGGCTGGACAGCTGGCAGCTCGAGTACCAGAAGCGCTAGGACCTCTTCGCTTCTGCTTTAGAACCCCCAGCTGAGACCAAGTCCTCCGAGTCCTCTGAGGCTTGGCCAACCTGGGAACAAAGCTTCGAGGATGGCAGCCCAGCCTCCGAGCGAGCGTCGCGAGCACCGGCAGCCTCCTTAAATGAGGCCTTTGGGAGCTGTCTACACTGTTTTTGCCTTCAGCCCCCGCCCTTTTCTCTGTCAGCACAAGGTAAATCAGCATCTCTTAGGTGGCTCCAAGCTGAGCGATGCTGGAAGTTCCGGCTGCTTCACTTTGCAGCATCAGCTTCTGACCTTGCGAGTGCAATTGCAGAGGTCCAAGGCTCTGCTGCCAGACGATGAAGCCCCGTCTCAGCCCTTCTCCTCAGCATGCGAGACCAACACCACCAGTGCGCACAGCTGTGCGAATCTGCACACGCCGCTTGCCCGGTATATTCGAGGCAGCCGGATGGCACAGGTTTGGACCTGCACTTCGAAAGCTCCCTGAAGGCGTGTGCGAGCAGCCGCCTTCTCTTGGCGCAGGGCCCTGCTTGGGTTTTCTGATACCTGCTAGGCTGACAAGCCACAGAGTCTCTCCAAAGTTGAGAACGAGTGGGAGCAGCCGCGAGCCGAGATGTTGCGAGGAAGGACTTGACAATCATGGACTCCCATAAGCAGCGAGCTCATGTGATACTCGGGGAACTGCAGGACGATCAGCAACCGACAGTGAGAGAAAGAGAGGTACCAGGGACCCCTCGGGACCACGCAGATCGCTTGGCGGTCGCGGCCGGGTTCCCCTTCCGGGACCCTTCGGCGTGCAGAAGCAGCAGAAGAAGCAGAAGAAGAAGAAGAAGAAGAAGCAGAAGAAGAAGAAGAAGAAGAAGAAGAAGAAGAAGAAGAAGAAGAAGAGGGGAGAGAAACAGCTCCGGCTAAGAAGAGGTGCAATCAGGCAGCAACTGATAAGCCTTATAATTCCCATGCCCTTCAGGGCTCTAGACATGATCCAGAAATTGGCACCAGACGAATGAGTAGAGCACTCGATGTCGAGGCTGCAAGTGTTGCTGGCAGAGGGCTGCCAATCTCTTTTTCTGGCACCTGCTTGCAGGTCACAGTGCCATACTACCACTCACTCCCCCCCCCCCCCAGGCTTTCAACAGTACCTGCAAGCCAAGGCGTGCTGAAGTGGTGATTGGTCCACGTGCTCAAGCAAAGTACCTGAATTTTAGTGTGCTGCTCGGGCGGAGATTCTGGCTGTCGTCGGTTTATCCTAAACCCTAAACCCTACACCCAAGCTCCTAAACCCCGAAGCTCCTAAACCCTAATCCCTAAACCCTAAACCCTGAACCCCTAAACCCCTAAACCCCCAAACCCTAAACCCGAAACCCTTCGATCAAGGTCTGCCCGTGGGAGTGGCTCTGGGTGCGGTCTTCTCCTCGAGGCCTGTGTGGGAGGGCTCCCCAAGACAGGGGTGTTAAGGGGTATAAGGGGGGACCCCTAGAAGTCCCCTGTAAAACCCCTATAACAGACCTGAAATTGTTCTTTAATTAAGTAGCCCCTAAATAACCCCTAAGGTCCCTTATCAGGGTCCCTCCCTTTGAGGGTACTAGATGTGGGGCTCCCCAAATGCCAAGCCCCAACGGCCAAACCCCTCACCTCGTACAGCAAATGCATATGATCGGGTGGGTTCACTCATTTATGTTCTAGCCACCAGCACATCGAGAATATAGTATGCCCGTTGAATACCATACTTCCAATGACATAAAAAAACCACGCATTAGAAACCACAGTGGATAATTCATCCCGATTCCAATCCAGATTGTCGCACGTTGGTTTTGCCGGGAAACATTGCAGAACCACACGAAGCATCTCACAAGCTCAGGGTTCAGCAATGTACACAAGATCACCTGTATAAAGCCACAACACCACCAGAATGTACAGCAAGAGGGGCAAGTGATCTCCTGTGCTCATAACCTCATGCTGACCCACATCGAGCTGCAAACCCAACGAAAGCTGAGTGCCGCCCTGTATTTACGTTCCGTCTTTGATCAGTTTCCTTAGATCTCCAGCTGTCTGCAAGTGCAAGATTGTGGTTTCGCGCTATCACCAAGCCGGACTCCACCACAATCAATCGCTGGCCTAACCCCCTTCGTCTGCTTCTTGGCAGGGCCCAGCCTGGTGATGGAGCCAGCCAGGCCACACTGCCCTGGCGCCCCAAGTTCTTCGCAACGTCCTCAGCAAGAAGCAGATCCGGGGGGGGGGACCTTATTGTAGGGGGTATCCTATCATGTCGAGGGTCTACGAAGGGTCCCCTTATTGCCGTAAACTCCCAAATTCTACTGCATGTTATGTAATCTCATGAAGTATGCTCCCTTTTGGGGTCCTCCTTCTCAGGCGCACTCTCATTCAGGGTCCCGAAACAGGGACCATCATTTTCAGAAACCCTAAACCCAGAACCCCTAAACCCTAAACCCTAAACCCTAAACCCTAAACCCTAAACCCTAAACCCTAAACCCTAAACCCTACAGCCTAAAGCCTAAAGCCTAAGGCCTAAAGCCTAAAGCCTAAAGCCTAAAGCCTAAAGCCTAAGGCCTAAAGCCTAAAGCCTAAAGCCTAAAGCCTAAAGCCTAAAGCCTAAAGCCTAAAGCCTAAAGCCTAAAGCCTAAAGCCTAAAGCCTAAAGCCTAAAGCCTAAAGCCTAAAGCCTAAAGCCTAAAGCCTAAAGCCTCATAAAGCCTAAAGCCTAAAGTCTAAAGCCTAAAGCCTAAAGCCTAAAGCCTAAAGCCTAAACCCTAAAGCCTAAAGCCTAAAGCCTAAAGCCTAAAGCCTAAAGCCTAAAGCCTAAAGCCTAAAGCCTAAAGCCTAAAGCCTAAAGCCTAAAGCCTAAGCCCTAAACCCTAAGACCTAAACCCTAAACCCTACCCCATGAGTCCGTGCTCTCACTTCCATTGTGTCCTTCATTCTCCCTTTGCACTGTACAACAACTGCAAGCGGCGACGCGAGGCCGAGCTGAGCTGGCCAGGGCTTTACGAGTGGAGACCTCGAACCAACTGCGAAGCTTTGGGGGGTTTAGGGTTTAGGGTTTAGGGTTAAGGGGGCCCTTGAGGGGAGATTTGTGAGGCTTCGGGGCTGGCTGGTGGAAGCGCAGACCCTCCACCGGCGGATTGGAGCCTTGAGTGGTCAGGCGGGGCATGGGTTGCGTTTGGCTATTAATAGTAATCATCGTATATTCATAGTACTCATAGTATCAGAGTATTCAGAGTAGAAATAGTATGAATAGGATTAGTAGGATTAATAGTATTTGTAGTATTAAGAATTTGGCTTGCATGGCTTTACAAGATTCAGGATGATTGTTGATGAGCTTTCAAGCAGGCGAGGCGGGCATGGAGAAGCCGGAGCCCCGTGTAGCATCCGTAGACCATCTCGTGATCGCTTGCCGTCTCATGTCAGCTCATGAACCACGCAGAAGTCCGCTTCCAGCGCGAACCTTTTTTCAGGTAAAGCAGATCCGTCTCCACCAGCGCAGTGGGCGCTGACACACTTCAAGCAGCATCCTCCTTTTCGCCTTCCGAACGCTGCCCCGCCCTAAGATCCGGCATGTCAATGCGCAGCTGTCTCTTGCCAGTGGCTGCAGAAGAACGGAGCTGTGCGACTGTGATACGTAGTTGCTCCATGGTACTGTCCCGATGATTGCCCGTGGGGGTTAATTTGTTGTTGCAAGGTGCGACCGTCAACCAAACGCCAATTTCGGCTCTGAACGTTGCCTCCCTGTCCGCAACCGTCCCGCCCAACCTAGTTAGCGCTGACACCAGGAGTAGGCCACATGACATGGGTTTTGCACACCAACAATGGCGTCAATTCGGAGTTGGCAAATCGACATTGCCGCGAGCTGCAAACACAAAGAAAAGGCAGATAAGATACACTTACTCGTCTAAGCTGATTTGTGGAGACTTCAATGCCAGACTCATCAGAGCACTGCGCATGAGTCTCCAGCCATAGGACAGTTTAAAGTGCACAAATTCACGAACTTGACACGTGTTAAGTTCCGCGCAACTTGAGAACAGATCTCGTATGGTGGAGATTTGTCTAGACTACGGTTTCGTCTATCAAACACACCCTTCAAGAAAGCGCTAACAGCCGATGGCAGAATGCCATCAAGAAGCATCCATACTTCCTATATACACTCGATAGATACCGATCACAAATTCTTGAAGGCGAACGTGAGGTTTCCGTTGAGATCGCTAAACCCTAAACCCTAAACCCTAAACCCTAAACCCTAAACCCTGAACCCTCATAGCATGCCATTCGTTAGCCTGAGGTTGGCAACAGCATGGATTCTGCATCCTCCTTTCTGCGAGGCCTGCTTTATTTCGCAGTTTGGTACTGGGACATGCTGTGACTGCCAATATTGTCATAGCAACGACGTGTTTGACCCTTTTGCGGCCTATCTTGCAATTTGTTAGGCCACCTGTCACATATTCGCTGAGAAGGATCTGTTGGTAGAAAGGTTCTTGCGCTCACAAGGAATCGCAGTTGCCGGAGTCCCCCGTCGCAAGCATGTGCTCTATATGGGCGGTTGTCAAAATTATGATCCCCTATGGGGTACCCTAAATATTAGGTGCCGTATTATAATGGGGATCCAAAAAGGGACCATAATCTTGACAGCCAGTCATATGTGGCTCTACTTGGGGGGTTCATGGTACTGACCCTATTAGGGCACTTAAGGGGCTTATAAGTGGGTTATAAGTACAGTTATAATTGAAACCCTAAACCCTAAACCCTAAACCCTAAACCCTAAACCCGAAACCCGAAACCCGAAACCCTAAACCCGAAACCCTAAACCTAAACCCTAAACCCTAAACCCTAAACCCTAAACCCAAGTATATGTGGTTCTGAGCCAGATCGGCTGACATGGTTGCGGCAGAGATCTGATCCTTGGACGCTGCGGGGCGCGTCGAGACCAGCTGCAGCTTGGCGAGAACAGATAAAGAACCAGGTTTAGGGTTTAGGGTTTAGGGTTTAGGGTTTAGGGTTTAGGGTTTAGGGTTTAGGGTCAGCTTCGAAGCTTCAAAAGTGGCAGCTCCTTGAGCCAGTGCAAGCGTTTCGAGACAGGTCATGCCGGCCACAAAGCTGCGAATAGGCTGGGGTCTTTGTTGTTCTTGCAGACCGCAGACAATTTGGGAAGCCTCGAGGCAGTGATGGGCCCAGCGCACTTCTAGGCCTGTTGGGGAAAAGGTTGCTGGGGTGGTCCACGTCCTTGGCGCAGTGAGTGTCTTGCGTCGAAGGAAGTACTCAAAGCCGTCTTGAAAGCCAAGATGCATGATGAGTTCGTAGGGCATGTGCAGTTGCAGACCATCTGCCCGAGCCGACCTTTCCGCTGACCTTCTATCCGCGATAACCTGTCTTCGGCACAGCCCCGGGCCATGAATGCAGCCTAACTTGCCTGCACAAAGCTTGATTACTCAGCTACTACTTAGCATCTGACAGGCTCTCGGAGTTGACGAGAGCAGCTTCCCCTTAACATTGTATTCGGGCGCCTGTTTGAGCTTGATTGAACCAGCAGCAATCGGCACACTGTACGAACTTGATCTACTTCCGTATTGGAAGTGATGCATTTGAAAATGGAGCTCTCTGTGTTTTGAAAGCCAGTGAAGTTATGTCCGGAGGCTTACAAAGTGCAGAGGCTGGCCTGGGTGGCCGGGCTCTTATGATGCTGATCTTGCTGCAGTACTCGTAGCTGCTGCATGTGACAAGTCTCGCAAGGATCTGGATTTGAGAGCGTCGTGGAAGTTAGCAGCGGCGCCCTCGAACATCGGTCAGCGAAGCGTGAAGCGGCGAAGTGGCGAAGCGCACACGAATTTGCTGAGCTTCAGGGCTTGGTTGGGGCGCCAAGCTTGCTGTTGCACTTGGGATCGCGGACCAAGGCCTCATTTAAGTTCTCTTCCTTTTCTGGTTTCTCAGAAAAAAGGCGCACCTTGCCCTGCGATGATGCATGTTCCAGGCTTCGGACAGCCTCGTGCGGCAGCCACGTTGCAAGTGGCAAGTCGCATTGCTTTCGAAAGCTTCAAATGAAGCCAGGCTATGCGGTGACGGCATCTGGGGCATGGCACAACTCCACGTCTCTCATGCTCGGAGCCTGGTGTTCAATCTTTCAGCCCCCCTTCCCTCCCTGCCTCTCCTCAACTGAGCAGTCATGACCAGTGTAAGGCATGAGCTGAAGTGGATGCTGTCAGAAGGTGGGTGTGCAGAACGAGGGGCTGAGGGTGGGTTGCTAAACAAGAAGCCCTGCTGGCATGAGGCCAATGGGCAGGAGTCACGTTTCAAAACGGTGGTCCCGGAAGGCGGCCTGCACTTGACATGATTTGACCTCCCCAGTGGTGGTGTTGCGCAGCACGAGTGGCGCCCATCGCAGGCCCCCGAGGATTAATGCGGCCGTCGAGCTGATTGGCCGCTGAAAGTTTTGCAATGCTCAGCGCGCTACGCCTGAGCGGTCGTGGAGGCCGACCGTTTTTTTTTTTTTTTTTTTTTTTTTGTGTGTGTGTGTGTGTGTGTTTATAAGACATAGACAGAAAGACTACCTCTCAGAACGCATATGGCTATGTGTGTGCATATTTGATGTAGAATACCTTTATACATACATATATATATATATGTATATCTCTGTGTGTGTGTTGCAGCAGCGCCAGCAATCTACCACCGTGCCTGCAGTTGTCTGCGCCGATACAGCTGCCGGTTGCTTCAGTGCGCTGGTGGAGGAGCAAGACTGCTGCACAGCACATCTCCAAAAAAGTGCTTCTCCGCGTACGGGCAGTATCAAGCATGGGAAAGCCTGAGCCGGCAAACAGACCATGTGCGTGGGCCACTGTCTCTCTTGGCTCAAAGTAGCTCAACGTCTTGTACATGAGATGCCGGTCATCCCAAGGGCTGGCCAGTGGCACGTTTCGCTGACAACTTATGCCCCGTTGTGCGAGTTTCGGTGCCATCGATCATCTAGTTAGCTGTGCCGGAGCTTGCTTGGAGCGATTTTCGACAACATGCCAAGGTCGCGATATGAGGTCAAGAATATCATAGGTTCCGGATCATACGGCAGCGTATGTGGGGTTCCGAGCCTGCCGAAAAGCTGACCACACGTTGCGAGTCGATGAGCGAGAGTCCTGTTTTTTTTTTTTTTTCCATAGGTGAAGCCTATGACAAAGAGCGTGACCAGAATGTCGCAATCAAGCGTGTGCCATCCCAAGGGGCTATGTACCCGTGACTCTTTACCCCGGGCAAGTGGTTCGTGCAAGTGCAGTCCAGGTCAAGCACATGTTTGATGACCTGGTGGATTGCAAGCGGATCCTGCGAGAAACCGCAATTATGACAAGGTCATGTTGCTGTTTACAAGTTGTTCCGGCGGTCAATAAAGCAAGTGCTCACGCAGGCTCACCCATCCCCACATTGTGCAAATCTACGACATCATCGAGCGCCCTTGTTGCAGCGGGATGACATTATTCCATGCCAGCAATGAAGCAGAGACTGTCGACCAAAGCACAACACATCAGACATGCAGAGCGTGATCAGATGTCAGAGGCCATCTCACATGCGCAGCTTCGACGAATTGTACATAGTTATGGAGCCACCGCCTCGGCAGTCAATTCGCTCCACTGTGGGCCCTAAATCCCAAATCCAAAGAGCTTCAAGATGCGGGGAGCCACAGAATCTCCCTCGGTTTCCCCTGTTAGGCTGTGTGACTCGGACATGAAGAAGCTCATCAAGACGGACGTCCTGCTCACGCCACTCCACATCAACACCCTGCTCTACAACCTCCTCGTAGGAGCATCCCCCCGGGTTGAGGGTTGAGGGATTTTTGGGTTTAGCTTTAGGGAGCATGGTCTGGCTTCCGCTCCCTCTTCCTTCCACTTGAGAAGTCAACTGATCTTCTCCGGCTCGGGGTTTTGGTGATTTCAGGAACCTTGTTGTTTTTTGAGATGCGTGTACGCTGTTACACGGAAGGACTGAAGTACCTGCACTCCGCCGGCATTTGGCACAGGGCCCTTGGCTCAGAGCTCACGGACCTAGTGCAGGATGCCCGAAGCTTTCCTCAGGGATGCTTGGAGAAAGCTTCCAATAAGGAATCATAGCCCTAAACCCTAAACCTTACAACCACAAACCCGAAGAAGGGTTCCATAAGGGTTGATGAGTGGGCTTTTAGGCACTTCTTTGGGGGCATGCAATCGGATTTTCAGATATCTTGCGTGCCCTAAACCCTAAACCCTAAACCCTAAACCCTAAACCCTAAAGCCTAAACCCTAAACCCTAAACCCTGAACCCTAAAACCTAAACCCTGAACCCTGAACCCTAAACCCTAAACCCTAACCCCGTGGCACGCTCACAAAGGACCTGAAGCCGGCCAACTGTCTTGTGAACCAGGACATTGGAGAGATCATGAGTCAGCAGCCACAGATACCTTCAGTACCAATAATGCCCCCCTGAACCTAAACCCTAAACCCTAAACCCTAAACCCTAAACCCTAAACCCTAAACCCTAAACCCTAAACCCTAAACCCTAAACCCTAAACCCTAAACCCTAAATTCCCACCCAGGCCTGCTTAGGCCGTACCCACCCTTTTCAGGGTGCCTGGACCCAGTACTACACCCGACAGCGATTAACACCATCGCTTGGAGTTACTATGCAAGCCTAAAGAGTTGTGTTGAGCGTGAGCTGCACCTCCAGTGCCGGTGCAGTACCCCGCCTTACCAAAAGTGGCTTCTGTAGGTGGTCCCTGGGCCCCCCTCCGGAGCCCCCTGGTGCCGGGCCCCTGGCGGAGCGTGTTCAGGGACCAGAGGGGCCGCAAGGCAGGTCAGCCTGGGCGATTGCTCAACTCCAAACCCAAAAACCTGTTTTTTTTTTGCCTTCTGCCCCCCTGCGCCCCCTGGCCCCCCTGCCCCCACCCCCTGCCCCCCCCTCCCCCCCCTCCACACCCCCCTCCCACCTCCCGCCCCGCCCCCCCCCCCCTCCTCCCCCCCTTCGTCCCGGAGGTAAGGGCCTTCTGCCCCCGTCTGTTTTCTGGGCTGGTTTTGACAACCCTGACCCGTTCAGTCCTACCCAACCGTGGGAATTTAGGGCGTTAGCCCGAAACCCTAAAAGGAGAAAAGTTGGGTGGATGCCTGCGTTTGCAGGGGGTGGGAAAAATAAAACAACCCAACTCCAACTTCAATATACGCCGCCGCGACATATGCCGCCCCCCTCACACCCCCTGGGTGTGTTGGGGCGCCATCTCCGCATGACATCTACTGCCGCGGCGCGGCGAGAAACCCTAAACCCTAAACCCTAAACCCTAAACCCTAAACCCTAAACCCTAAACCCTAAACCCTAAACCCTAAACCCTAAACCCTAAACCCTAAACCCTAAACCCTAAACCCTAAACCCTAAACCCTAAACCCTAAACCCTAAACCCGAAACGAACACGTCGCCATGCTAAGCAGGATTGCTCCGTGAAAATCTGTGACTTTGGGCTGTCCAGAGCGGTTTCATCTGTGACTGCCTCAGCTTTTGCCGACGACATTTTAGGGTTTAGGGTTTAGGGTTTAGGGTTCCGCCAAAGCTACTCACAGGTAGCAAGTCCGAGCCACCCGAGCCGCCGCAGCTAGCAAGCTCCATAAAAGCATGTTGGCTATAGAGGGATTTTGGAGAGGCCGGAATCTTCTTCTCAGTCTTGCAGTTGTGTGCTGTGCGACATTCCGACCAGGTACAGCATGCCCCGTTGCCCAACACACCTCGGGGGGAGGAGGAGCCGAACGAGGCCTTGCCGAAGCGTGTGCACACAGAAAGGGGTACTCGGCATTTCCCAAGATCGGCGAACCCTGAATATTCTCCCTCCCAAAAAAGACCAAAACTCTTAACCCTTCTTACAATAAGAACCCCCCCCCAAATCCCTAAAGCCCAAAACCCTAAACCCAAAGAGCATAACCAAGAGGCGGGCATTCCTGAGCTGCACGCCCCAGAGCTTGAGCCACGGCCCTTCAGGTCGCGGGACCCGTGGTTCCCCACACGGCAAAAGCCAAGCGAACTATGACGAGGCACGTGGTCACCCGCCGGAGCCTTAGAGTAGTGCAGAATCGCAAAGCTGTTGCAGGGTTCAGGGTTGGGGGGTTTAGGGTTTAGGGTTTAGGGTTTAGGGTTTAGGGTTTAGGGTTTAGGGTTTAGGGTTTAGGGTTTAGGGTTTAGGGTTTAGGGTTTAGGGTTTAGTTTTTAGGGCTCAAAAGCCAAGAGCCTAAGGTTGGTACCGAGCCCCGGAGCTGATCTTGCTGCAGGTGGGATGCCTTATGGCCTGACGCGCAAGATGGGTGTCATCCGAAGCGTGCTTTTTCCGCATTCCTCGCAGGATAACTACAACGAGCAAATCGACATGTGGTCGGTGGGGTGCATCTACGCAGAGCTTCTGCAAATGCTGGCGTTTGCCTAAGACGGTGTGAGACGGTGTGAGATATGGTGTGTGATGTCAGTGTGTGACCAAGGAGGGTACCCACACGGAGGCCACAACAATCGGACTGTCAGTCCCTAAACCCTAAACCCTAAACCCTAAACCCGAGCTGTTAGATCTGACAGGATCGGGGCCCACTGTTTCCTGGTTCCAGCTGCTACCCACTTTCACCGGACCGAAAGCATCGAAAAGATCCGAGATTCCATACGTCCCTAGGCTGCACGCCCGCCGGCTCAACCCAAGTTCATGCTGCATGATGTTTGGATTCTTTCTGAGCTGGTGCCCCAGGCGTGGCAGATTGGGCCTCAGTTGCTTTTTGTGTTGCTCGAGCTGTTTTGGCGTGTTTTTTCGCATCTCACATGCAACATGCACTAGGTACTGACCAACTGAATGTCATTTTCGACCTGCTTGGTACTCCCTCGGAGGCTTCAATTGCATGGTGCGTGGGCGGGACATCTCAGGTTATGTTTTCTGGTTTTTCCATCTCCTACATGGTCTTGCTTGTCTCATCTGGCGTGCTCTGGTCCAGTTGCAGGTTGTAGTTTGGAGGAGTAGCTTCAGGTGACTTCGGGTCTTGTCTGACAGCGCTCGCGCATGTTCACACACACACACAGACTTTTCATCAATGCCTCTTCCCGGGAACAACAGGAGACGCGTTCGGACAAACCTCACAAAGGCGAAATCAAACCAATGCTCCCGGGCTCCAGGCCGAGATTGCCCAGCTGCAGACGGAGGAAGTTCTGTTGCTGGCATCCTCATTTTACCTGACCTGTGGAGCTTTCCAAAACGTGCAGGAGGCCAAGCAGCACATCCGAGCGCTGGCGAGACGCGAGCGCAAAGGGGTGCGTTGGGCCGAGCCTCTTGTGAGAGTCATTGAGAATCCTGTCAGCAGCCGTGTGTCCCCCATCTTCTCCCTCACAGGGATTTTCTGGGGAGTCCCTGGAGTCGTTAGGCGAAGCCGCTTCCCGGATGCGCCCGACGCTTCCGTGGACTTGCTGGAGCCACTCCCCTGGCATCTCCTGGCATCTCCTGGCATGTTGCCTGCTGTGCTCGGCTTCATCACATGAACAGCAATTGCTCACACGTTCTTCATGAGCATGCTTTTTGACGCCCAAGGAAGATGCTCAAGTTCACCCCGCGAGAAAGAGTGAACGTAGTCCGGCACCCGGATGCATTGAGTCCTCTGGAGTGATCCCCGCAAGTGCATTTTGCAGGATCTGGCTCTTGACCATGAGCTGTTCAAAGACATCCGGGACAGATCGGTCGAGACGGTGGCGCTGGGAACTTGATGCTTCGAAAACGGCAGAATTCCTTGCACGGAAGTGCCAAAGACGCATATGCAAACAAGACACGGGCCGTGTTGGCCATGCTTGGACCAGATTCACAGAGATGCCTTGCAAGGCCGGAGTTCCTGAATCCCTTCAGTGATCGGGCACCCAACTAGTTGATCCAAACGAAGAGACGAGTGGGTGCTGTTGCTACTGAGCTACTGTTGCTCTCTCATTCCGACAAAGCTTGAAATTCCCAACACAGCTGACAGCCCCTAACCATGAGTCAGGAATCATCGCTCTCTGCAGTCAGCTCTTGCTCGGCTTGCTTTGATCCATTCGATGGAAACCCTTCAGTTTCCGATGCAAGAAACAAATCGTGGGCACTGCTTCGTTTAAGGCCTACGCCGGTCACGCTCGAGTTTGACAAAGAACCGGATCTCGGCGAAGCAGTGCCGGGGGCTTTCGATTCTCGGTTTCAGGCACAAAGAGGCACGAAGAGTCATGGGGGCCATTGCTCTGCCTTTCCGACAGCGCCAGCATGGAATGTCCGTTGTCCGAGGCTTCGCAAGGGCTTTGCAGAAGAAATTGCGAAGTTCCATAAGACCACCAGCGAGCAGCAGTCTCTGGCATGGCATTTGGCTGCTTTTTCTTTGCTGCCTACTTGGAGTTTCATGGGTAGTTCTACGTGGTGTTATATTTATAATATGTAATTAACAAGTATAAGGTAAAGGTAACTATAAGTATAACTGGTCAGAACCTTATTCAGGGTGCTTATAACCCTACTCAGAACTACCCGTGAACCTTCAAGTATGCTGACATGGCATGGCAACAGCGTGCAGCATTGAGTCTACGATGGCAGGCAATGCCACATCCTTTGAATGAGCCGTGGTATTTGAACGCCCGTTTACGGCAATGCGCTGAGTTGTTACTGCCTCCTCGGCTAGGAATCAGCCATGGTGCAGGATTCATTCTGAGGAGTGCGCGGTGAAGTGTTTCACTTCAGATCTCCATGGCATGGTGATGGATCCAGCGGACGATCTCGGCACTTCTGGCTAAAGCCAGCCCAGAAGCAGAAGCCGAGCCGGTGCAACATGCAAGGTGCAAAAGCTGTGGCATCCGCATATTAAGGCATCTCCGACTTCGCGATAGTCATTACATTCACTATATCTTACCCGTGCGTGTGCATGTGCGCGTGCGCGTGTGTGCGCGAATCATGGTTCGAGCCTGTATCAGTGCATTTCACGGATTGGACGGAGAATTGGTGAGGGTGTTCTATGTGCAAGGGCTGTTGCCCGCAGAGGTTTGGCTCGACATGGCTCGATGTCACTTTTGACACCCACCGCAATTCGCACGCCAGTCATATAGCCTGCAGCGCTAGATTCACAAGCGGTGCACTGCTCGTTTTCGAGGGTTTTGTATTGACGCCTGGGCATTTTAATTGGGGCTAGGGCTTTGCATTTTCATTGATGCTATATATATATATATCCAATATATAACAAATATAAAAAACACATTTTATTGATATAATTACATATATTATATATTACTAAAATATATTATTTAATATTGAAAAAACATACAATCGAATGTCGGCCTAATATCGCGAGGAATCGGCCCTACATTTTGCACGATAGAAATTATAAAATATAATTCAAACATATAATTGGTATTTTTGGGAGCAGAAGCCTCTTGCGTCATTGAGGAGTCGATCATATCTTATTAATACTAGAGGGGGCCCGTCGATTCTATCGACGATATATCTACCTACTAAATAGAAATAGACATACACTAAAACCCTGAAGCAGTGCGGATAAATAAGATCTCCAAATATTTTCTGGATCTCTAAAAAGATATCTGTGAGTCTGACGCGTGAACGTGGTGGGCAAGAATTTATTTAGCAAGAATTTGAATGATTACGATTTAAGATTCATATCTTATGATCTTTTTTCATAAATCGATCCATCATTATATAAATTCGAATATCTACTCAAAAAACGCTACGGTCAAACCAGCCCTATGCGGTGCGTCACGCCTCGGAGTGCCCCAGCCCCAAAATTTTCCGGAAATTTCTGGACCCCGGCGAGCAAGCCGCTTTGGCCTACCCGGGACCCAAAATTTCCGGGAAATTTTGGGGCTTGGGCTGTGCCCTTTGAAAGGCTGGGCCTCTTCGACGGCCGCAAGCCGGATTCGCTCCCCTAAATTTCTGGAAAATTTCTGGTTCCGGGTAGCCCGAAGCCTCGGTCCCTAAATTTCCGGAAAATTTGCTTAATCGTTTTCCTAAATTTTCCGAAAATTTACACACCCAAAATTTTTAGGAAATTTAGGAAACGGATGCAGCCTGATCATGTTCAGAAGCCACGGCCCAGCTCCCTAAATTTCCGGAAAATTTAGGGTGCTGGGTGGCCGAAAATGTCGAAGCATTGTTGACCGCTTGAACCGTTGAGTTCAGGTGTTGATCATTTGCCATGTTGCTGCATGCTTTCATTGCATGCTTTCATTGTTTTCAATCGTGCTTTGTTTTGTGGCATTACAAAGCTAAAATATTAAACAGGACTTTTACTTCACTTCCAAGATGAGCGCATCACCTGGCATTACCAGGATATTACGAGCGTGCTTTGTTTTATGGCATTACAAAGCGCATTACCTGGCATTACCAGGTCGTTGTGGTCGTCGTGCGTCGTCGTCGTCGTCGTCGTGCGTCGTGCGTCGTCCGTCGTGCGTCGTGCGTCGTGCGTCGTGCGTCGTGCGTCGTTCGTCGTCGTCGTCGTCGTCCTCGTCGTCGTGGTCGTCGTCGGGTGTCGTCGTCGTCGTCGGGCGTCGTCGTCGCGCGTCGCGCGTCGTGGGTCGTGCGTCTTGCGACGTGCGTCGTGCGTCGTGCGTCGGGCGTCGGGCGTCTTTCGTCGGGCGTCTTTCGTCGGGCGTCTTTCGTCGGGCGTCGGCGTCGGGTGTCGTCGTCGTCGTCGGGCGTCGTCGTCGTCGTCGTGCGTCGTGTTTCGGGCGTCGCACGTCTCGTGTGTCGTGCGTCGTGTGTG